GTCACAATTTTTTTTTTATCTTTTTTTTGTTGAATTTATTTTAGCTCTGTTTTTCTTTTGAGAGAGTTATTTTTCAATTACAAACTATTTTGAATATACTAATAATAATAATATTAAAGACATGAAAATCATTCTTGTTATTGTCTTGGTCATAAATTCAAGAGAATCAAAGAACAGTTTTCTTTATAAAAAAATAATTGAAGCAACTATTGTTTCTATTGATGAACAAAGTTGAATAGAAATTGACAACATAAAATTTAAAGAATCTGAATTCTACGAGATGCTTAAAAGCATAGTAAAATAAAATTAAAGACTCACTGGATACAATTCATACACTAGAGACCAAAAGTTTGGTTGGTTGATTTTGTTTAGTGGCATATCAACACCTCTATGGGTTATTTAATACTGGAATCTAAATATTTTTCATGTAATATTAGGCTTTCAATTACAGATATTTTGTACATAATTTTTTTCTTTCAGGGTAAAAGGATGTTTTTTTAGATATATAGTTTGTAGATCATAAAATGCATTGCTGGTAATTTTACTATAAAAATGTATTTTTATATTTTTTTAGTGTTGCACTGATTGTCATTTTGCTAGAAAAATGTATTGTTGGTCATTTTATTATAAAAAAAAAAAAAAAAAATGAACTGTTGATTTTTGTTTGGGACCTAAAGTTTGGGGTCATCTTCTGGATTTCAATCACCTGAAAATTGAAGCTTGTGTACCTTTTTCAAAACTAATTTATAAGCTCATTTTGGGCCAGAGGGTCTTTCTCTTCCTGAAGGGTTTTATCATATCATGAACAATAATAACAAAATTAACTCGTTACTACATAAAATTTCCTTAAAATTTTAGCACTTTTTACTGCATCTACTATGTTAGCTAAAGGTAATCTTAGGACCGACAGATTTTAAATTTTAGGTAACCCCCTCTTGAAAGAATTAGATGCTAAGCAATAATGTGTTAAACAGTTTCAGCATCCAAGTTTAGTAGGAGTTAGTTAAACCCCAAAAGGTATAAAACTTCTACATACTGTGTCCCTTCAGGGCATAAGCAATCATGGCTCTCCACAATTTCTTGTCCTTTTTAGCTCTTAATAAATTTTTTCTTTTTGTTATCTCTCCTAAACCCTGTTCTGCCATCCATTTACTCAATCTTGCTAGTTTACATGTTGATGAAACTTACTAATTATTTAATCCAGAGAGTGGCTCCAAACTTTTAGCCTATAGTGTACATTCATGCCATTAATTTGAATAGGTGTATCTTTTAAAAAGTTCCTTGGGTATTCTTGTTTGGAATTATTATTATTATTGTGTAATGATATATGATGATGATCATTAAATGAGCTGAGAGTGGACAAAAACCCTTTAATTGGGCATGAGAGCTCAAAACATACTTGGGGGAGACAGATCTAAATCTTATCTTAACCAAAATATTTTAGTCTAGGAAGAGTGTGGGATGATAGCTATGGTTTAAGAGTTTTTCTAACCAAGCTGGCAGGAGTTCATAAAATAGGAACTGTTTTGCCAGCTAGCCAATTTACCACAGCGTGCACTATGAGGAGAGGCCCTATTTGACTCTCTTTGCTTTTCCTATTTCCAAAATCTAGTAGTAGATTCTCTTTAGCACATGAATAAACCAGAGCAATTCCATCAAGTCTTTTGTCATCTGTAATTTTTTGACAATGGGGTCACTTTTTGATCATACCACTTTTTTTTGTATCCACCCACTATGATCATCCAAGAAGCTGCACCTAAAACCTAACAAGGAGCTGGTACAAGGTGCAATGCTACATATGCTTTGTGAGTTACATTACAGCATTAGGAAAGGGACTGAACACAAGATGCCAGGACTAATTTCAAATTCTTCTTTGGATTTTGTCAAGAATCTCTAAATACATTGCCAAAGTACCAGACAAGATGTTGCAGCAATGTTTAATGCATGGGCAAATGGTAGACTTATAAATGTGTAAGATAGATTCAGAGAAGAAAAATTGTCTAGCACAAGATTGTGAACCAACTTTCTTAACAGCAGATCTAGCAATTGATTTAATATAATCTTTCCACTTATGTCAGGAGAAAATCTAAGCCTGAGAAGGTGCAATAAGTCACTCTCCTTGAAGTTAGCCTCAGCCATGCTGATGGAAGGCAAAAAGAGTTCTCTCAAATGATTAAAAGAGACCAGTTTCGTTTTGGGTATGTTAAAATTAACAAGCCATTCCTTGTCCCATTTACCAACAGATTGGAAGTCATTTTTGAGATAAGCTGCCAATTTGGCCTTAGCAAATCATTTTTTTTTTTTACATGATGTGGACCAGTCTATTTAAGTAGTATTTTTTAAAAATAATTTTAAGTAGGAGTCACAACTTGAAAAAAAATTACCAAGTTTATTTTCCATACAACAGTTCATAAAATTCTTATTTTACCAATTCCTAATTTGTTTTTTTATGTACAGTTAAATGCAGTCACTTGAATATTCTGTGTTCTTTCTGAACTAAGTAAATATTTTATTTAATATATTTAAATATATTTATACTAGTTAATTGCTGTGAAACAATTCACAGACATATCTGAAAAGTCATCTTACATAACATTTTTTATATATTGAAATAACTTAAAGCTTATACTTTATCAACTTAAACATATTGAATTTTTAATCTATATTTCAAATTAGGTAAAATTAGATATACCCTTTTATTTGATGTATAAGTAAATTACTTTTTCTATTACAAGAAAAATTCTACACCAAAATTTAAAATGTATTTGTTTAGAAAGTAAATTTTTAAAGTTGCAACTATTTAATTTATTAGCAATAATATTTTTTGTTAATTAGTGAAAAATGATTATTCTAAAAGAATTATTTTTCCCTTGTTTTTTTTATTATTATTATAAAAAATAAGTGTACATCAGAATCTACCATGGCAAAAATTAAAAAGTAAAAATTCTTGTTTAAAAATCTAGTGAAATTCTAATTGCAATACTTATCTCTAGAAATAAATAATACATACCCAAAAATATGGGAGGAAAAATAGAAAATTTAAAATTGACACTGAAGAAAACAAAAAAAAAAACAAAAAAAATTCAAAGCAAGAAAAACTCTACCACTTCCTTTTGAAACCAAACGTGTCTGTAAAAAAAATCTGTTAGATAAACACGTTTGTGAAAAATCACAGTAATTTTTAATAACATTCTTAAAAAACAGTCGAGGTGATAACAACAGCAACAACATATTTAATTTGATTTTTCAACTTTGAAAATAACAGGAAAAGAAATTCTACAATTATAGGAATCTCAGTCAAAATTTTAAGTTTAATCATTTGAGAGGCTTTTTGTCATTTCTCTTATTAAAGATATGACCATTTTGGGTCAATATTCAAATGTTAACATACCAGTAAAAAGGTTTTGTAAAAAGTCTTTTTTTAAGGTTTTAAAGTTTGTGAAAATATCCAATGACAATAAAATACATTGTCTGTATTCTTTAAGCGTGTTTTCTTGGACAAGCCTGACGGTTGTAAGACCTTTGTATAAATTAAAGCACATCATGATTCACTTGAATAACCAGTTATAAGTTAAAGATTACCAAATGAAAAGTGGATCAGTCTTCAAACCTGATTTTAGTAAAATAAAATTAAGAACTTTTAGGGTACAAGAAAAACTCTTTCAAGCAGCTATAATGCTTTTTTGTCTAAATTTTTAAATGAAGAATTATCATTAGTATACACTTATTTATTCAGACAAGTATCTTCAACTTGCTTGTTAGATTCGAAAGACTGTTGTAGTCTCTAGGTGTCTACCGTAGTTGGTAGCCTTTTAGGAATTTTCAACTGAATCCTTCATTTAATTCACGTGTATAGATTGTTATTCTCATTCCGTATATCCATGCTAGGGGGGATAACTTTTATCGGTTAATTCAATTCATCCTCTACTAGACTATATGCGACAGCAACCAGGTTAGCCATATCTCACCCATCTCAATCCACTTTGAGCCGTGAAGGAGGCGCAATGTTGTCCACCAAAACCAAATTCATGCAAATAGCCTCGTCAAACTCTCTGCCACTGCTAAATAGGGGTGAGAAAAAGAATAGGAAGAGAGGATGACACAATCCTGATGCTCGAATGCAAGTGGTTTTCGACAACAGCAAGAACAATATCCTGTTGGGATTATCTTGGAAGTCTTAACTGATATGATATTTCCTTTAGTGAAATAAGAATAAACGACACAAACGTACACACCAAGGATTGGTGAAAGAGTTTGGCTTAGAATTCCTGGAAGGTTACACTTGAAAATGACTGGAAAATGCAACAACCCAAATGTTGTGATGGTAACAATCAAGATGAAGATATTAGTCCAAGTAAATAATAATAATAGCAGTAATAATAATAATAATGGTTGCTGTAATTATGATATTCATAGAACTTTCATAAAATATCAACTTGAAATATTTAAAGTTAAATTCCATTTAAATTTAGAAATTTCAGTTCTGCAAAACTGAAATTTCTAAATTTAAAATATCCTTTTTGAAGAATATTAACATTCCAATATTGGCCATTTTTGTTTTCATTTTCTTTTCAGCCAAAATGTATCCCAAATAAATGATTGTTAGATTTGTGTCAGCTGTTCATCATGAGGTTGCATCCTAGATACAGATAAGCTTATTACTTCCAAAAAAAAAAAAAAAAAAAATTTAAATGAACTAAAGGATTGGTTATTGATTATTTCACATCAGTAGAATTGGGATACTTTTTGGTAAATAGTCAATAAAAAAAAAAAGCTCAATTTTGGCATTTGTAGTATTTTTTTTTTTTTCATTACTCTCACCAAGAATGAGATAAAATATTAGAGTTCAGTAAAATTGATATGCACTAAAAATTTTCTTTTTCAAATTCTCTCTCACACACACACACACACACACATACATACATATACACATAGTATTTCCATCTGGCTACAGATTTCATGAACCGGGCATGACATGACAGTCAACAGCAGTTATCATTTTAAAGGGAATGTTCATCATCTTCATCACTGATTGACAAAATCTGAAAAGAGAACAACGGAGAAAATTCCATAATTTATCATCAAACAAAAGCGATAAGTTTCTGATCTGAATTTCTGTGATGAGGAGTTATCATTATTTACACTATTTACATTCAGACTATTGTCCTCATTTTGTTGTTGCTAGCACAACGTTTCGGACATTGTGCACTGCAGCCTTCATCAGGTGTATATCCATCTGGGTAACCTACAGGGAATTCTGAACTGATCCCTTTATTTAAAGATAGACTGTTCTCATTCTACTGCCCATGTCTAAGGATATCTTGTCTAGTTCTTATTTTTAGTCCTGCTCAGTTATTGCTAGCTCACAGAGTCCAAGTACACATCACCAATATCACCAAATTCATGAACCAACACTTTAATCCACTAGACTATGGTCCAGGAGGACAATTAACTGTGGAGAACTTGAAGCCTTAAACCTAACCTGCCTGCTGATGAGTGCTGTAGTTGCTTGTCTGCACACACTGAAGCTTTTCTTTTTTTATTACAGCTGCTGCTGCTGTTGAAAACTTGCTGTCATTTGCCTTTCTTTCTTTATTGACGGCTCCCATGTTGTTTTTATTTCTATGCTAGGTCTGCTAATGGGGTCCTTGTAGCCTAGCATATGTGCTGATGAGGTCAATAGTTCAAATGTAAATAGTGTAAATAAAAGTGATAAGATTGTGGCAACGGAAAAAAACAAGTCTTACCTCAAAAAAGAATTATGCCAAAAGAGAAAATCAAGATTGGGTCGATTTTAGTAGGCCTTGAAATATGGTAATTGTTTGCTTACCAGTCTCAACCAATCGTAACCTTTCTTACCCCCCCTAAAAGAACTCTACTTTGAACTATGGGATTGTTTGTGTCTTCATGGATGAAGAAGGTAGTTGTATATTACAAGTTGTGATGTGAATTTATTTACTCTTTTGATTTATATCCCCAGTATTTTCTAAGGTAGGATTTGCAAGACTGATTCATGACCCTTGGTATTACGACCATGGGCTTATGATTTTTCTTTTGATCTGTACCTCTCTATTGGTATCCCCCAAAGATGAAAAAGTTAAATATAAGTTTCACAAGATGCTTAGTACCTTCCTATAATCAAAGAGAGAAGCCAATGCATTTCCAGTAACTTATCAGCTATGTGAACCAACAAGAGACATTCTGATTATATCAGGTTTCCAAACCCAGTTGGCCAGAGAAATGCCATCAATGACCTACTGATGCATAAATTATTCATCATTTAAGATTTTTGCAACAGAAAACATTACTTACATCTGCATCTGCAGTTTCCTGGTGCATCTGAGTAAGTCCAGTCAAATCTTCCAGGTAAGAAGGCAAGTTGAATGCTTCATATAAAAAGTCAAATCCTCTGCTTCGATAATTGTTAAGCACCTGAAAATAGCAACAACAATACTGACTAAAAACATCACTTGTAATTCTAATGACATAGAAATTTCCACATCATCTTCTACATTGCTTATCATCTTTGTAGTCTTCCAGCTTACATTTTTATATCCAATTGATATCCACTTCAAAAAGAACTGTCAATTCAAAGACGTACACTTTTTAGTCAACCAGTTGATATACTTCGTTCACACTTCAGAGAATATGCGGTAAGGTAGGAATTTCTGATTATTAACTTTCAAATCCATAAAAATCAGGATCTAATGAAGTAATGGATTTTTTTTTTATTTATTCATCTGGCAGACTTTATCACTTTAAACATTATTTTTAGTGGATACTTATATTTGTGTAGATGTTCTGTTTATTTATTAAACAGTATATTTATTTATTTTCATCTACCAGCCTGAATATACTAGATGGCAATATGTTTGCGAAAACCTAATAATAGTCAGGACTTAACAAAATATGCTGGCATTTTTTGTGCCATGGATAAACTAATTTATTAAGTAGCAACTCAAGCTGTGCCTTGTTGAGGTGTATACATACATACATACATACATACATACATTATATATGTTATATACATGGAAAAAAATCTAAAGTGTTGGTATACCCCACAGAAAGCCTGCATTGTAACCATAAGAAAACTCAATAAAAAGAAAAGACTAACAGTGAATAAAGCAAAAACCAAGATAAAAACTTATACAAGAAAATGAAACAAACTAAGAAAAAAAACACACACCAAAAGGTAGACCACCCCACAAAAACAGCAACCAATAGTGCTCTATGCCTAGGTTATCAAGACAAAGCAAAAACACTTCACACCTCAAAAAGAGACAAAGTTTGTTTCACTACTTACACATACCCAGCAACCAGAACACCTGTGTGTGTGTATATATATATATATATATATATATATATATATATATATATATATATATACTATTAGCTTAAAGCCTTGCTGACTCCTGTGTAAGACTCTAGCAACACTGTTCCATTCAATATACAATAGGGTCCCATCATTCACAGAATTGTCAATTAAGATTTCCTTACACTTGCTTTTTTTAGCATGAATGTTCAGATTACAAAATTAAGCTTATTTAAGCAGAAATCAATGTTGAAACTTTTTTAATGCAACTTATAGAAAATAACTGAAATTTCAAACCAATTAGGATTATATTAAAAAAAAAAAAAAAAAGGTTTTGTTTTTTCATTCCAACTGGAAGATGCCAGCCTAATAAGCAGACATTAATGGCTTCAATACAAAAGACACAATTTTATCTTTAATTCTGAACTTAAGATGCTAACCAAACACACAAAGATGAGACATGTTGTCATTAAAAAGTTTTTCCAGTTTGTTTCCCCACATTAGGTTTCAAGCAAGAAATAAACATGAAATGTGACTCAAATGCTAAAATTTGTTAGGCATGACCAGACTCTGCTAAAATTACCAAAGTTTAATTTTTTTAAAGGTTATCTGTAGATAAGCCAATCATCAAAATTTACATTAAATATTTTTATTATTAAACTACTTTCTCAAAATGGAAAACATATTTCCAATGGGAAAAATATAAAATGCAGACATGTCTTTAATAATAATATTTTGAAATTAATTAATCTTTATGTAATATCATATGCAAATGAGGACAACATAAATAGAGAGCAGAGAGTAAACAAGGTATCATTAGTCAGCGAACCCGTTTGCTAAATGTAACATGGGAAACTGTGTTATGATTGTTACTACTCAGAGAGAAATACGCATCACAACAATGGCATCACTGATAGGATGTTTGAATGAGATGGAAGATCCCAAACACAGAGACCTGGATCAAAATCTTTTCAGCTTTTGCAAGAGTATAAAAACTAAGACATACCAAGAACAAAGGAGGAGAAAACAAGATAATGGATTTATTTCTTTCTGGGTGCGAAGAAGTAAATAAATTTTTGACAATGTGTTACCTGAGCGAACTAGAACAAATGACATTTGAAGAAATTGTCAAAGTTATAAAAAAGAACATAAGATCAAAGAAAAGATTGGTCGTTGATGAAAGAACCAAGTTTTTAGAGACAAGACAAGCACCAAATGAGTCCATTGTACAGTACTTACATAGGTTAAAAGAATGTGTTAAATACTGTGAGTTTGAAAAATTGGAAACTCAGGAAATTACATAGAAGATGAATTAATTCTTCTCTGAATAAATGAAGGTTTGCAAGACCAGAACCACAAATAAAAAATACTAGAAGCTTTACAAAGTTGTAACATGGGTTTGGAGGCTAATGTTGAATTTTTAAAACAGAGTTGATTAAAGAATTTAATCAACCAAAAGAAGAATTTGAGGCATACAGGATGAGCACAACCAAACCTATAATTAAATGTAGATACTGTGGAAAAAATCATGAGAGAGACAAGTATAAATGTCCTGTATTTGGAGAAGTATGCTCAAAGTGCAAAAAACAAGACCATTCTCAGAATGTATGCAAATACGAGAAAGAAAATAGAAAGAGTACAAAAAGTACAAACCTCCTTTGAAGAAGAGGCTGAAATATTTACAGTATGTAAGCAAAAAAGAAGGAGATAAAAAATAAAGATAAATGGCCTAATGTTTAACATGCAAGTTGATACAGGTAGTGAAGTCATGCTGAGACCAAAGAATTTTGGGGTCAAATTAGGATGGCCTAAATTAAAAAAAAGCAACATCCAATTGAAGCAATTTAATGGAACAACTACAAAATTAATGGGTACGTTTCAAGGCAATTTTGAAATGGATATGTGTTTTGAAATAATTCCCATTACAGTAGTAGAATGCAAAAAAGATCATGGATTAGTAGGGATTGATGTGTTAAAAGAAGATATGGCAAAATTAATCAATTCCATGGAAGTACAAAATGAAATTGGAGTGTTAAAAGGCTATAAAGCAAGTATTCGACTAAAAGAGAATTATCACCCAAAATATATAGAGTCAAGTTCCAATTCATATCCTACTTTTGGTGGTGGCCAAGTTAAACAAAATAATACACCAAGGCATACTAGAAAAAGTGATTCAAGGTGGTAGCAATTGGGCATCACCAATACTAGCGATAAAGAAACCTGATGGAGATTTAAGTATTTGTGGTGATTACAAAATAGGGGTAAATCATCAGGTATGTTCAGACTCTTTTCTGTTGCTAAATATTGAAACTGTGAGCCACGTGTTAGTGAAAATTGAACACTGAAATTTATCTCAAGGCAGCATACAATCAAATAGAAATTGATGAAAAATTCAATCAAGTAATCAGATTTAGGATATCAAATATTGAAAGAAGGCATATTACCTTATAAGAGATTAACAAAGAAAATAGCAGAAATAGCTCCTCCAACAAATAAAAAGGAATTAGAATCCTTTTGGGGGCTGATGAATTTTTATAGTAAATACATTCCAAGATACAGCGATGTAATAGAGACATTTGCAAAATTATGCAAGAAAAATAATGAATTTAACTGGACACAAGAGCAAACTATCGCTTTTGAAACATTAAAGTAAATAATGAGGAGCAAACCAATAATAAAAGTTTTTGATTCACAAAAAGAAGTAACATTAACCACAGATACGAGTGAAAAGGCGATTGCTGCTGTCGTATCACAAAAACACCCAATCATATACATATCAAGAAGGTTAACGCCAGTCAAGATTAACATATTGAAAAAGAATATTGGCGATTATATGGAGGATGGAAAGGGCACAAATATTTTTGGTAGGAAAGAAATTCTTATTAAAATCGGACCTCAAACCATTGGAATTCATATTTAACCTGAGAAAAGAATTGTCAAAAGTAACATCGTCAAGGATTTTGAGATGGGCGATAAAGATCATGGCATTCGATTTTAACATAATGTATATTAAAAAGAACACTATCCCTCATGTAGATGCATTATCAAGATCGCATTTCAAGAATAAAGCTGAAGAAAAACAGGAAAAGGAGGAAGACAAAATAATACACTGGATTGAAATGGATATTCTTCTTCTAAATAGGCTCAAAATAGAGACAGAGCAAGACCCAGTATTAAGCAGAATAGTGGAGAGAATAAGAAATAATGTATGCAGCAATTGCTCAATGGCAGAGCGGCCCTTTAAAGATACGAAGCACATACTGACAGTAGAAAATGGCATAATATGCAATGGAGATATAATTGTAGCTTCACAAACACTGAGAAGGGACATATTAAAAGGAGTGCATGACATGCATTGTGGCATAATAGCAGCGCAAAAAAGACTGAAGTTACAAGCTGGGTGGCCAGGATATTCAAAAGATGTAGAGGAGTATATTAAGAGATGCCCAAAATGTGCAGAAATAAAAATTTTCAAGCAAAAAAAAAAAAAAAATTCACTTATGGCCCAAGGAATCAGAGCCATGGGTTAGGGTTCACATGGATTATGCACATATCAAAGATAGGGGATTGTTCTTAGTACTAGTGGATTCATATTCAGAGTGGCCAGAAGTTGTCAGAGTAAAAGACAGAAAAGCCACCACAATAAAGCAAGTACTAAGAATGATATTCTCAAGGAATGAAGTACCCCAGACACTAGTCAATGACAATGCACCTGAATTTTCCAATGAGAGTTTATATGTGTTGTTGAAACAAATAGGAAGTATCCCATACAAAACACCACCATATCATCCACAATCTAACGGCATTGTGGAAAGAATGGTACAAATGATAAAAATGAGGTTAAAAGCATTATCACCACTTAATGAAAGCCTAGAAGCATATTTAGTGAAAATGCTTCTCAGTTATACATCTATTCCACATGCAGAAAGAAAGCTGAGCCCTTCGGCATTAATAGGCAGACAAATCAGAGCCCCCATACCTTTGTCCTTTTCAACAAAAGAAAAGGTATGGTATAGAAAGAATAAGGAGGCTGATCCAGAAGAAGCAAATTTCCTGATACAAAAAGGACAAAACACAGCTGGAGAAAAAGGGGCAAAATATAATAGCACATGCGGATCAATTCAGAAGCAGAAATGAATTGGATGATGTGGAAATGGAAGATCAAGAGCAAGAAGAGACAGAAAGTCAAAAAATGAATCAGAACAGGAAATGGAAGAAAGTGAGAGTGAAAAGACAGATGAGAGTGAAGAAGAAAATGAAGAAAGGCCAAGATCACCATTAAGAAAAAGAAAAGGAGAGCACAGTATGAGAGTAATCAGAAATAGTAGTAGATTAAACAAGGTGTCCGGCCTCTTCAGTTCAGGGAGGTGTAATATCATATGCAAATGAGGAGAACAACATAAATAGAGAGCAGAGAGTGAACAAGGCAGCATTAGTCAGTGAACCCGTTTGCTAAACGTAACATGGGCAACTGTTCTACGATTGTTACTTCTCAGAGAGAAATACACATCACAACACCTGGATTGATAATATTTTGAAATTAATTAATCTTTGAATAACCAATCAAAGCCATAAAAATCCGAGTCATTAGATGACTACTTTATTAATTTGTGCTTCCCCACTCCCCATAACCAAAATTTATGGGTGAAAAACATGAAGAGAAGACTTGCCAATTGAGTCAGAAAGCATTAAAATGTTAATTATAGTTATAAAATAGAGTGATTTCCTGGTGAAATTTTTGGGATATATTCACTATTATCTGGAGATTCCACCATGCATGTAGAACTTCCCAACTGTAAATAATGTCTTATTGTTGTAGTGTGTGATTTACTCCAGGAAATACCAGATGGTCTGAATTGAATTTAATGCCAATAAAGAACCTTTGATCAAAGAGAAGTTGACCTGCAGTGACTCCAATATATAATGGGCCTCACCTTAAGAAAGACCAAAACAGACTTTGTACTCAGTGTCACACCAGGTGCATCAGAGAGTTCAACTAAAAGGTTATCTCTTAGCCACTAGATGCTGATTTACACCTCACAGCATTAGTGGATGCCTCCAACATTCAAACAGCTGGTTAATATAGCTGCAAATTAAGATGTGAACACATGACACAACCTAATGACAGGAAGATAGATAAGAAATGACCTGAGAGGGAAACGACAGAGAGTTTCTCACATCCTCATGGTGATGAAGAATCCACATTCAGAGAAATCCACACATCCACTTGCTGATATCAATTGACAAAGTCCAGAGGTGAATAAACAATATTTTTTTGAAAATGATTTAGTTTTGTATTCTTATTAATAAGGTTACATTTGTAAGGAGAAAAATGTCTGTCTCACACTCCTCATCAAAAGACTCACCCATCATTCCTCTAAAAGACTATTCTGTTATTCCATTAAAAGGTATTCATTTGTTCCATTAAAAAGTTATCCTGTTAAAAAGCTATCCCAGTGTTACCTTTTAAAAAAAGACAATCCTGGGATCACCTTTTCAAAAAAGCAATAATGGCATCACCTTTTCAAAAAAAGCAATCCTGACATCCCATTTAAAAAAGGCAATCCGGATGTCCCATTTCAAAAAAGGCAATCCGGATGTCCCATTTCAAAAAAGGCAATCCGGATGTCCCATTTAAAAAAAGGCAATCCGGATGTCCCATTTAAAAAAAGGCAATCTGGATGTCCCATTTCAAAAAAGGCAATCCCAGTGTCCCATTAATTTTACAATTAGTATTCTTATCAGTCTTTACAATGATAATGTTGCACTGTATTCTTATCTGACTTTAATTCCTAAATGATTCTTGATTTTCACAACTGAAATATCAACAAAGTGAAATATCTCAGGCAAAATATTTGGTTCTTAGAAGAAAAAAATTCTACAGAGATGACTATAAACTCACAGAAAGAGCTCAAAACTCAAAACATCTACAGTAAAAAAAAAAAAAAAAAAAAAATGAAAATTGTTTGTGAATAAAGAGAAAGAAACTTACTATGTCCGAACATGCAGTACATTTACTGAAAGAGCTGGCAGCTGGTAAAACAATATGGTATCGGGAGAGGAAACCACGCATCTGAAAGTAATTTAAAAATCATTGTTGAGAAAAGATCTCCTTTCATATAAGAAAGAATCAAGTTTGGTGACAAAACACCAATCAATCAAGGCTGACCACAGTTGGGGTCACAGAATCATTGTAAACTCTACAATCCTTTCATTAGCTGCATAATATATGCTTTGCCAGGACTACATACGGTTTTGAATTCCACCCAAAACTATAGGACCCAGGCTGTCCTGCTATTTACCCATAGCTGAGGGAGAAGAGAAGAATTCATACCATTCCCAATCGTATTTACACATAAGTGAATGTAACAAATTCAACTGGAATTCAAACTCAGCTCTCATATTCTTCAATTTAAGCTGCTATCCATTACTCCACCATGCCTCTAGGCAAGCAATAAACTGTAACGTATACAGAACTCTAGTTACATCTACCCTATAGTAATGATACAAGACCTAGTAACCATACAACAGGCTATTATCCTAGCTGGACTAACATTTTATAGCCACATCTACATTCTTTGACAAAATGATTTTTCTTAAATGTGTTAATTTTGTCTTTAAAATAATTGTTAAAAAAAAAAAAAAAAAAAGAGTTGGTCGGTCAACTTGAAACCCCCAAAGCGAGTGGAGGTGGGCAGGTGCGGGAACTGTGATTGGTAGCTGGCTTGTTGGTGTTTTGCATAGGTAAGTTACCAAGCTCTATGTAGAGGGCTGGAATGAGAAGGAGGGCAGTTTTTCAGTCTCAGAAGTGGAGACTGTGTCTGTCGCTACGACAGCAGGAGAGAAAGAGACAAAATCATTTACTTTTTCGTGACACATTCCAACACAAGCTATTTCGGCATTTACTTTGTCTCCAGCAAGATGGCAGAAAGACCATTCAACATAAAACTGATCTCCGAATTCAGTGGTGATATGAGTGGACAGTCTGTGGTTGAATGGATCGAAAAGGTGGAACTGGTCTGCAAATTATGCGAGATCACGAAGATTGAACGGATTCTTCCACTGCGCTTGAAAGGCGGCACCCTTGCTGTGTACAGGCAGTTGAGCAAAGAACAGAAAAGTGACATTGAACAAATAAAGCGCGCTCTACTAACCATGTTTGGAACTGACCGGTTTGTGGCCAATGACCAATTCCAGAAGCGGCGTTTACGACCTGGCGAGACAGTAGACGTATATTTGGCAGAATTAAAGAAGCTCGCCGTACCAATCGCACCGCTTCCTGAAGAATGGATGACCTGTGCCTTCGTGTCTGGATTGCCTAGTCATGTTAAGCAGATACTCCGTGCATCATCCAGAATGGAAGACATGACGCTCAATCAATTGTTGACCAGAGCCCGTGCTATCATGATCGACGAAAAAGAGGCTGATTAACCAGTGGCTGCAGTTGTTCGACCAATTGAAATCAAAGAAAGTCCGACCCCAGTCATCCGTTGCCATGGCGATGTGACCTGCTAACGGTGCTCTGGGCTGAATCATTTTGCCAAAGACTGCCGCTATCAACGCAAAGCAATGTGCAGCGGGTCGGCGCGAAAGGCACGTTTCAATCTACAATGTTTCCAATGTCATAAAGTAGGTCACATTGCCGATAAGTGTCTGGGAAATAGAATGGGGGATGCGATGTCAGCCGGTCTCTTCTCTGCACCGAGCATGAAAGAGGTGCTCCCTGTGATTAAGGTGCGCATCAATGGAATAATGTGTACCGCTTTAGTCGATTCGGGCTGCTCTCAGTCACTCACGAACGGTTCGATTTGTCGACAGTGGAGCAGACAAAAGATGGACATATTAACGGCTGATGGAAAAGCTCTCAGAAGCCGGGGAGTTGGAAACATCAAACTCACTATCTACAACGGTAACCCCATTACAGTCAGTGTGTTGGTCGTGGACAGCGTGTTATTAGGTTTTGATCTGCTCCTTGGGATGGACATTCTTAAGGAGCTGGGCGGCGTACGTAGGTGGGCGAAGTCGAGTTTTCTGATCCGCCCATCTGTGCTGCCTTGAGGATTAACGAACCTGACTTCAGTGCAACTTTCAACCAGCGCAGGTGTGTATGGATCGCAATGTGGAAGTGGGCGGGTGGACGAACGCCCACGCCACTGAAAAATAAAATAGCAGAGTACCCAGTTCCAGAGCATATCAGGAGCGAATACAAAAATGAATTGCAGCTTTGGATAGCAAACGGCTGGCTTGCGCCGTACCCCGAGGAGGAGTTAGGGCCGCCTCGAGGACTGATTCCGTTGATGGCAATAGTGCAAGAGAATAAGGGGAAAGTGAGACCGGTCATGGACTACAGGGAATTGAATACCTTTGTAGATGCATATACGGTCAACATGGACGTTTGGGCCCAGAAATTGCGGGAATGGCGAGAGCAAAGGAGCAATGTGGCCACCCTCGATTTAAGAAGGGCCTACCTCAAGTCCGAGTCCCCCGATCACTCTGGCCCTTTCAGACTGTCATGGTAAAAGGACAGAGATATTGCCTCACTCGATTGGGATTTGGTCTTAATGTGGTTCCAAAAATCATGTCAGCGATTATGAATGTGGTCATGTCGCAGGATGAGGAAATTGAAAGAACGCGTCATCCTACATTGACGATGTTTACGTCAATGAAAACGTGGCCTCTTCAACGAGGGTTAAGGAACATCTGGAGCACTCTGGCTTGGTGTGCAAGGCCCCAGAGCCACTACAGGATGGAGCAAATGTACTTGGACTACACGTCAGTAGTGATGGAGAAAAACTTCGCTGGAGGCGAGGTAGTGACCTCCCGCCAGTGATCACTCGTCGGACTACCTTTTCCATGTGTGGGAAACTGGTAGGCCATTTTCCTGTATGTGGTTGGCTCAGAGTGGCGGCAGCAGCCATAAAGCGCTGCGTAACTTCTGTTTCGTCAGGATGGGATGATGAGGTGTACGACGTTACCCTAAGATGCATGATAACTGAAACTATGGAGAGAGTGATGCAAGACGATCCCGTGCGAGATGACTGGTGCGTTAAGGGGAACGAGCTCATCTTTTGGGTGGATGCCAGCTCGTTGGCCATGGGTGTCACCCTTGAGGATAACAGGTCCATCATAGAAGACGCCTGCTGGTTACGACCTGAAAATGATGCACAACACATAAACCTGGCCGAACTAGACACCACTCTGAAGGGGCTTAACCTGGCGCTCCAATGGCAAGCAACAGTGCTATACATCGTCATGCACTCAGCATTGGATATCAGATGCACTTAGCAGAAGAGCACGACTGACCACCAAGGCATCGAGCGAGATGTTGATACGAAGGCAGCTCACCACGCTGATTGAAACTATCAAAGAGTACAACCTGTCTGTGGATGTAGTGTTAGTTATATCGGCAGTCAACAGATCAGATGCATTGACTCGCGTTCCGCAACGTTGGTTGGCTGCTGCTCGGAAAGAGTCTGAACCTCTGCAGCTGCCGTGTACAGCTTCTGCACTCAGTATGGACCTCGAGCGGATCATGAGCATACATGAACAGTGTGGGCATCCTGAAATTAAACAGATGCTCTACTTCTCAAAGATGGTCGACTCAGCAGTTAAAAAGACAGACGTTAGGACAGTAGTGCAGAGGTGTGAGGCGTGCCAGTCAATTGACCCGGCACTGGTGCAATGGCAAAAAGGAAATTTGAGTACTACCCATGTTTGGAACAGGCTGGGGATAGATGTTACGCATGTTGGCAGCCAGCACTATTTGACTATTATTGACTGTGGACCCTCTCGCTTCACCATTTGGTGACTACTGCACCGGCAGGACACCGCCAGCATAATACGTCAATTGTAGTCCATCTTTTACGACCGGGGGCCACCTGCAGAAATATTGACAGATAATGGTGCGGCGTTTTCTTCAGAGCAATTCTCGCAGTTCTTAAAGAAGTGGGGTGTGCGGCTTCGGTTCCGGTGCGCCTACGTGCTGGCGGGAAATGGCATAGTAGAAAGGAGCCACCAGTCTATAAAAGTGATTGCAGCCAGGAAGCGATGTTTGATCCCCGAAGCAGTCTATTGGTATAATGTGACGCCTAAAGACGGAGTTTCGCCTACAACAGCACCGGCTAACATGGTGCACGCCTATCACTTACGGCTGCAAGGCATTGACATCGCAATGGCTCTGAGCGACACGCAAGCTAAATACAGAATTGGTGACATAGTGTGGGTTAAGACCCCGCACAGCAAGTGTACAAACAAGCTTAGAATGGGGCATGTTACCGAGATTATCAGCCATGGCGTGCCTCGTCATGTTAAAGACTTGTGGCCAGTTGTAGGGTTAAAACCGTCATCAGATGATGAAAGTAACTCTGAAGATGGTGTGCGAGTGGTGTATTTAAAGTCGGATCTACTGAGTTTTACCTCAAACATCAGTACTCTACCTGCGGACGTCAACGTGGCCAGCTGTCCAGATGCGGATGGTAGCTCAATGGATAAGAGTTCATCCGAGGATGAGGACCCTGTCATCCCGCTCAGAAGGAGTGCCCGGCAGAAGAGGTCTCCCCCGAGTTGCACGGTGTGCGATCATGACAGCAAGACACAGGATGAATCTGGAAATCTGCCACCTCAGAGCAAACGAGTTCGCGCATGTGTGGTTATCCCAATATGTCAAGTGTGCAAGTTGTATATATACGGACGCAGTCACCAGACAGACGTGACCATCTCTTGAACTGAGAAGCTTTGTGATCTTAAGATCAGGGGGGCATGTAATGAGTTGGTCGGTCAACTTAAAACCCCCAAAGCGAGTGGAGGTGGGCAGGCGCGGGAACTGTGATTGGTAGCTGGCTTGTTGGTGTTTTGCATAGGTAAGTTACCAAGCTCTATATAGAGGGCTGGAATGAGAAGGAGGGCAGTTTTTCAGTCTCAGAAGTGGAGACTGTGTCTGTCGCTACGACAGCAGGAGAGAAAGAGATGAAATCATTTACCTTTTCATGACACATTCCAACACAATAAAATGGTTAATTGCCTTGAGTGTTTTGTGTCTCATAAAATTCAGTTTAAAAATATAAAAAAGTTCTTTTTTTAGGTTTTTTTGAAGATAAATTAAAATGTCTTAAAAAAATCTTTTTGTTGTATGCTGGACAAAATTTGATATTGTACAGAATTTTAAAATATTCAGGTTTCCTGGAAATCATTTAAACATATTAATAATTATAAATACTTTATTTGTGAGTTTCTAACGAAATTATTATGTCATGCTTGTGTAATTCCTGACCACTGACAATCCCTTTCTTCCTCCTTTTCAATGCATTTCTATGATACAAATCATTAGCAATGCATTTACATTATACCTATATTGGCACTATTCTAACACTAATGGTATTTTTTCTAATGTTCACCCTAGACAAAACCCAAGAGCCACTCAAAGTTTAAGTTTACTGTGTGATATTATAGGGGCATAAAAAAAAGGCAAGAACACATTCTTCCTGGTTTTCAATTCATTTCTATAGTAAAACCATTAGCAATGTGTTTATACTATACATATAATAACCCTATTCTATCAGCAATGTTTCCATTCATTCCTGACCATCGACAATCCCTTTCTTACTTTTAATGCATTCTTATCAAAAAATCATTGGCAATACATTTACATTCTACATATAATAGCCCTATTTTATCAGTAATACTTGTATTAATTCCTGACCACTGACAATCCCTTTCTTCTTGATTTTCAAAACAATATAAAGATTGGGTTTTAAATCTTGCAAAAACAAATCTTTAATAAAAAAAATTGCTAAATTTAGCCTTCAATTTTTTCCAGCCAGAAATTCTAGTGCAGCAGATGATTAAACATAAAAGCACTAGAGTAGTGGTAATGTCAGTGGATGGTAATAAGATGAGAGAAAATTTTTCCAAAACATACAGGGGTCAAATGCAGTTTGTACCAAAATATAATCAATGTTTTATTTGTCCCCTTCTCCTCCCATCAGAATTTTATATACTTATATCACCATTAGCAGGAATAAACATTTTGACACATTTTTTTGTTCACTGTGTCATGCTAGACAATTTTTCACCTTTTAGCATTTGGCCATGTTTTGAAAATTACTTTTATATCTAGTCTGATGCTTCTGCTATGTATTTAGAGATTCTTGATAAAATACAAAGAAGAATCTGCAATGTTATCAATCCTGACCTGGTATTTCGGCTTCAATCTCAACTGCTGTAATGTAGCTTCTGTGTAGCTTTTCTATAAATATTTTTATGGTAATTACTCTGATGCTACTTCCAATTTTAAGTACAGTACTAGCTTGGCAGCTAAGTCTCATCATTTTACAATTGAAATGGTTAGATGTAACTGTAAGTTCTATGCTAACAGTTTCTTTTCTCACACTTCTTACTTGTGGAAACCGCTTCTGGTTTCTTGCTTTCCAACCAAATTTGATCTTCAAAAATTTAAATGCACTGTCAACCATTTTCTGTCTTCTTAGCTCCTGTTCTTTTGTTGTTCTCTTTCCATAAAAAATCTTGCATCTTATACCATGGGAGTTTACTATGTCATGTAGCAATGTCTATACAATACTGACCACCAAGTAATCAGGAAAAATTCTCATCTATAATGACCAGAATAGCTGAGTGATATAATTTGACATCTGTAAATATTATTAAGCTTTCATTTGGACCATCTTACCTGATGAGGAACTATTCCAAAAGAGGACTCAGTATCTTTTAGAAAGGAATCGGTTTCTGAATTTGTACAAGCTGGAGCGTTTAGTCTGGAAAGAGAAATTGACAATTTATGCTTTCATTAAATTGTACATATGACATAAAGGCAGAAAAATATTTTAAAATTACTAACTTATAAAAATATCTTTTATATAATCCATTATAAAAACAATTATGTAAATTTACATACTTCCACCTCTCTCACTTTTTACATAAGGAAATAATGTATCACTTAAGAATTTTTCAATTTTTCCATTTGATTACTCATATACATGCATATATATATATATATATATATATATATATATATATATATGTGTGTGTCCATGTGATCTGTGCCTATACTTTTGACAATAGTCCAATGCTGATTTTCTCACAAAATGCAACATTGGTAGAATCGAGACTTTCCCGATGCAGTCACTATTTTGCTGGGCTGGTCATGTTGCAAGGATATACCTATGATCCTCATGTATAGCCAGCTCAACAGGGGACAAAGGAATGTTAAACAGCTGTGACTCAGGTATAAAGACAAGCTAAAGAAATATGCCTCTCAGCTGTCAATGTGCCTCATACTAAGAAAAGTTATATGAGCTCCACAATCATCTTTGTCGCCTTGGTATAAATAGATTAGCCCACTTGTTCAAGATGGAAACCATATTTCTAAAAAACCTGAAAAAGTTTGCCTGATAAAGGCAATACAACAAAGGCAAAGAATCAGCATAGATTTTAAGGGACCTCTTAATTCTAACTCACAGAAGCATTATATGTTAAAGATAATAGAGGAGTACTATTGGTTTCCTTTTGCTTGCCCCAATATAACAACTAGTGTAGTAATTAAATGCTTAACTTAGATTTTTACCATGTTCGGAACACCTTTCTACATCCACTCCGACCAGGGTTCCTCATTTCTATCTAAGGAACTGTGTGAGCACTTCACTAATTTGGGTGTAGCTATGAGTTGAACAATCCCAAAGGAATGGTCAGTGTGAATGATACAATAGAATTATCTGGAAGCACGTCACACTGGCCTTGGCTTGGAGAAATCTACGAGAATCTTAGTGGGAAGTTGTTCTATATTTATTACTGACTGTGGATTTTTAAGTTTTTTTCCTAATATCTACTCCTTTACTTATATTCTTGGTATTCTTATTTGCTCTTAGCCATGTGTGGACTACTGTGTTTATTATAGCCTTTGTCAAGGTATTTCTTTAGTTCTGTTCCTTATTACACTCACATATGACAAACATAAAAACTGAATGAGGTTGTCAGATCGTCATACGTCAACACTGATGGGAAAGTCCATCACACAAACACATACACACACACATATATTTAAACATATATTATTAAATATAATAGACGATGAATGTCTATTATGTCTGATCATGAGCCGTTCTAATGTTCGAATGTTTGCTTTAATTTCTGGTGAAAATAAAGACAAAAATTGTCCAACATTTGGATATTTTTTTTTATTAAGTTGGTCCTAAGCTTTTGGTTCACATGAGCCATCCTCAGAGTGGTTATACAGACATGAAACAAAGATATCCACCATCAAATGTGATGTTTTGTTATTTTGACATTGAAAATTTCTATGCAATGATAATGGTTGTGGAATAACAGACGCAGATCATAAATTCAAGATGCGGTTCTATGATGTCCACTTGATAGACCGAAGTATTATAACAGAACCAATGTTTAGATGCAATGTAATGTGTTGTGACTAGTTTAAAATGTAATTTTGTTGAGTGTGGGTTGCTTCATTTTAATGTAGATGGCCTCCAATATCTGAAGGTTCTTTTTACTGTGTGTATGTGTGAGTATTATTGTGTTATCTACTAATATCTGTCCGATATTATGTACATGGCTATGTTTTTCGAAGAAATGTTGCTTAATAGAACTAAGATCAGAAAGGTGACAGGTAAGTCTACGAGAGAGTGTGGTTGTAGTAAAACCAATACATGTAGCAGGTTTATTATTAGCATCAGAGATACGATCTCTGAATAGGCATGTAAATTGATACACTACGTTGTTTTTTGTTGTAGAGGATTTAGTTGTGTGCCTATAAATATATAAGTATTTACAAACATACCCAGAAGGATGTTGCAAAATGGAAACCAAGAGTTCAACTGCCAAAGCTGCTCCCATCATCGATATCCCTGGTCGGGACACAGTACACTGCTGATCAAGAGTTCGATCTTTAGTAGACTAAAAGAAAAAAAAAACAGAGATTTTAATGTGTGGCACCTTTAAGAAAACAAACTGATAATACAAACACATATATACATGGGAAAACATTCATTTCTTTTTGGGATTAGTGTGTATAGAAATTGTACAAATTATTGTTCATTCTGGGTGTTTACGAATTCAAATGTCTGATAGGGATCTGTATTCTTGATAAAAATTTATACTTGTTTATCAAGATGGCTGAACCTACATTTCTTAGACCATATCGCTATAAGGACTTATTTAAACAAACATGAAAATTTAGCAATTTTGCTATACAACATTCTCATTGAAAAGACAAATATATCTATAAAAAAACCCCTCTAAAACAGATGTTCAGTAACATCAACTATGAAGAAGTCATTTAAGACTTTAAAGATGACAACGATGATTTGGAAGTGTTAATTAATTATAATTAAGTGTTCCAATGTAAAATGATTGAGAAATAACTGCATAATAGTATCATAAGTTACATGACTCAGAAGATCATGCAACTTGTCAGATTTAAAAGGCTGGGGGCCGGTTTTGGGTCAATCCAAATGGAGGGAGACATTATTGGTCAATCCAAAAGTGGAGAAACCTTATTGGCCAATCCTAAAGGGGAAGAAGATTATTAGATGATCAAAAAGGGGGAGGAGATTATTGGCCAATCAAAAAGAGGGGAAACATTATTGGTCAATTTTATATATCAAGAACAATAGTGGGGGGGAAAAATGTATGACAAAGTGAAAAAGGTTTTTTCAACTGAGCCGTTGAGATTTTATAACTAGACAGATCATGAGTTAGTCATGTTTATTTTTTCAATGTTGACGGTATGGGATAATAATATATAAATTCTTAAATATCGACAACAATTTTGGGGAAAATATGTATGACAAAGTGGAAAATAGTTTTTTCAACTGGGACATTGGTGTAAAGGAATTTTATAGTTAGACTGGTCATATTGTTCTTATTTGCCAGAAAACAACGAAAATTCAAATTTTGTACGACAATTCTATGCAGTATTATTGTCACAATAATATCCAATACTAAATTTAAAAGTTTAAAAAAATATCTATCAAATATAACTTACATCTCCCGGAGCTACAACATCATTACAAAAGTAGCATCCTAATTTGTCTCCAGGCAATTCTCCTTGAGGAATGTCAACATTGTCATCTGATGACTTTTGGCATCCTTCCTTAACATTTCTGAGGCCATGTCGAATGACCAAGAATGTGTCAAAGCCCAGTGCTGCATTAATCACAATCTGCAATGAAAAGAAAAATGTTATTTAAAATTAGTTTTAGATTTAAATATTTAGTATAGTCAATTTTCTCAATTTATTCAGCGACCTGCTAATTAAGAATTAACTGGCCTTATATCCTCAATAATAAATATTCAGTTTTGTTATAAAGCAGTTGCTAATTATATAAGTAAAATTCTTTATTCAACAAAACCATATTGCAACATGTTGCTGTTGAACAGATGCTAATTATAACCTCCTCTAATAGTGAACAGTTTCTCCATATTCCTATAAATGTTAGTCACTCCAACAGGGATTTCACACTGAGGCAAGTCTGGATATGACTTTCTGAATCAGTGCAAAGTCAGGAGTATGTGATACTTTAATTGAAAATATCCAGAGTGGAGAAGTTTTTGATAAACCATATATTGCCATTCTATTACAGGAAAGAACAATGCTGAAAAAAAGACATATTTATCATGTAAAAGTATGCTTTTTGATTGTAGTTCAATAGTACCTTATAAACACAAATCTTTATCAAACTCCTGAAACATTCTTATTTTTGTATTCTAATGTAAACAAAGAAATTTCTAAAGAAGTGATGGATTTTTATTTATCAAACTGACAGATTTTATTAGTTAAACATTATTTTTAGTGGATACCCATATTTGAGTAGGCATTCAGTTTATATATTAAACAGTATATTTATATTATTAGTTTATATTTATTATATTATTCATATACATCTACCAGCCTGAATATTTGAGAAATTTTCTTAAAAGAAAAAAAATACTGTTGGAGAGCATATATTTTTCTTTAATAAGATTTCTCAACTTATCAATAATATATTAAGACAGGTAAATCTATAAACAGATCACAATCAATACTTTTTTTTGCATAAGGATGATTGTCTTGAGTTAATAAAAATTGTTTTGAGGACTTTTAAATGAGAATTAGAATATGATCTGCTCAAAACTGTGAATATGTCCTCCCAGACATGGTTGTTAGAACTGAATGAGATTTATTTATAAATATACTGGTCTCAGTATATTATTGATACATGTCCATTTTCTTCCTCAGGTTTAGTCTGTGTGCACCACATTTTAACGTCCTTGATTGAGTTCTAATGAGTGAGAAACGAGAACTGGTTACCTAATTCTATAGGATACCATTTTTTTTTTTCTTTCTGTAGTCGTTGCTTTCCTTTTAATTATGTTTGTTTTTTTATTGCTTTATTTAGACAAATATTAATAATTTCTGTCTAAATATCTGTTTGATTCATTCATTTTCTACAGTTTATCAACCCATTACAGGTTACTTAAAGTCTGGGATATGATGATCAACTAGATCCAGCAGCAAGGCCTCTGATCAGGAGATTGAACGTTTTGAGGAGCATGGAACTACCTCTTAATTGTTGTTGTTCTCAGGTCCACCCTGACCCAGGGGTGGTAACACTTGTTAGTGTCCCAGTTATGGATAAATAGTGAGGCCCCGAATCAAAAACAAAACACTATGAATGTTTAAAAATATATATTTATTGTAAAATTACCAGCAATACATTTTATCTGTATAAAATGACCCATAAAGAGTTGATGTGCTGTTAAACAAAACAAACAGCTTACTTAAAGTCAGAAAATATTTTTAGATTCTAAGAATTTTTTTTTATTTTTTTATTTGGTTTAGCGATACAAGTCTTATAAATTAACCTATAGCTGGTGGGAGGGAGAAAAGTTGGATTAATACCTTTCCCAAGTGTATTTGTGCATAAGGGAATATAATGAACCCAACAGGAATTGGAACTTAGCTGTCCAATTAACAATTCCAAGTCATGGATAATCCATTACATCACTCACAAATCTAAGCTTACAGCACCTGGTATTCCCAAGCAGTGACCAGGCTCAATGTTGCTTAACTTTGGTGATCATACGGGAACCAGTGTTTTAATGTGATGTGTCTGTAAGCCCTGAATGTCTGGGATAAGGAGTTAAAATTATTTATATAATTTACAAACAGACTATTGTCTTCAACTTTGTTGTTACCACAACATTTGGACTTGCACATACCAGCCTTCATTGGGTGTATGTTGATCCAATACTGAGCAGTACTAAAAATAAGAACTAGATGATATATTCCTAATGGAACAAAAACAGTCTACCACTGTAGATTAAATAAAGAGGTTCAGTTCAGAATTCTCTGTAGGTTATTTGCATCAATATACACCTGATACAGGCTGGAGGGCACAAAATATTGATAAAAATAAAGTTGGGCAACTAAGTAGCAAAAACAAAATATCTACATTAAAAATGTAATAAAATTATTATGGAGTAAATTCATGTGAAAATGTAATAAAATTATTTTGGAGTAAAATTATTCTGCTTGATAAATATCTGGTAAAAACCAATGTCCCCACTCCCTTACTTAGACATGATATAAGACCTTCTGAGAAAAAAAGTCACATGTCAGGTAGGTCATTTTCAATCCATGAGAAAACTTTCAGAGCATGTTGACACTCACAATAGGTGCACTTAGTTTGGCTTAACAGCAGGCCTCCCCCTTCATGCACACTCCTGAAAGCTGGAACAGCTTTCTTAGTGTCTTGCTTCCTGAAGTCACAGTTACTTCCTCAAATAGAAGTAGATAGATTCAGCTATCACCCAGTTCACACTCCTCCCCAGTCTATTGGACAGGAGAAGAGGTTTATACCTTGTTTCCTGTTTAGGATTGGGATTCTGGTTCTTTCGAAAGTCTTTTCATTCTTTTTCATTTCCAGTAACCTCTTGCATTTTAGTGGCTTTATTGCCTTGCTTGAGGTGAAATGATTAAAAGAAAACAAAAAAAAATATTGGATTTGTACAAAGATGGTAAAAATAAATAATGGACTATCAAATTATTAGTATAAATCTATATTCCAATGGTAATTGTTTGGATGAGCTTTTCGATATGGATACCTAGATTTTATAGATTTAAACACAGTATTAGACTGGCATCAGGATCTCATTAATTTACAGTTGAAATTTACAACTGACTAGATGTAACCATAAATTTTTCTCGCACTTCTCGCTTATAGAACTTCCTTCTAGCTCCATGCTTTCCAGCCAGCTTTAATCTTCAAAAATTTAAATACAATGTCAATTGCAATCTACTGTCCTCCTGATTAGTCTTTTTGTTCCCGCTCATCAGTAATGTTTCTAATTATTCCACATCAAGTAATCCTTTGTGTCTTAGTGGCTTTACTGCCTTGCATGGAGTGAAATCAATTAAAAGAAAAAAAGCAGCACAAAAATTAAAATTGTCTTTCCTTTACTCACCTTCTGCTGAGAGGCTCCAATAACTGAAGGGAGCCATCGACTTTCGCGAGTATCCATTAGGAGAAAGATGGCATCATGTTCTTCAATTAACTTCTCCAAAAATTCAACGTCTTTTCTTGTTTGTTCCACACCAGTGACTGAAAATAAAGTGATACAATTTTAGAATGATTTGCAATCTGAAATCAAATTGGTTTCATGTAAACATCAAAGATTAAAATGCAAAATGATTTTTTAGATTTTTTGCAAAGAAGTTGGATTTTCTTTTGAAGAAAATTATGAATATTACCTCTAGTTGCAGTACACAAAAACTCATCATGCAGAAATCTTGTTGACTTGCTTTCAGAATTGAATACAAACACAGTTAACTTAAGACGATTACAAGTAGGATTTACTAAACAAGTACATCAAAACATTTATTCACTATGATTACATGTATAATGGTAACAGATACTATAGAAATTCATTGGAAATTATAGTGTATGTGCAAAAGTTTCCAGCAACAAAAAAAAATGGTTTTCAATTGTGTTCAGTCTAGTTTTCATAAAAGAACTCTGGGAACTTCTTGGTCCTGGGTATAATGATAAACTACATCCAGCAACAAGGCCTCTGAGCAGAAGATAGGAGATTTTGAGGAGCATGAAGCCACCTTTTAACTGTTGCTCCCAGGTTCAGCCTGACCCAGGGTTATAGCACCTGTTAGAGTCCCAGCAAAAACCATTTTATAAGATTTTCAACAATACATTTTATGATCTACAAACTATCTGAAACATACTTTTACTGCAATATAAAATTATGTACAAAATCTAAATATTTTGATTCAATTTTATGGCTTCAACTGAATATATATTCAGTTGAAGCCATAAAATTGAATGTTTAGATTTTGGGATTAAATAACCCATAGGAGTTGATATACCACTAAACAAAATCAACAAACTAGGAACTTTTAAAGACACCTTGCAATACAATAAACACCCACGTAGAAAGAGGTGGTTTTATCACAATCTCAAGTGTTTCTGTTTGATAAGCCATCAGATGGTTCCTTTTAAAGTTCAGTCTTCTAAGTGGCATCTATTTTAACCAAAGGGAATGGGAAGTAAAGAAGTGGATATTAACAGTCATGCTTGTGATTGGGGAGAGTTCTGATTCACTCTTAACAAGAGATGTGTTTCCTGTGCCATCCATTTGTATTGCCACCCACTATATCAGGATGAGTAAATGTGTGAGGAGTTGGGAGGGGGAAGAGATGATTTAGCTGAAATTGTCCCAAGTATCACATACCTACCCACCCAGATGAGCAGGCAAAGACCTGAATAAAACATCTACATATATGGGAAACAAAGTTTACATTATCATTTCTCAATCTGGCATTTATCTTACATCTTGTTACTTTGTGAGCATGCAGCAAGCCCTTTCCCAGCTTTTGGTGTGTATCGACAAGATTACACACCTAATATGTTATTATATATTACTATAAATGTTATTTTTGTTGATGCCCATGTTCGAGTAGACACTCTGTTTTTTTAATTTATTTTAAACAGTGGTAATTACATCTGCTGGTCTGTACATTTGAAAAACTGATCCAGTGTACAGTAGACTGACTTTTTCTGCATATTTTCATAGATATGAACAAATATTCAGTCAAGAATGCAGTGGGTGGGATGAGAGAAAAACAATTGTCTTTGAGGAAAATAGCTCTGATAGAGTATGAAAAATATTTCAACTACATATTACTGAAAAAAAACCCAGGTGAAATCATGTTTGAAGACATCATACACATTCTGATGGAAATCTTTAGTGACAAGAGCTGTTTCATGTTTGTTGGAGGTGCATGAATCTAACCAAAAAAGAGGATGAAGATTTTGTCACATATGCTGGTATCTTCAAAGAATGTGAAAATTTTAGAATAAAGGAAATGACTCCAGATATGTTCAAAGGGTTAATTTTTGTTCAAGGTTTAACAACTAAAAAAGATATGAGCAAAAATTTTAATGAAAATTGAACAAAACAGTAATATTACACTGCAAGAAATAGTGGACAATTGCCAGACAATTCTAAGTTTGAAACATAACGCTGAAGAAATTCAGAAAAAAGAATGTGCATTGGTACAAGCAAAGGACAAATGTCCAAAAAGGAGAATAAATCCTTGGTTTAGATGTGGTAAATGACATCTTGAAAAAGACTGTCCATTTAAAGAAGCAGAATGTTACAAGCATGGTAAATGAGGACATATAGTCACACTGTAAAGCCAAACCAAGAAAAAATTCTCACAGGAAGAAATTCATACACAGCATTGCAATGGAAAAAATGGTCACAGAAAACAAAAAGAAATTTGTGAATGTGAATTATAAATAAGATGGGTGTGAAAATGCTACTGGACACTGGTAGTGATATTTCAATAATCAGTGAAACCACATGGAAGGAAATTGGAAAGTCTTTATTAAAAAGGACTTCCAAAGTCACAATTTCAGTTTCTTGTGGAAAATCATTTTTTTTTAAAATGACTGGTAATATTTCATTCTGTAATAAGTATATAAAAACTAAAGCTTATGTATTAAAAAATGCTACTAATTTGTTTGGTACTGACTGGATGGAACTATTTGAACTTTGGGATTTGCCGATAAGCGTTTATTGTAAAAACGCAAGTGGACAAGTGACCAGTTTAAAAAGCCAGAGTGAAAATCTTAAGAAAGAATTAAAAAATATTTTCCAGATGTTTTGTCAAATGAACTAGGTTGGTGTTCAAATTCCAAGGTGAATTTTCAAGTAAAAAAAAAATTTGATGCCAGTATTTAAGCCGAAATGAAGTGTACCATTCATGGCATTAGAACAAGTTAACAAAGAGTTGGGCAGACTCAAAAGAATTGATGTAATAGAAAAAATTAATCATTCAAAATGGGCTGCACCAACAGTGTATGGGAAGAAAAAAAATAATAAAATTTGTGTTTGCACAGATTTCTCAACAGGATTAAACAGTTGTTTAGAAATACCAAACTACCTATTACCAAATCCAGAGGAAATTTTTCTAAGTTAAATGGCAGAAGAATATTTTCAAAGCTGGATCTCGCTGAAGCATATTTACAAATTCAGACTGAAAATGAATGTTCAGACCATAAATATGCACAGAGGATTATATAAGTTTAATTGACTTCCTTTTGGTATAAAGGTGGTATCAGTTATTTTTCAACAAACTGTGGATACCATGCTTGTGGATTGCAATTTCATATCTGGACAACATTTTAATCAAGAGTGTACCTAAAGAACAAAATGGTGAGCATGTGAAAACAATTTTGGAAAAACTAAGAGAGTACAGATTCAAGCTCAGTGAAGAAAAATGTAAATTGTTTTTGCTAAAAATTAAATACTTTGGTCTAATTATTGAAGGTTTAACAACTAAAAAAGATACAAGCAAAAATTTTAATGAAAATTGAACAAAACAGTAATATTACATTGCAATGGAAAAAAGTTCAACCAGATCTGTTGAGGGCAAGTTCAATTAAAAATATGCTTCCACGAACAAACAAGACTGCATTACAAGCTTTTCTAGAACTAGCTAATTACTATCAAATATACATACATAATATGCATAATTTGAGAGCTCCATTGAATAATCTATTTAAAAAAGAGTAAAGTGGAGCTGTAATGATAACTGTCAAAAGACATTTGACAAAATAAAAAAAGACTGACATCAGATTTATCATTAGCACACTATGATCCAAAAGCAGAAATTGTAGTGGCATCAGATGTTAGTGAGTACAGTATTAGAGCAATGATTTTACACAAATACAATGGTGGTAAAATGAAAGTCTTTGCTCATGCTTCACGCCCATTTCTACCAGCAGAGAAAATTTGCATCCAGAAAGAAAAAGAGGCTCTAGTATGATATTTACTGTGAAGAATGATGAGAAGTTTTGTATATTGAACCATAATGGACCAAGATATTGAAAAAATAGTGAAAGCTTGTAGAGGTATGACAGCAAAACTACCTATCACAAAGATAGAATCTTTGCCAAGCCAGAAATGCTGTGGTCAAGACTGCATATAGATTTTGCAGGTCTTATTGTCAATTGCAATTTCACAGTGGTGTATATGGACGACATTTTAATCAAAAGTGTATCTAAAGAACAACATGTTGGGCATGTGAAAACAATTTTTCACACTATCTTGTGGTAGTTGATAGTTTCACTAAATGGCCAGAAATTTATAAGTCCAAAAACCCAACATCTTCAGTGACAGTGAATTTCTTACATGAACTGTTTGCAAGATATGACATACCAGATACCATAGTCTCTGATAACGGAATGCAATTCACAGGTAATGAGTTCAAAGACTTTTGTAAGATGTTCTCCACTGAGCATATTACAACTCCACCGTATCACCCACGGTCAAATGAACAAGCAGAACAGTTTGTGGAAACATTCAAAAGAGTATTGAAGTAAATGAGGAAGCACTTCAAAATTTTCTGAGAGTTTACCATGTAACATCTAACCCCAATACATCATCAGACATGTCACCAGCAGAATTAATATTTGCTAGAAAAGTAAAATTGGTGTTTGACAAGTTATTACCAAGTTGAAAAACAAACGGATAACAAAAACAAAAGTTTAAAGGTCAATGATAAAGTGTTCTTTAGAGCATATAAGAATGGCAAAATAATGTGGGAAGACAGCATAATAGTAGCAAGAATCAGAAAGTTCAAGAGGTTTGGTCCAGCCAACAGGATCATAAATCAACATGGGGGGCGGGAAAGAAAGAGCTGACAGTTTCAACAGAATCAAACCCCAGGAGGGAACATTCCTTTCTGTGGCTTCCTGAGAAGAATTTAGACCTCAATAAACTTTCAAGTTTAACTTTCCAGCAAAGTACTACGAAAAGCCCTTGAGATAACAACCTGTGAAAATATGAAAACCCCTTTGTGCTGTGATGTCCTATTATTGAGTATTCAGTTAAGAACAAAGGTGAGTGCATTTTGTATTTGTATTGTGTAATCATTTTTGTCTTTGAATCCATGTTTCTCTAAAAATTGTAACACTTTTTTTTTTTCCTTATATTTGATGGTTACCCCCTTTATGTATCCTCAGAAAATTGTTATCCTGCCGTAATAGGTGCACAATAGGAAATTTTTGTGCAACCTTGTATTGTACCTTTTTTTGTAATATTGTAAAATAAATGTGTTTTTCCTTTTTAAAATTTTACACAGTGGTGGCCATGTTTTGTAATCTTGCACCTATCATGGAGACTTGCTGTTTCTACTAAGTTTTGTGTCTGGCACAAAAACTCGGATTTGGTAGGAAATAAAATTTTTTATAATATATTTAAAAATTTAATGAGTGCGGATATTAGAAGCTGATATTGGCATGATATATTGATCATATAAATATATGAAAAAGTTACCCACATTTTAAATTGAAAAAATTTATTTGCATAATTGTTAGGACAGACGTTATAACAAGAGAGCTAACTTGCTCTTTAGATAGGAACCAAGTTATACCCATTGATCAGAACTCTCCAGAACAACAGGGAAACAAAATAGGTTTCCAAATGGCAGTCATGCATCTTCATATGTCCTGTATCAAACTATCAATCTACCAGTAATCCACTGGTTATGTTTTATATCTAATGCTTGAATTGTGTTCGTTCTTATTTGACACAATTAAGCACACCCAGCAACATAACAATAATAGAAACCAATAGGACTAAAACATCTTCAGAATGATCTGATATTCATCTTAAAAGGAGAAAAAAGATGAGATGATCCCTTTATAAGCTTTTTATAAGATTAATTTTTTACCTGAAACATGATGGCCTGGCATAGGAATTGACAAAGTGATACCAACAGCATTCTGAAACAGGAAGATCCAAATTAATATCAACATTTGTTAGAAAGATGTGACAGCCTGAGTAAAAGTTGCAATGAAAAATCAGCTGAAAAATTAAGATCAAACGAAATATAAGTAAAAAATGAATAACAATGGCTGACAATGCTACATAAAATATGAACATGAAAGTAAATACTAGTCAAAAATTAATAATAATGGCTGACAATGTTTCAACTAATAAAAATGAAGAAGAAATAAAATATTAGTAAAAATTGAATAATAATAGTTGAAAATAGGATGTCTAATAAAAACTAAAAATATACTACTGTTACTAATTGTAATATTAGCCATTCCCCTATCAGGAAACATTTGGCATTCATTGACCAAACAATCAGTAATGCTTTCAGTTGAAATTTATAAAATCTTTCTCTTAAAAAATTTTTTATGAAAAAATTTTTCTCAAGTAGCTATTATTGCTCCTTTCCATACTGACAGGGGTTTCCTGCTTAACCTGAAGTAATGTAGAATGTCAACATCTTGATTATATCATCATTTTCTCTTCAAATTACATGTGCTATCCATTTTAGTTGTTGCCATTGTTGGTAGTCCTCAAGTGACGTGGTTTCTGTTATTTGTGTACAGTATTTTTGTTTGTGAATCTGTATCACCAGTGTACGGTATTCAAAGAAGGATGGCCTTTGCCAAGACTCTCAGGCTTCATTCACCCAAAGCCTTTTTTTTAAATACCAGTTCAAAAAAAAAAAAAAAAAACAAAAATGACTATATGAGATTTGACAGAATACTGTGATGCATTATGTATTAGATTTAGTTTTCTGTGAAGCTGTCAAATCTTGTAGCTTAGTGGGTAAAGCAGCTGGTGTGTTCAACTAGATTTTTAAGTCAAAAGAGACTTGGGTTTAAATCTCACCAAGAACTTGTTCTTTATTTCCTATCCAAGCTGTCTACTCACTCACACAGACAACATGAATAGAAAATGACATGATAAAAAATAAGAAAATCAAGATGAAATTAAATACAAGTCAAAATTAATAATGGTTGATGACTTGCTATGTCTACAAATCCTGGTCACTTTTGTTTGGATTAGTGCTCCATTTCTACAACACTGATAATAGTTACATCACCAGATAACCTAATTGTGTCTGGATCAGCAGATGTTTTATTTCTAGCATTGTTATACATTTGCATGCAACAATTCTTTGTCATTCAATTAGGTTGTAATTTTGGTGTTTTCTGCATGCATTGAATCTGTTATATGCAAAGACTTATTACTTTTATTTTTGATTGTTAGTCTTCAATAAACTGCATTCTTGAATTCAGCACTCATTCTATGTCTGGCAGCAAGGCCTCTGATTAGGAAATTGGAGGTTTTGAGGTACACCCTGTCTTGAGTGGTAGCACCTGTTAGGATTCCAGCTATAGGCAAATAGTAAACCCTCAAACACTATGAAAGTATAAAAATACATTTTTATAGTAAAAAATACCAGCAATACATTTTTATATAAAAAAATTACCAACAATCCATATTTATAGCAAAATTACTAACAATACATTTTTAAAGCAGAATTACCACCAATACATTTTATAGCAGAATTACCAATAATACATTTTATAGCAAAATGACCAACAATAACTTTATCTGTAGTTAAAGCCATAAATCTATGTTCAAAATATTTAGATTTTGGCATTAAATAACCCATAGAGGTTGATATGCCACTAAACAAATTCACCAACCAAGCAATATGAAAAAACACTTTCAGGACATTAATCCATATAATCCTAAAATTTCTTAAAGAAATCAAACTGTATTTCAAAATATAACTTCAACAAAACTGCAACTTAAAACACATATCGCCTCTAGTAATTATCTCAACAGAAACATGTATATGCACAAAGGCTGAGTGTCATCTACCAAGTATTCAATTGTGAAAGCAGAATAACATATCATATTTTTATTACTTCAAAGCTCAAAAAAAAATTAAATTTTGGCATTAAATGTCCCATAGGGAGACGATATGCCATTAAACAAATCAATCAACACTCATTCTTGAGACTGACATACTCTTAATGTTATTATTTCAAACCTGACAAAAAAATTTTAGTGGCTTGTATTGCAATATCTTATTCTGCTATTGTCTTAATGATAAGTTATGCTTTTTTTTTTAAACACATTATATTGATAAAGGAGGTAGTTTAAAAATGAAAAAAGGAACCAAATTATTCAATAATATTTTTCCAGGAGATTTTTGATTGCTGCTAACCAAAACTCATCCTGAACTCATCTTAAACCAAATACCCTTTACCTCTCTATCCAATGGTTTCACTCTCAAGGGCTTCAGTGAACCACATAGACAATCATTTATACTTTATAAAGATCATACTATTTAACAAATCAAGGCTACAAATTTGGATATTTTATTGTGGAAAATGGCATATCAACTCCATATGGGTCATTTAATGCTGAAATTTAATTTTCTTGGGAGTATTAGTAATTTCTTTTACAAAAATGTATTGCTGGTAATATTTTATTTATTAATTGTTTTTTTTTTACACCAATGTATTCCTAGTAATTCCAAAAAAATGAAAATTTAATTGGTATTTTTACTATATAAATATATATTACTAAATATATTTTATACTTTCATAGTGTTTCAACCCCAGTTTGGGAGGAGGGCTAACTATTGGCCCATAGTTGGGACCCTAACAGGTGCTACCACCCTGAGTCAAGGTGGACCTGGGAATAACAGCAATTAAGAGGTGGTTTCATACTCCTCAAAACCTCCTGATCAGAGACTTTGTTGCCAGATGTACTTTATCATCATACCCAGGATGTATTTAGATATGCCAAAGAGAAATTGTAAAGTGCTTCCTTTAAGTGAAAAGCTGAAAGGTTTGAAGAAAAGAAAAATTATATGCTGAGGTTGTTAAGATCTACAATAAGAATGAATTTTCTTTTTATCATATGATTGTGTTATAATTATTCTATTTTACTATAACTGTTAATTTTTATTTAAACTAATTTATTTTTATCATAAGTTATCACATTTATATATATATATATATATATATATATATATATATATATATATATATATATATATATATATATGTGTATATATGTGTGTCTAAAAATTTAAAGATATTCCTTATAAATAAAAGGAAAATATGAATAAAGACAAAAGAAAACATAGCTGCCATATTTTGTCTTTATTTTGGAAAATAAATAAAGATAAGTTTTCCTTTTGTCTTTATTCATACAGCGTGCGATGGGTAAATTGTCGCCGTTTTATATTTTTAATTTCACACATGCATGTTGTTTGTAGACTGCACAGTATAATAGGGTCTGTTGGGCACCATCTATGAGAAAAAGAGTACCATGACGCAATTGTGATAATGCTTTTCCACATGTGACTGCATAAGCTGTGATGGCATCCAGGGTTGGCTGTATACTATGTTCACACGTTTTTCTCACTGGCTGTGATCGAATTCAACAAATAATAACAACAAATGCTTTTCAAGACACTGATTGGGGAATAGCAAACAATGTGATTTCTCACACATCCTTAGGAGATAAATAAATTTAATTTTTTTCCTTTTAATTATTATGACAATTTTTTCTAAAATATTGGGGGCTTGAAATCTTCTTGTTATGGCTTGAACAAAGCTCCTAACCATGTTCTGGTATAGTATGATGTTTCAGGGGATGAGGACCCATCTAAAGTTTTTCCCTCATCTAGATTGAACTACTTTCAGAGGTGGTTGGCTCCATCTGGATATTTTATTTTATGGAACTATGTAGAGTTCCATGTTTTAATCTACACATGAAATATTGCTATTGTACTTGCTTTGTTTTGTTTGTTTTAATTTTTAAAATATTGTTTTTTATTGATTGCTCTGCAGTTTTGTTGTTGTAATTTATGTAATAAATGACAAAATTTGGTGGGGGAGGAGTGTAGCAATATGATTTCCCACACATACTTAGGAGATAAGTAGATTCTTTTCCTTTTAAGTCAATTTAATGATCATGGTTTTCAGAAACAATTTTTTCAACCAACCTTTGAATTGGCAAACATAAAATTTTGTTAGTGATTTTAGATAATCATTAAAAAAAGGCTTTTTGAAAAACTGACCATATAAAAATTTGAATCCAAAAAAATTTTTCGGATTACAAGTAGACAGAAATGGGGGTGATGGGATTCCAGACAGTCCATATAATGAGGATTCAATATTTAGGAAGAGACAAACAGTGATAAGTCAGCAGTTTAATGAGATTCAGTAGGGAATATAAGGGTCCTAATAAATGTGGCATAGATATTTATTAAGATAAAGTTCACCTTAAAAAAAAGCCAAAAAAGAGATTGATGATTTTTTTTGAGAAATTGTATTGTTTGCTATTTCTCAATCAGTCTCTTGAAAAGAATTTGTCATTATTCTTTGTTGGATTCAATCACTACTGGTGAGACAACTCTGTGAGCATATATTGCATTGTTTGTTTACACATACAGCCAACCTTGGATGTATAGTAGGGTCAGTTTGTAGTGACATGAAAAAAAAGCAACCATGATGCAATTCCCTCCACCAGAAATTTGGAAACAGCACTGTACTGCTTGGCATTCGCGTCAGAAGCTCCAATATGAACATTTCAGAATGTTTGGGCATCAATCTGAGAACAGTGCAGAAGATTCAGAAAGAATTGGAAGAGTCTAATGGTGATTATGAAGGTAAGGCATCTTGGAAAATACACTCTGATCGTTCTGATAAGAAAAGAACTCCTGAATTTGTTGGTGAGGGCCTCAGACTAAACATGGAGGTCTACATCAAGTACCTTGAGGAGGTAGTGCTGCTCTGGATCAAGAGGGTGGCTGAAGGAAGACCCTATGTCTGGTAATAGGACTCTGCACCATGCCACACAAGCATGAAAACCCAGTCATGGCTGTCAGACAATTTCTGCAATCACATCACTCCTTACATCCGGCCACATAACTCCCCAGACTGCAACCCCCTTGATTATTGTGTGTGGGTGCAGTTGAGTGAGAGACCAACAAACTACTTGCAATGACAAAGGTGAACTGAAGACAAGCATTCACCAACTTAAACAAGGAGACACTCCAGAAGAGTTGCAGGAGATTCCAAAGTCATCTGGAGGCCATGGTTGAAGCCAATGGCAATTTTATTGAATAGATTTACTCATTAGTATTTAAAGATAATGTTGTGTAATTTTGGTAAATATATCTGTTAAAATGAGATGTCAGTGTTATTTTCATTTTTGCATAATTTACACAATGATTTATCCATCACACACACACACACATATATATATATATATATATATATATATATATATATATATATATATATATATATATATATGAAAAATATACATATAAAAAACACAAAATGGCTATATGTTTTTGTAATTTTGAGATACTGGTAAAATGAGATCAAATTGGTTGATATTTTTTTAAAAGTTTATCAACGATAAGGTCATTTACCGCCAGAAAATAGTTTCAATTGTAATTTTTTTTTTTTGATAAAATAATGGTTTAGTGATACAAGTCTTATTAATTAATTCCATAGAAACTAACAAAAGTGCAATTGGATCCATATTTTTCCCAAGTTCATTATTCAAACATAAGTAATATAATGAATCCAACTGGAATTGAAACATGGTTCTCAGATCTCCATTCGTTTCAAAAGTCATTTATGAGCTGAGAAAAACCATGTTAATCTGCTTACAGCACCTGGTATTCCCAAGCAGTCATTCATCTAGCTACTGATCAGGCTCAGTATTGCTTAACTTCAGTGATTGTCCAAGAATCAGTGTTCCAAAGGTTCTCATCTGATCATCGAAGTTAAGCAACATTGAGCCTAGTTACTACCTAGATGAGTAACTGCTTAGGAATACCTGGTTCTGTAAGCTTGGATGTGCAGGTGGTGTAATGGATAACAGATCAGAACAGAGAGTCAGGTTTGAATTCCATTTGAGTTCATTATATTCACATCTTTAGAAATAAATTAACAAAAAATATGAATCCATCTCTTCTCCCCCCAGCAATGGGTAAACAGCTAAGATGGTTAAGACTTGGCCCTATAGCCTTGGTTAGCAACAAGTCTAGGATAAGAAAAACTCTGAAGAGGGTAGACAAAGGGGGTGAAATTTTTTTTTTTTCTTTTTTTTCAGCATGCAGCTAAGGAAATGGAAAATTAATATCCAAGAAAAAAAAAAAGAAAAGTCTGTGATTGTAGCATCATCTGACATGTGGTACACAGTGTATAAGTTTCAGGACATGGCGCTATAATGGAGGGAGTGTACATTGCAGGGAGAACAGGCAATTGACCACTAAACAATTCACTTGTACAGATTGTTCAATAAAAACAAATAAAAAAAAAATTAGAATTTATTGAACCCTCATCCATTATCCTTGACAGGTTAATCTATTAATATTTATGTATTAATAAGAGAAAACCTTTTATGGTGACATGTTTCATTCCTTGAGAAACTTTATTGAAGGCAAATATTGAAATTGAGAAACTTGTAAAAAGAAAAAATATAAAGTATCATTGAGAAAAAAAAAATAATGTTATGCATTCAAATTTAAATTAGTGAACTTTGAAAAATATCTGAAAATCTCTTGACATTAAGAAAAGGAATACAAAACTGGAGGATGTTGTTTGTTTTTTTACAGTGTTTCATTTAATGCACAGACAAGCACAATTTGACTAAGTTTAAAATAAGACATTGGAATTCCAATCCCATCCAGTCTGGACAATCCCTATCCCAAGCTGAGCAATAAAATTATCAAGTTGGAGGAACAAAAAAGAAGAAAGAAAAAGAGTCAATAAAAAAACCCCCCAAAAACGGTAATTATAAGATTTATAATTATTCAGTAATAAATACAATTATTTAAAAAATAATTTTTTAATTTTTAGAAATATTTTTAATTTGCCATTGAATTAAAGTATACATGTGCGTACGCGCACACACACACCTACATACAGGCACACACACACAAATATACAGGCACCAAGTTTGAATAAAATTTAAATGGACATCTGTATTAAGAGGGTTTATTTTCATCTGGCAATAACCCTTGGATAACAGGAAAAGAGTGTAAACTGGCCCTTTGAAGTGATTTTTATGGCTCCTGTACTTAAATTGAATATATTTTCTCATAAATGTAATATTTAAATGAACAAACAATTTAAATTTGAAATTTGATCATCTTGCCATCAGATGTGGATGAAATTACTAATTATAACAATTATAATATATATCAAAATATAATTAACTTTCTATTACTTCAAACGTTATTTTTAGTGGATACACATGTTTGAAATTGACAATCTGTTTTTATTTTAAACAAGTTGTATTATGTCTATTGAGCCATGAACTTGAGAAATCTTAATAAGGAAAATGTGCTCTTCAGCAGGGTTCAAGCCTATGTCCCTCTTTGAAAGAAAAACCACTGCTTGATTTGGCATGCTTTAGACCACAGACCAATAGAGGTATTACACACTATTCAAAATAAAAGTAAGGCATCTATTTCAAATATGGGTATGCACTAAAAAATAATGTTTGAAGTAATACAAATGTTAGATTAAAAGTAAATCTATTAATTCTTTAGAAATTAACTTTCAACTAAATACATAAATGAGGCAGACAAGTACAAAGTAACATTTCAAGATGAAGAAGCAATACATTTTTTGGAGGGGCGGATAGCATAGCTTTTTCTAGCAGTAGGGTTATGCCATTCAAAATAAATTTTTTAACCTACCAATCCAGGGAAAATCTTTCTCAAAGACTCAGCAGCAGTTTCAGCTTTCGGCTTTCCTCCATTTAAACTATCCTCAAAGACGAACAATGACTGGCGTACTGGATTTGAATAAGATATTCGACCATTGTCCACTAGTGTTAAATTTCTAACACCCCAGCCCTGAAAAAGAATAGAATGAGAAACAGAAATTCAATTACAGATTTTTAAAAGGAAACAAAAAAAAAAAAAAAATGAAAGTATAGTTTGTCTAAAACGTCTGGGTGTTACTAATCATGTACCAGAACTGAAAGCATTCAAATCCCCAATTGTTGATCACATACCAGAACACTGAAAACATTCAAACACCAATTGTCAATCATGTACCAGAACTGAAAGCATTCAAAAAAGAAATTGTTGATCACATACCAGAACACTGAAAACATTCAAACACCAATTGTCAATCATGTACCAGAACTGAAAGCATTCAAATCCCCAATTGTTGATCACATACCAGAACACTGAAAACATTCAAACACCAATTGTCAATCATGTACCAGAACTGAAAGCATTCAAATCCCCAATTGTTGATCACATACCAGAACACTGAAAACATTCAAACACCAATTGTCAATCATGTACCAGAACTGAAAGCATTCAAATCCCCAATTGTTGATCACATACCAGAATTTTGCAAAACATTCAAACTGTTTCCAAAATTTTCAATCATTTACCAGAACTGAAAGCATTCAAATAACAATTGTTGAAACATTTAGAACACTGAAAACATTCAAACACCAATTGTCAATAATGTACCAGAACTGAAAGCATTCAAATCCCCAATTGTTGATCAGATACCAGAACACTGAAAGCATTCAAACACCAATTGTCAATCACGTACCAGAACTGAAAGCATGACTGACATGATAAATAACAACACAAAATATTTTTCCCAAATCATTCTCGTTTTTTGAGGAAATAAGTTTGAAGATTAAGTTCAAAATCATAGTGTTGGAATTTCATTCCAGTGATCCATAAAAGTCTTATATCTCAATTTATAATTTACTGAAGCTTTACAAATTGTTTATGGACAAGATGCATAGTACAAACACATTATTACTACATCATTGTGTCATCACATGAGACCATCATTTACTTCAAAGGGAAATTATACTGAACAAGCTATATGATGTAATATATTACACAATGCAGTAATTTTAGTTCAATTTTCAAGAAACAATGCAAATTTAAAAACATTTTGTCTTGCAATTTGTGCCCAGCAGTATTATGGTGTTAGATACACTTATATCTATTTTTTGTTTTTATTAATTATGATCTAACAAATCTTATTCATTCAGTATCCTTTTTGTAATCTTTTACAATTTTTTTGCGGTTTTTACTTATCAAATACAGTAAAAAATGTATATAGAATTCTAGTTTTAATATATTTTCCATTCAATGTATCTAATACAAAAGATATTAACTTTATTTGGATTTATTCTTGAAATAGTAATATTTTGAAGTCAGTTTTTAAGCAAAAACCTGCAGAAATTAGATATTAGGTACATTTTTTTCAGATAATCTTTAAAACTAAATGTTCAGAAATTAGTAAAAGCTATGAATCTAATTTTTTTGTGTCAATACTTATCACATCAAACCCCAGCTTTCACACCAAGTGCAATGTTGATTTTCTAAAAAGAAAGTGAAAAATCAACCTGCCCTAAGATGGTTAAGATAGGCTGTTTGATTTTACAATCTATCAATTCTTGTGAAATTATTTAATGACAACCGTTTTTATGAGGCACCCAATGAGGCTCAAACTAATTACTTAGTAGTAATGGTTGACCAGATTAAACATTACTCAACGTTAAAGAACTTAGTGGGATGTGGGGGTTAGAAAGAATGTCTTCCAGCCTAGAAATTCAGCATTCAAAATTCTTCCATTTTATGTGGATTTGATAGTGTTTGTTTAACAGCATATCAACTCCTTATGGGTCATTAAATGCTGACTGTACTGGGTATGATGATAAACTACATCCAGCAGCAAGTCTTCTGATCAGGTGGTTTTGAGGAACATGGAACCACCTCTTAATTGCTGTTGTTCCAAGGTCCACCCTGACCTGGGTAGCACCTGTTAGGGTTCCAGCTACAGGCAAATAGTTAACCACCAAACTGGGTTGGGATCAAAACACTATAAAAGTATATTTAAGTACATTTTCATAATAAAAAATTACCTGTGATACAAATTTAAAAAAAAAAAAAAATACATTATCAGCAATGCATTTTTGTAAATGAAATGATCCCAAGAAAATTAAATTTTGGCATTAAATGACTCATAAAGAGTTGATGTGCCACTAAACAAACAAACAAATTTAAGGCTGAAACTTAATTCTCTTGGGAGCTTGGAAGTAATAAAAATGTTTTCTGCTTTCACAATTGAATACATGGTAGCTGATACTCAGCTTTTGTGCATATACAAGTTTGTGTGGACATAATTACTAGAGGCAGTGATATGTGTATTTTATATTTCAGTTATATTTTGGAATACAGTTTGAATTAAGAAATTATAGGATATATGGATTAATTGAGTTCTTGTTGGTTGTTTATTAGTATTTTGAAGTTGCTACAATTTATTAGTATGTGTTGGTAATTTTTTTAAATAAAAATGTATTGCTGGTATTTTTATACTTTCATAGTGTTTTGTTTGTGGGGGCTCACTATTTGCTCATAGTTGGGACCCTAACAGGTGCTATAACCCTGGGTTGGGGTGGACCTCGGAACAACAGTAATTAAGAGGTGATTTCACACAAGTCTTCAATCTCCTGATCAGAGCCCTTGCTGCCAGATATAGATTATCATCATACCCAGGACTTACATGGAATTAAGCACCTGTTGACAATATTGGTAACATAAAAGTTTTGTCAAGTTCATTAAGTAAATTTTTTTTTATATTAATTTTATTGAACAATACAATAACTTTTTTGTTCCATTATCTTTTACTCTTTTTGACTATTTCTCAATTCTATCCTCACAGAAACTATATCTTTCTAACCAAAGAACTGCTGTATGTGCCTTTTGCAATCTTTCAGGAAATTGACATTTTTCTTCATTAAAGAGAATTCTGTGAAGACCAGAATAAATGGTAATTCAAATATCTGGAGAATATGGGGGAATGAAGGAGAATTTACCTGCCAAGTTGTTATAATTTTTCCCTGGTTACCAAAGAAACATGCAGCAGAAAGTTGTTATTGTTTGTGGCAGAACTTATTGCTAAGTATTGGGGTGCTCATTGACATTTCCTTCTCTGTGAAATGAGTCCTATGTTGGATCTGAAAAGACTTCTGTAGCCACTGCATAATAGGTTAGGAGGATTCAAGGGACAGAGGGCTGTAACTTTTCTTTGGAAACTCTTTATCTCTTCTATTTGGCTTTTGGTGTTTTCAAAGGATTTTTTTTGTGAATTGTTCTTCTCTAGTAGGTTCTTTCTGCAGCTTCAGTCTCTCAATTAACTGAATTGATTTCTGTCTTCAGCATGGTGTTTTTAAGCTGATCCTTAAATCAATAATGTGGGACTCCACATGATCTCCAGCCAGATATGAGCTCCAAGAAGAGGATTTGTTTGAGTACACAAATATCTAGAATCCGGGCAAAGTGTCCGGGCATGGTTTCTAAGCTTGTCATCTTTGCTCAGAGGAGAAATTTGCTGTTCATGATCAGGTCCTGTAACATGTTCTGTAGAATTTGGCAAAGTTTCATTTGATGGAACATTTCAAGTTTGCAGATGTCTCTTCAGTAGAGTACCCAGGTAGCCTTGGATGGCAACTGGTCTACCACAGAAAGAAATGGCAACCTACTGTGGGAAAAAATCTGCCACATCAGTCATGTATCAAAAGATACATGATCACCTAAGCATGAATCACGCATGGCACATAACTGACTGACCCAAGTCTCACAGGTGTACAGGAGAGTCGAGATTACAATGGCTCAGTAGATCATGAGCTTGGTGGTTGTGTTAGTCCAGGATTTCCGAAGAATCTTTTGAATACCTTCTTGCATGCTGCGTGGGCAGCCTTGATTCGGTTATCAACCTCTTTTTCAGTCGAGAGTAATCCTTATAGAAGTGTATACTTTTCTGCTTAACTAATTACAGAGACTTTTCATCAATTGCTGGTTTCCTTCAATTCATCTAACTGGGAACAGTACTTGTTTGAATTAATCATTTCCTTCTCCAGAAGGAGCTCAATAGTAAAAAAAACAAAAAAAAAACAAAAAAAACTCCCTTACACATGCATGATATACACCAGCCTTTCATGCGGTGATTAGTGGGATTTTATTTCACTTGTCCCATCACTTTATGTTTCATCCACTTTACATTGCTCATCAAAGTTTGATTAAAAAAAAACAGAATATTTTCCTTGTGGAAGCCACACACCAAAGCAACTAACATAAACAAGATGGTGCAAATGATTTTCAGCACTGAAATTGGATATTTTAAGTAGATTCATTATCTCCATGTCATATAACAGGGAATATTTGCAAATAATGTTCTGATTTGACTGATCTCAACTTCAACTGATCTACCTAACATGAAAATAAAGTTAGTACAGAAATTCAACTATCTAGGTAATGTAGTAATGGACAATGGAATGTATGACACAGTAATCTACACATAGGAATAGTTTAAAGGTGGTGTTTGTAACACTTTCATGCTACAAACAACACCTTTCATAATTTCCATGGAAAAATAGAATCCAGAGCCTTTAGCAACAAACATAAGTGGAAATAGTAGAGAATGGTATCACAGGATTCATTCAGTGACGACTGGATCAGTTATTGAATTTAAACCAAAATTTAAATCTGTATTTTCAGAATATCAAAATTTAATTAAGGTATGAAAAGAAAAAATCACTTTAAATTCAAGAGATTTGCACACCAACTTCCTGTTTGTCAACCCCAATCCTTATATATATGAATACTGACTGGTGAGATAGCAAAATGCTAACTTAGTAAGGCACAGCAACACCTTCTAAGGACTCTATAAAAATAATCAGTGGAAATAATCAAAGATGCCCCCATCCCATTCAACCAGATGGTGAGCTTGGACGTGGTGAGTTTGTTCACCAAGGTACCCACGGAGAAGGCATTCTCAGTAGTCAGAGACAGATTGACCTCTGACTCATCCCTAGGAGAATGGATCAGTATTCCAATAGATAAAATACAAAGGATCTGTGGTCCATATAACATCAGGACAACCTTCAAAAGCTGGATAACACTTCACAGATACCTTTACCAAGTAAGACCCCACCCCTGCATAGAGGAGAACTTGACTAAACTGTATGTACGCCATCCCGTGCAGCTGTGGGAAGAAATATAAAGGTAAGACAGGCCGCTCCCTTAAGGTAAGGCTACAAGAACACCAAAAAGATGTAACATGAGGGGAAGTGGAAAAATCAGGCATGGCTGATCACATACAGAGAGAAAAGGGAAATCACCGCCCTCTGTGGGATCAGGTTGAAATCATAGACAAAGAACATCATTGGAAAATTTGTAAACTTAAGGAATCAGCACATATGCTAGACCACAAAAATCTCCTGAGCCGACCAAGAATAGAAATGAATACAATATGGGAACCAGTAATAAGGAGTGCCAGAGAAAAGCAATAACAACAACAAAAATTGCAATATGAGCTCTAGTAAAAAACATGCAATGATAACAGCAAAAATTGCAATATGAGCACTGGTAAAAAGGTTGCTAAGACATTAGGTTTATAATACCCAGAAAATTCATACACAAGGACACATGGCACAGTGGATAAAGGCGTTAGTTAGATCCAGTGACAGGACCCAAAGAGTGTGAGTTCAATACCTGGTTAAGGCGGTGAATTAACAGGAAATAACTGATAACTGACATCCATTAGACATGGCATGTGGAACTAGAACAGTCTACTCCAGCAAGCGAAATAAAGGGTTCAGTTCGATATTCCAACCACCTGAAGAACGCTAGAATGTACAATGGCTGAAATGTTGTGATAAATATGACAACAAAGATGAGGCTGATAGTCTGAACAATGTAAATAACGTACATAATACCTCATCTCAGAAATATAGACAGATACAGATCTGAACCAATACAGTGCAGAAAAACACAACTGCTCTAAATTATTTTCCACTAGAAAGTTTGGTTTCACCAGTTTCACTCATCAAATAATTCCTAATAAATGTCCATGTGACTAAGACATCTAACTTAGACCATGAAACAAACCTGAACTTGCTAGCACTCAAAAAAATCCTAATATAAATGACATGCTTAAATGAACTGTCCTTTATTTATTTTATCTTACATATCTGCTAATGGACTTGTCATGTACTTATAAAATTTTGGCTGCTCCTATCAATTTATTACTTTACTCTCAAGTAAATCAAAGCAAATTACAACCAATTAACACAAGCACTACCACATTTGCCTTAGAAAAAAAACAACCCCTACATAAATGACTTTGTCACATTTGCTTTACATTACATACAAATTACAGCATACTACCTTTTTCTTCATATTGGACCCTAACTTATCACCAATCATGAGCAATGGATGTTCCCTTAGGGAGGTCTCATGCTTTGAGCACCTATTGTGACTTAAACTCAATCAAGACCTCAAATGGAACTCACTAAAGATGCTGCTCTGTCTTCACTTTCCAGTCTTGATAGTCCAAAAAGTGTTACTGCATCCTTGTGGGTGACAAATTATTTTGCACTCTACAACCCCTTTTCTCACAGATGAAACATGACAAGCTTCTCATTACTCTGTTGCTATTTCCATAGAAAGTTCTCAGATCAACTACATTCCTTAGTTTCACCAGTTCTAACCTCCACAGCTAAGACCCATCATGCCATGCACATTGTAATGAACCACCCTCATTCCTTTCATATTTTGTTGGTGAGGTATAAGTTCCACTCAGAGCAGCTTCTTCCTATAAAACATTGCTATGTCTCTTACTCTGTGTAAACGTCTACTTTGGGTGGATCCCGGGTTTTGTACAGGGTGAATATCATTTTCAGAGGAATTCTGAAGAACAATATTTATCCTTCACTCATTAACTGTGAAATGAATGTGATTTCTGGATGAAGTCTAAGAAAAAAGTCTGTATGAATAATAAAAAGGGAAGTGTCTGCAACTTACAATGAGACATCTCGCAACATTACAGCCAAGAGTTCCAGAACCCAGCAGAAGGCATCGAGTGTTACAGATTTTATCCAAGTCCAGATCTGGCATTAACCGCCAACGCATCAACTTTAGGTTAAGGTCTACTGCTGAAGCTGCAAGTCTACCAATGGAAAAGGAGAGAAAACATTAAAATGGAAATCAAATAATGGGATTAGCATTTTAGATAAAATTGGTATTTTATATTTTTCAATTCACTACATTACAATTAGCAATAATATGTTGAAGTACATGGGAATATAATATATATATATATATATATATATATATATATATATTAGTTTTATTATCAATATTATATTGTTTTGTTATATTATAAGAAACATATGAGGATTATATATATATATATATATATATATATATATATATATATATATCTAAAGTGATGATTTTTTTTTTTATTTATTAATCTGACAAATTTTATTATTTCAGTGTTATTTTTAGTGTACATGCTCCATTTATTTATTAAACAACATATTTAGTTTAGTTTAACAGTTTGAATATTCAAGAAAATATTCTGCTGGAGAACAGATTTTTTATTCAATAAGATTTCTTGAATATTCAGACTAGTAGACAAAAAGAAATATATTGTTCAATAAATAAATGGAACATCCACTAAAATTAATGTTTAAGCAATAAAATAAATATATATATATATATATATATATATAAGCTGATGAGACTTTATATAAATGGAGGAATAATTCTTCATACACACTTTTATGCTACATGCCTAAAAAACACAAAAACATTATGGGTTATTTGTGACAAGGCTGCCCTGTTAACAATATCTGCCACTGATGTCATATAAGTTAACACAATAAAATATGAGACATTTTTGGAGCAACCTATTATTTCTGCCCCTTTCATTATTATTTTCTTCTATTTCTTTTCTTAAATTTATCCATCAGATGATGGAAAATTTTACTAAATTTTCGTCTATCTCTTCATATTAGTTCTACAACAGAGGCACAATAAAAGTAATTAGCTGAGAATTTGAATAAGAGTATTTTACTTGATACTTTTTATTGTAATGGAATGTCCCACACTCCCTATCGCCTATGTAGACTGACTATATCAGTAGCTATATATATAGTGAGCACAGGGTATACCTGGGGGCTTGCTTCAGCAATTAGAGATTCATCTCCAGCTAAGCTAGTCAAACTCTCTGTCTTCGGGCAGAGAGGAACCCAGACAAGGCTATGGCAAAGGGCAGAGTCTCATCTGGGGTGGTAGACAGCTACCTGACCCCGTTTTTTTACTGGGTCTACGGGGAATTTTTGCCCGAGCATATGAGCTTGGATATCCCATGTTAAATTCGGCCTTGTGCCACATCTGACCGTGTGGGTTGGTTGGCAAATATCCTTGCTTTGGGAATTACTAGCCTGCCACTCAATTCACTGTCTTTACAATAAACCTCTCTTCTTTCATCTATGCTGTTCCTTCACTCAAGTACCCCTTTTGTCTGTTTGTAACCTCTTTAAGGATACAACACTTTTTATAAGATCAAACTATGTACATATATTGCTTTGTTTTTTTTTGTTGAGGCAAAACCAGGATTAATCTTGCCCAAAGCAAGGTGCATCCTGCTTGACAAAGGATTTGTCATAATGATTTGAGGCAAGGTTTTATAAGGCAGGATGCACTTCTTGACACCCAACTCAGCCACTCACAGTAGTCCAAGTATACCAAGTGTTTTTAGAGATATTATGTCTAGGAAGGTTTTCATTCAAGGCTGTGAACCTGCACCCACCTCGTTTGTCAGGAGAAACCAGCAGACAGCACATATTTTTCTTTAATAAGATTTCTCAAATATTCTGTTTGGTCGATGAAATTAAATATATTGTTTAATAAATAAACATTATCTACTCAAATATGGGTATCCACTAAAATATAACATGTAAGTAATAAAATATTATATATATATATATATATATATATATATATATGAAATGTTAGGATGACTCCTATAAGAAGCTCATCTACCCTTGGACAGGTCTTGCTTTTCATCCTATAGGTGGGGTGGGGTGACATGACATCTTTATCACCAGGAGAAAACGAGTGAGGGAGCTGGTTTAGACACCAACCACTCATCCATGTGACAAATTTTTCTGGGTTATGTTGCAGGAGCAAGCCTAAGCCTGAACTGACCTAAATAGGAGCTTGAGAAATGTTGAAATAAGAATGATCTTTTAAAACAACAACAGAACAAACTAAAAAAAAAAATTACTTAGTAGGGTCCATGGAGTGACTCAAATTCACCATACGAGGTCCCATCTTGTTCCGTTCATTTTTCTCCCAACCAACAAAGGTTGGACATTCTAGAAAAGACAAATACAAAAGAAACAAATTCATTTTCACCAATTGAAATTACGAAAGATACCAATTTACAATTTTCAAATCATTCAATTACAGCACAAAATTCTGCCCCAAAATTTTGATAAAATAAAACATACTGATCTGTTCATTTGTTTACCTATCAGAATTTCTTGTGTCTTACCAGACATTTCTTGAAACCTTCAAAGAAGAATCTGCAATGTTATTGGCATCTCAACTTCAGTCACTTTCTCACCACCATAATGTAACTTCCCTCTGTCTTTTCTATAAATACTTTCATAGTAATTGTTCTGAGGAATTTTCCTCTATGGTACCTAGACTTTATGAATTTAATCACAGTACTAGATTGGCAGTAAGGTCTCATTATTTTACAGTTGAAATGGCTAGATGTAACCATAAGTTCTATGCTAATAGTTTCTTCTATTATACTTCTCACTTGTGGAACTTTCTCCCAGCTTTGTCCTTCCCAGTCAAGTTTGATGTCAATCGTCCCTTTGATGTTGTTTTTTTCTCATATTCTCAAACATTCAGTAACCCCCTTGAATCACAGTTGCTTCATTGCTTTTTTTTGGTGGGTGGGGGTGAAATGATTTAAAAAAAAAAAAAAAAGAAAAAAATTCACTCCACTAGATACTAATGTCATATTCTATCAATTTTTCTGTCTTTTCATGACTTAATGCCTGCAGACTTTTGGTGTGTGTGTGTGTGTGTGTGTGTGTGTGTGTGTGTGTGTGTACGCATATGTATGTATAGTCAATCGAAAAAATAAATAAAATTGTATCTTAGTTAATTATAAATATATATTACATTTAAGCAATATTTGTTTTTCTGTTAAAAATCCATTATTTTTTTTGAACTTTGAAATTAAGAATACCATACTTGAATTTGAAGATGGATCAATTGATGGAGCAATAAAAGTTTAACTATCTGGGTTGTATTTATTGATGACATTGCTTGAAATCAATAGTGTCACAACCCAATAAGGTTTCAATTACCTATGACCAAGTGGTCTAAAATCACACTGGATCAGATGGTGGTTTCTCCTATAAAGAGGGACACAGGTTCAAACTCTGTCAGAGAACCTGTTTTCTTAAGTAAGTCTTTCATATATGCACACTGGTAGACATAATTTACACATTTAGACAGAGCATCTACTTAAACATAGGTATCCACAAAACTCTGTGTAGTAGAATATAATGTCAGATAAGAAATTACTATATATATATATATATATATATATATATATATATATATATATATATATATATATATATAAATAAAAAGAAAGAACAGTAAGATATAAAATCCGGTGTTCTTATAGATATTTTTATTTTTACAAAATAGTGCTCAATGTAAATTTACAGAGCATTAATATTATAAATTAATTGATTTAAAATATGTTTTTTTTTTGCTACACAGTGAAAAAAAAAACATATTTTAAATAAATTAATTTATAATATATATATATATATATATATACACACACATACATACACACTGGAGTCTCCCGTCGTTTTTTGACCTATGAGGGTATAGCAACTTAGTTCTTAGAACCAAACAGTCAAACTATCTGCACACATAATTTGATCAATTGTGGTGAAGGCTTCTGCAGAACCAACCACACTTTTCAGTAAAACTGAATACAGAGAACTAAAAAAACATAGTGTGCTACAAGGTCTTCAAATAACCCTCTTCACATTTTGAATTCACTGTTGTTCTTATAGACTGGTTGTCAACCAAGGCTATAGGCCCCAGTCAGTCCTGCTATTTGAAGAGATAGATTCATACATTTCCCAAGAGGAATTTGTATGTAAGTGAATGGAATGAACCCAACTAGAATACAAACACAGCTCTGTGATTTCTCATTCCAAGCCACTATCCATAATATATGTATGTATGTGTGTGTCTCCTACACACTGTATTAAATGGCATACAAGACCTCACCCGCATTTCATCAGGGAATACCAAGATGAAAAATTGTTGGAAGGAACCTCAGATGTTACTGGAACCTTCATCCACATTCCCTATTTTGAGTCGGTTCAAAACAATATTCTAATACAGTGTGTGAAATCTAGCAGCAATAGAAGTTTAACTATCTGGGTTGTATTTAACAAACAATAGAAAATGTTCCTAATGTGCATTGGAATAGTGAAAGATGCTTTTCCAAAGCTAAACAGAGTATTAGGAGACAGGAAAATTTTGTTAGTGACAAAGAAAAGAGCATTGTGTGCTATGCATTTTTTCAAACATCCTGTTACTTCTTCGATCTATTTATAAACAACCCAAAATGCAAACTATGAATTGGAGTTGTCAAAGTCAAACAAATACAGAAACACTTTGGAAGTGTTTTCACAGAGGATAAAAAATGTGACAATGAAATCCAAACATACATTGAAGTAACAAAAGCTAAGGAAAGTACAAAAAAAAAAGCGTTTTGTTAAAAACAAAGAAAGCATTGCTAAATTGTTATGTAATATCAATATTCCTATATGGCAAGGACACTTCGATGTTGTGTAATAGTTAGCAAGCTTGTCTCACTAGATCAATTTCAATTGAATAGTGAATTTGATCTTCACTGGGTGCCTCATACTTTCAAGCTTGTGCCACATCTAAACTATACTTACAAAACTACCATCCTCCTTTATGGCTATGAATGCTGCACAATTTCCTCACAGATGAAGAGAAGATGAGAGATCATCCAGTTCACACTCCTCTCCAGTCTTTTGAATAGGAGGTTATATCCCTTGTTTCCTATTTAGGATTTTGCTTTTGGTTCCTTCTAAATTTTGCTTCAGCTCTGTATTCCTAACATCTGCACCTGAACTCTAAAATTTTATTCACTATTTATTTCATTTTATTTCTCTCCTCCACTAATAAGAGTAGATAGGTTTACCTATCATCCGGTTCATATTCCTCCCCAGGCTTTTGAACAAGAGTATGGTTTATCTATCTATTTGGATTTGTTGAATACACATATATTATGAATTAATATACACATATGTATGAATGGATCCTCCTGTTGAGGACAACGGCTGAGGGTCCAGTAAATTCTAATTTTATTTTTCTATTTGTTCTTATTGAACAATCTGTAAAAAGATAATTGTTTAGTGAAAAATTGAATAAACATGCAATAAAAACTCTTCATCATAGCACAATGTAAAAAAAAAAACTGTCCGCCACATGTCAGATAATGCTACAATCACAGACTTATTTTTTTTTTTTCTGGTATAGGAGATTTCTGCCTCCGAGCTTCATGCTGGCTGTTGGTTTCTATAAGAAGCTCATCTAATTTAATTAAGGCTGATTTGGAAAAATGAGAATTCCCTTCTAGACTTGTTTAAAAATTTTAACTATAGAGAATAGTCTGTTCTAATATTAACCCATTTGCTGGGGAAAGAAGAGATGGATTCATCTTTTTTTCCAAGGTTTTTTTGAAATTAAATATAATGAATTTTTGGAATTGAATTCTCCGTTCAAATAATAAATTTTAGCTGTTATCCATTACACCAGCTGCACATTCAAGCTTACAGTATCTGGTATTCCCAAGTAGTCACTCATGTAGGTTCTGACCAGCCTCAATGTTGCTTAACTTCAGAATCAGATGAGAACCTTTTAAACACTGGGTCCCATACAATCACCGAAGTGACTGCTTGGAATACCAGGTGCTGTAAGCTTGATGTGCCTTAAAATGGTTTAATGGATAAAATCAGAATTTTGGAGAAAGGGAAAACTGAGTTTCAATTCCAGTTGGGTTCATTATATTCACTTATATGTGTATAACCTTAGCAAAGGTATGCATCCATACCTTTTCCCCACAGCCATAGGTTAATTAGTAAGACTTGTATCATTAAAACCATTATTATCTCAAACAAAAAAATTCCTACAATCTAAAAATATTTTGGCTTTAAATAACCTACAAGGATTGATAAGCTGTAGAAAATCAATCAGTCAATCAATGAAATACTGATTAGCTACACAGGATATGTCTTTAAAATTTATTTACATTCTCTGGAATATAAATGTAGAGAAACTACCATGCAACAAAGTGAGAGATTAGTTTATATATTGATTGTAGTATAGAAATGATCCCTCACTTTATATCCACATCATAATTTCTTGTTTATCAAATTCTGATTAGGTATGAACCCACCTCTTCTCTCCCCCAGCTATGGGTAATTAATAAGACTTGTATTACTAAACAATTATTATCTCCCCACTAAAAAAATTTTTACAATCTAAAAATATTTTCTGCCTTTAACCCTTCTTGGAAAAGACCAACCTGATGAGACAAGATGATGTGACAGAAAATTGAGCATTCATCATTCTTACCTGTTGCTCCCTTCACAGATGGGACTTTTAGCGTGAAGATCAGACTGTGAGAGACGCTACGTACCCCATTCTTCATTCTATCTTTAAAGCAAATAATCTCAACTTCACTAAGACGTTCACCCCTGTAAGAGACAAACAAAGGGAGTCAAAATTATTGTTGGTTTAATACAGTGGTTCTCAAACGGTCTGGTAGAAGAGGATAGCAGGTGAGATGGAATAAATGAAAGATAATCAGAGTTAGAAACACTTTTAAAAAAATTCATATGCCAAAAATAAATATGATTTCAAAATTTAAAATATTTTTATGGATTACTTGTAATTGCATGCATGAGTCCCAGTATTAAATAGCTATAATTATTTACCAATTTTATCATTGTGATATTTTTGCATTATATCAAGTAATTAGTAGTAGAGCCCGGCGTTATTTGGGGATGTAACAGTAAGAGATAGATCAAGTATCGACCATCATAAAGACTGAAAAATAAAATTGACAAAGATTATTGTTTAAGGTTGACGGACACGCATGTCTCAATTAGTTTTTTTTTTTTTTTTTTTACGAATTGGTCAAACCCAAATTCAAAATAAAAACATTGTTTACAATCGTTCATGAGTCTATCGATTGGTGAATAGAATTTTATTATAAACAATTGTCTTGTAAATGGAATTTTAAAGCATTCTGAATGTAAATAAAAAAAAAAAGTGTGCAAGACAATAAGAAATACTACCTGCCAAAAAAAAAATGTTTGTTTTTGGATAAAAATTTTATCGGCTGAAAATGTAAGAAATCCGATCCCATATATAAAGGAACACACACACACACACACACAAACAACACTGGGTTTTTTAACCTAAGTCACTCCACGGAAAAAAAAAAAAAACAGAGCATAGTCTGATGAAAAAAGACGCCAAAGTTTATGAAAACAAAATTTTATCGTCAAAATGCTTATTTTTTTATGAAGAGGATAGACTAATTTTTTTTTAATTATTTTTTAAAAATTTTTCCATCTTTTAGAATATTCTAAATTTTGATTTAAAAAACCTTGTTTCTCTTTTGTCGCAACAAGGGGTAGTAAATAACAGATAATTTTTAGCGCATTTTTTTTTTTGTATTTACACACATTAATTTGGAAATTCTTGCAAAAATAAAAATAATTGTCAGATGTTAATGAAACTTTAAGAAACTATTCACAGATGATCGAAATTATTATAAATATGTTTGTTTTTATTAAAGTCATGGCAGAAATATTTTTTTTATATTTATTAACACCCCATAACTAATTTTATGAAAAACTCTAGGAATTCGAGCGCATCAACCTTAGTGATTACAATAGTTAAAAGCACAAGGCTTTGAAGAATGCAAATCATCATTTTTTTTTTTTTTTTTTTTGGCCAACGTACCTGAAAATCAGCTGTGAATTGTAACATACAAAATTCAATAAAACAAATATATTATTTAGTTTCAAATGCTTTTATTTGTTTTAATTTGTTTTTATGAATATGGACAATATTTTCTGAAAAGCAAAAATTTTTTCAATGAAAATTGAATTTTTAATACAATTATTTCTTATTTCTTTAATTTTAAAAAAGATTTTTTAAAAATGTTTAAATTGAATTTAAAAAATATTTTAACATTAGTTAAATGCAACATCAACCTTTCAAAATGTCCGTGTGAGATTGTCATTGTCTATTTTTTGAAAATTGTATAATTTGGACCAATCAGATTAGCTATGGTAATTAAGAAATGTAATTTTTTGTGTTTATAGTCGGACAGTAATTATCAAGTACGGAAGACCAACCAGAATACAATTTAGTTGCATTATTTGAGTTCAGCATTGTTCTCCGCTGTTAAGCCCTTTACTTTTGCGAAACACGTATGGAGAAGTTAATTTGAGTTTTCAATTTCAACTGAGAAGGGTACCTACAAGTAACAGTATCATCTTATGAAATTTAACTACTGCTAAACTTTAATTTATATGATCTTATTTTTATATTAATCTCAATTATGACATTTTTCCATAAATGAAATATCAAAATTAATAATAAAATGAATGGAAATACAAATAACACAGTAAAATGTAATAAATGTACATAAAATTATAGTATTTTATGTACACTTCTGATAAAATTTCATAAGAAAGGTACCTAAATTAATTAGATACCTTTTTCTTATGAAATTTAATCTCACTATTAACAGTCTTATTTTTTAATTTCTTTATATTTTCCATAAAGCATCGTAAACGTAAAAATGAAAGCTAAGTACAAAAAAAAATAAAAAATAAAAAATTAGAGCGCTGAAAGTTTTCCTTAAAAGTAACGAGGTAAATAATTTGTTCACTTAAATAATTTCACTTCCTTCCATCTGTAGAAAGAATTACCCTCCCGTAAGTTATCTAAACGTCATGAATGTGCCTTTCGTCAATCGTCAAGCGACGCGAAAGGTTATGACCTGCTTTGTTTTATTTTCAAATTACATTTTTTTGGCGCAGAAGCTAAGTTAAGCTTGGTTCAAAATATTTTAAATAAACAGTATAATTTCTATTTTTATTAAAATCAGTTTTGAAAAAAATGATAATTGATTTTTAAAAGAATATCAAAGTAAGATTTTAATCTTTTTTATCAAATCGAAAAAAATGATTGAAAATGATTATCTGTCCTTTTTTTGACCAAAAAAAAAAACAATATTTTTAACGAAAATTTCAGACTTGCTAGGAACGATTAAAAATGTAAAAAAAACCCCCCAAAATACTTTGATCTTTCCTCTTTAATAATAATATGAACATTAGACGATAAAATTTTGTTTTCGTCAAGTTCGGCGTCTTTTTCATCATGCTATGCTCTTTTGTTTACATTTTCGTGGGTGAGTTGTCCCCCTTTCATTTTCACGATGTGTCTTAATTGTGTTTACAAATTGATTTTCTTAAAAAACAACTGTGTTTTTCCCATTTTCGGTGCCGTTAGAACCACCAAAAGGTAATTTTATGTAGTCCTGTGAAGTTTTGTTGAAATCGGCTAAAAAATGTAGGAAATTCGATCCAACATATAAAAACAGACACACACACACACACACACAACCTGTGTTTTATAATAAGTAAGATTAAGAATATAGTAACTAAGGTCTGCAAATTGGAGGAGAGTGTTATCAATGATAATGTTCTAACTTCAAATCCGTAGTTATCTTCCTTTAACCCTTTCTTTGAGTTTTTATTTTTAAATGTACTTTTTATCACATAAAACTTGGTGAGGTGGGAGTAAATTTTCATTCTGAAAATGAGGCCCAGAGAATAAAAGTTTGGGAGCCACTGGTTTAATAGATTTGCTGATATTTATATAGCATAAAGGAAAGAAAGAATACAGCTTCATAAAGATTAACTTTAACCTCGTTTTATTACAGAAAATTTTTAAAAATTATGGAAATAAAAAATAAAAAAAGGTTAAAGGAAGGAATGAAATCAGAAAAGTGAATGTAATGAATTCAATTGGAATTTGAACTTGTCTCTCCAATTTCTCAATCTGAGCCACTATCAATTACACCACCACGCATTCACAAATATATATCATGCACACTGTATTAGATGGTATGCAAGATTTTACTCCCATTTCACCGAGGAAAACCAAGATGAAAAATTGTTGGATGGAACTTGGAATGTTACTGGAAATTTCATTCCCTATTTGGTCCAGCATGATAGAAATGGACAAAAAAAATAAAAATAAAAAAAAATAAACAAAAAAAAAAGTAAGATAATTTACTTTTAAAGATGTCAACATTTCACCAAAAGAATCTGTTTAGCTTGACTTTTTGAGAATGTTGTGTTATTATATGATTCTACATGCAAGTAATATACGAGCTTTCTGACCTTTTTTGCAGTTCACCTATTTTAATTGTTTGATTTTTTTTTGCCTTCTGGGGCTAACATTCTCAGCTGACATAAAGTGGAAAGACTATATTGAATCCATTGCTAGGTCAGCTGCTAAGAAAGTTGGAAACAATTTTTCTCTCCAGAATCTATCATACATATCTACCAGTCATCCATGCTTAGAATATTGCTGCTACATATGGTTCAGTACCCCTGCTATTTACCTTGAGCTCCTTGATAAAATCCAAAGAAGAATCAGTAATATTATTGGTCCTGACCTGGTGGCTCAGCTTCAGTCACTTTCCCATCGCCATAAGGTTGCCTCTCTGTGTCTTTTCTATAAATACTTTCATGGTGATTGTTCAAATGAGCTCTTCGCTATGGTACTTAGAATTTAAATTTAAGTACTAGACTGGTGTTGAGATCTCATCATTTTACAGTTGGGCTGGCTAGATCTAGCTGTAAAACAGTTTGTTTTTTTCTCGTACTTATCACCTGTGGAACTCCCTTCTGGTTCCATACTTTCCAGCCAACTTTAATCACTAAAAATTTAAATTCAATGTAAATCACTATCTACTCTCCTCCTGATTACTCTTTTCTCTTCCCACTCATTATCAATGTTTCTGTTCCTAATTCTTCCACACCCAGTAACCCTTTGTGTCTTAGTGGATTTACTGCCATGCTTGGGATGAAATTGATTAAAAAATTTTTTTAAAATGTTCAAAAGCGTCTTGTGGATGGCAAATTATTTTTCATCCTATAATCCCTTTCTCACAGATAAAAACCTTGCATGCCACTCACTGCCTATCGCTATTTCCATGGAAAGTGCTAAGACAAAATATATTCCTTAGTACCACCTGCTCTAACCTTCACAGCTAATACCTGCCATGCCATGCACATTGTAGCGAATGACCCTCATTCTCTATGTATTCCATTGGTAAGATGTGAAAAGTTCCAATCGAGCAGCTCCTGGAACCGACTCCCAAGAGGATTTTTTCTCAATCAATACAAACTTAACCTTTTGAAGTTGAAGTTTATTTCTTACTCTGTAACCTTCTTACTTAGAGTGGTTCCCTGGCCTTGTACAGAGTAAACATCACTGTAAAAAATTTTAATATTTTTTGTTGCCAGGGGTGGGGGATAAGTATTATATGGCATCAGCTATAGTATGTGTGCATGTGAAAGAGATTAGAATAAAGTTTTATTTCAATTTAAAAAAGAAAAGTATCATGTCCAATAGCCTGCCAGAGATACCCATTTTTATTACTTGCAAACTACCATGCACTCTTAAGAAAGATAGTGGAGTGGTTCCCTGCTATATTCTCTACTGTTTGGAAGTAGCATTTTCCTTCTGTCAGACTAATTTTCAACCAAGGCTATAAAGCCCAGTCTACCTGCTACTTAACCCCTAGCTGAAAAGAAGAAAAGGATGAGTCCCTTCCTTGAGTGAAGGTAGGCAAAAACTGTCTTTTTGACACTTTTGTGGCAGGATAGGTTTCTAATAATAATTCATAGCAAAATAATGAATCTTACTTCTCACATTGTATGCTTGTCTATTTGGGCCTGTGTCTGTGTGTTAGTTAATGGCAGAAGCTGTAGCAATGAGACAGGAATAGTCTATGAATGGACCTTTACTTCTCACTGCCTGCCTGTGTATTGTATTTATATAATTAGTGCATCTCTGACATTGATTTATTGCATATTTTTTAATGCAATATTCACATGACCTTTTTTTGTTCAGTAACATATAGCCCTTTTTAAAATGCAGTCAGGTTGAACTTCTAGCCTGAATTTTGGTAAAGAATTAAACATTTCTGAGAGGTGGTATTTTATATAAACAAATCAAATATTCTTTGGAATTTGGCAAATTTCTGAAGTCCATATATTTTTGTCATACTGCACCAACAACAAAGTTCTCAATCACTCAGAAATGCCAAGCACTGAAGCCACCATCCTCAAGCAGTTAGGACATGTCACCTGAATGACCTCTTCAAGACTCTGACAGGCCATCCTTTATAGTGAGCTCATCAATGGCAAACGACATTGCAGAGCCCCAAAGACCAACTGAAGACTTTCCACCTTAAAGTCGGAATCAGCCCTAACACCTGGGAAACAGAAACTGCTGAGCATCCAGCCTGGCAAAAAGCAATTCATTTTGGTTGTTCCACTTTTGAGGAGAGGAGAAAGACTGAAGACGTAGTAAAAAGAAGGCAACGCAGGGCCCAGCAACTCCAGCCAAGACCATCACCCACCCTACCATGCAACCAATGCCCAAGACTATTACATTCCTGACTTGACTTCCTGAGCCATGTTGAATTCAAACATTGTGGAGGAACAGGATGAACCAAACTCGGACACAAGTGGTGCCGATGACTGCCACAGAAGCAATTGGGTAGGTTGGGGAAGATCAAGTCTTAGTAAATTTTAATGAATTCTACTTAGTTTATTTCAGGTTTGAATCATCCTGGAACCTTCTCTAAACTAATTTTATGACTTCCAATTATTTTTAATCTGTTCTTTCTTATTCTCCTTGACACTTAGTTTCACTGAGTTTTTTCCAGTTTAATTATTTCTTGCTCCAAATTGTCATCAGTCATTCTCATGTAGTAAAATGTTGAACCCAGGTTACCAGTCTATTATACTTACTGTCGCGTAATATTCAATAAAGCTTCCTAAATAAGTCTATCATTATCTTCAGTCTAGTGCCATCATTGTGGTCATTATGTGAACATGATCCCTGTGGACTGAATAAAGGGATCAGTTCTGACTCCTCCTACTATGCTTTAACTTTAAAAGAGTCAGATTAGGCTAAAAATGGAATATCATGGCTGGAGTGGCTCAATCCTCACTGCCTAGCCTTGAAAAAATTCAAAATTGTTGAAACAGTTTTGTGGGATGAAGAATTATTTCCACTCTACCAAACCTATCATGACTATTTTTATTCCTATGTCAAATGCCCCATTCTTTAGTTGTATCAGTTCAGATTTTTATAGCTAAAACATGCCATAACACTTCCATGGAGTCAAAACATCCTCATTATTTGCATGTTCCAAATGTAAGAAAATTTTGTTCCGACAGCTTTTTTCCCCCCAAAACTATCATTTTTTTGGAAAAAGACTCCCATGTGGGTGCTTCCCTGAACACTTCAATCGTGACTTCTTCAAGTCCAGGGTCAATTATGATCTATGTTACTTATCCTCAATCTTCACTTCCTACAAACTTCTCTTCCATTCGTGTCACACACCTCATCAATATCATTTTAACTGTAATCTCTACATTGAGTAGCTCTCGAGCCATGAAATTTAGTATTAAGAAAAAAAAGTTCAAATTTCCCAGACTGTAAGTGAATACTGACACCTTAAGAAAGCCATAGAATATGTTCTGACTATAAACAACCAAGATAAGGACACTAGTCTGAATAGATTCCTGTAGAATAAATAAAATCTATTGTCTTTTTGGGCTTCACATTAAAATGTTACTTACCAAGTATAGGAGATGAGGTAAAGATAATTACGGAGTGGCCAACCAGGAAAGTCATCAGCAGAACAAGGATCAAAGAAAGCAAAAATAAGCTGAAAAAGATGGAAATTGCTTAAGCTCACATTTTACACTTTGTAGATTACATTTGTCATAATGAGACACACTTTTGGAGACAGTTTTAATGGCAACAAGGAATTATGTGTGGGAGTAACAGCATCAGTGAAAATTTTCATTCTTTTTATTTAAACATATTAGTAAAATTAGCAGGTATAGTTTTTTCCTTTTCTTTTAAATTGATTATACCAGGTATAAAAAGTGATTCTACTGCTATGATTTAGAGGTGAACCCCATCATATTCTCCATTAGTACTTCTAAAAAGCCATGAAAACAAAGATAGTATAACCACAAAACTTCTACAAGAAGGCAGTACACCAATAGTACAACACTTTCTATTCACCTGTGGGATTTGCTGAGAAGAAAAGTGATGCATTTTAGAATTCCCCAAGCAGGACAAGCTGCTGAACAAAAAGAACTACTTTCTAACTCTAGGCATGATAATAAGCACTGCTTATGCTACCTACCCTCCTGAATCAGTGCTTATCGACTCTTCAGTACTTGTAGATTATAAGGATAAACTCAAGAGAAATACAATATGCCTGAAGATCACCAAGAGTAAAACTGGCATTTTCTCTATTATTTTCCTTTTGTCTCTAATTTTTGACATTGAGCATTGTTTTTACACCAACACTATGTGATAGCAAATTCTTTGTTATTTAATATAACACTTGTGTTACTATCATTAATATTAACATATACAGGGTGCAATAGGTAAATTGACACCATTTTATATTTTTAATTTCACGCATACACATTGTTTTTTATTCTGTCAACTGCACAGTATAGTAGGATCAGTTGGGCAGCGTCTGTGAGAAAAAGAGCATCATGATGATACACACTCCACCAGAAATTTGGAAACAGCATGCTATACTGCTTGGCATTCATCCCAGAAGCTCCAATACAAACATTTTAGGCTGTTTGGGTGTCAATGTGAGAACAGTGCAGAGGATTTGGAAAGAGTTGGATTAGTCTAATGATAATTACGAAGGTATTTGGAGTGATCACTAGTGATGACAACGTTATGCCTCCATTCATCTCCCCACAGGATAAGGCTGACATCAAGTGCCTTGAAGAGGTAGTACTACCCTGGGTCAAGATGGTGGCTGCTGGATGACCCTTTGTCTGGCAACAGAACTCTACACCATGCCACACAAGCAGGGGAACCTAGTCAGGACTGTCAGACAATTTCTGCAACCACATCACCCCTTACATCTGGCCACCTAACTCCCCAAACTGCACCCTGCTTGATTATTATGTGTGGGGTTCAGTTGAGTGAAAGACCAACAAAACTCTTTGTAATATATATATATATATATATATATATATAAGATAAAGAACAAGTAGGAAACGAATTTTAATCTAACATGTTTCACTTTAATAAAGATTTGGCAGAGATCAAGATAGAAATGATAAAAAATGATAAAAAGCAAAGAGACACAGTATGTTGTGTTTGGCTATTTCTTATTGGTTAGATATGCATCACGTGTAATGAAATAACAGATAATATTTAAATATGTATGGCAAACATTCTCGATGCTAAAGTGTGTAAAAGTTAGTAAGATGCAGTAGGATGTTTTGATTGGATACATGTCATGTGTAATGAAGTAACAGATAATATTCAAATAAGCTTTAATAAAGTGAAACATGTTAAATTAAGATCTGCTTCCTACTTCTTTATCCTATCATTTTGTTGGATTCGTATCTATCTGAGATATATATAGAAGGAGAGAGTGGGAAAGAGAAAGGGAGATAGAGAGAATTGGTAAAGGGATGCTGAAAAGTTATCAATCTGACCAAAAACTTTTTCAATACTGTCTTTTGTTTGCGTGTATGTGAGAGTGAGAGATAGAGATTGTATAATACTGTCTTAAATAAATATACTGGACCAGTTTTTCTGGAGAATAATATCTTCAAGGCAAGCAATCTTTGCAATATCAAGAGATAGAGCATTAATAACATTAAATGTTCACTTATCTTTTCTCTAAGTTTTGGAGATTACATCCACTCTTCAGGATTGATTATTTTTTCCAGCTTATCAGCCTTTGCAGGTTATTTAAAGTCATAAAATAATTTTAGATTGTAAGAATTTTTGAGGGATAATAATAATTTACTGATACAGGTTCTAATTAACGTATAGCTGAGAAGGAGAAGAGGTGGATTCATACCTTTCTCAAAGGTATTTGAACATAAATGAATACAACAAACCTAAATCAAATTTGAATTAAGCTCTCTGATTATCCATTACACCAACCACACATCCAAGCTTACAGCACCTGTTATTCGCAAGAAATCACCCTCTACTCTGAGGGATGCAGGTTCAATTCCTGCCGAAGGACACAAGCTTTTCTTTAATGAGATTTCTTGAACATTCTGGTTGGTTGGTGAAAATAAATAAACATACTGTTTAATAAATAAACTGCCTACTCAAATACAAGTAGGCACAAAAAATAATGTTTAAAGTTTATATATATATATATATATATATATATATATATATATATATATACACACACACACACACACACACACACTTGAAATATCAGCATGTTTAAACTAATCTTAGAACAATGTACAGTTAAATATACTTACCTTATCAGGCAGCAGATTTTCTGTTTCACTGATGCTGTGAATGGTAAATGTATCAGCAGACACCTCTTTTATCAAAAAGTGAGTCTGATATGAAGAAGCAGCACTTTGAAATTGGTCATACGTTTCTAACAAATTTTCCAACTGTCAAGAAGAAAATTTTTTACATTTTTAACTGGTATTATACTGTGTTAAATTTAACTTACAAATTTACTCAACTTTTATAAAAACCTATGAACATTATATATAAGTGAACACAAAAATCAATGTCAGTTTCACAAAGTGATCATTTGGCCAGACTTTAATGATTACAAATGCTCTATCACTGATTAAGTACTCTTAACTAATAAACATACCAAATTTCATATATGAATAAAAGACAAAAACTGCTCTTAGCCAATGTGTTTTATCCTCTGAAGGAATTTATCAAGGCAAATGTAGTATTTATTTTGTTGCACATGTTTATGTACAAGAGCAAGGATGTCATTGGTTCATCAAGATGTTTAAATTTGAGAACAGTCATGAATATTCATCAGGTGGTCGAGAGGTTACTTAAAAAATGTAGAGGACACAGAGTGCTATAAAAATAAAAATAAAACCTTCCAAAACATTTGCTTAGCATTCATTCATTTTAAATGTTAAAAAGAACATTTTGTACCAACATTCTACAATATTTATTTGTAATTATTAATATTAAATTCATATCTGTATTTCTACAGGCTCATTTTTTAAGTAAATGAAAAAACCAAGAACAGATTTTATTTTGGAAGTATATACAAAAATTTACGTTTTTTTCCTTCAAATTTTGAAGTACTTTGACTTTTAAAAATTTTCATTGATAAATATTTTCAATTCAAAAAGAAATAGTTTATACAAAGAAATCTCAATCACATGATTGTCTTGTTAAAATAAAATCTATGAAAAATTCAAATATTAAATTTAGTTTCTGTTTTGAGTTTATCATGTCGATATTCAAAAAATAAATCTATATATAAAATTCTGTGACTTCCATTAGTCTGTCCGTCCATCACACCCTCTAAAATGGCCATACATTGACTGATCAAAACCAAATTTTGGGGAGAAGTGCAAAGAGGTAAGTGGCATACAAAGTACAGTTGGTTTTATTAGGGTGTGTAAAAACTGCAAAGTAGGGTTTTTGCCAAAGTATTTTTCCAAACAAATCAGCTTATTCAAATTTCATCAATTGGTTCATGAAATTGAATGAAATGTAGAATTTGTAAATCTCGACAAAAAATATTAGCAAAAACTTCAACAATACTAAATACTGTGAGGATTTCAACATGTGTCAGCATGTTGCAAAAAAATTCTAGTGAATATAAATTGCTCACAGAAATAATTTAAAAAGTAAAATAAACTAAAAAAAAGACTAGGTAATTTAAAAGTTAATTTTACCCAAATATTTCATCAGCAGTATGATACTGGTATACCACCTGTCACAGTTTCTGTTCAAATTGTAGGGTTCACTTAATTTTATATATCTGTTACTTTGTTAAAAAAACACACACATACACAAAACTGACATTGGCTTTTATTAGGTCATGTCATAAATAATTTCCATTTTTGTCTATCAGCTTCATTCTTCAAAAAAAAAAAAAAATAAAAAAATAAAGTAAATTTTAATCGTTATAATTTTAAATTGTTTTAATTATTCTTGAAAATATTAAATGAAGTCATAATTTCTGTTTTAACTTTATTCTTCAAAAATAAGTGCAATTTTATTTTATGCAATTCTATATTTGTCATTATTTGCAATGAGTTGTTGCCAATTATCAGGCAGCTTGCTGATACCTTTTCAATTCTACAGGCATTGATGTGAAAAAAAATTTCCACAAACTCTTAGATAAGTTTTTCCCATCAAAGTGTCTTGTAGTAATCAAAAAAGGTAATCAGTTGGTATAAAAGTCAGGTGAAGATGTCAGGTTAGGTTGGGTAGAACAAACCAACTGAGTCCAAAAATCTTTTCCCCATGTTATTCTTGCCGGTTTCCCCCATGTATGCTGCCACTGCCAGACATATTGCTGGAGTCCAAATTTTTAACTGTTACATATGATTGATTAGTAGTTAAGAAGATACATTCATCATTATGACTGGTTCCCAAAAACGGAAATTATTTATGACACATCCTACTAATAAAATTGTTATCTTAACATTGGTTTGTCAGAAAAAGGCAGGCTTTCTTACTTGTTTACTTGTGAAATGTTGTTCCAAAGTTCCTTGTTTGATTACAAACACATCAGGTGGCAAGCAGAGACATGGATAGGCAAACCAGTAATAATAATGATATTTCTTTAAATCCTGAAAGAAATAAGTGGCTGTTAAAAATAATCAAATCATTTTTTAACAATCTTCATGAATCTAAGAAAATAAAGTTTCTTTCTAACTTGTTTTTTTTTTTACCAGTGTCATTTGTAAACCTTTTTAGACACACATAAGTTACACAAGTACAGCAATAGTGAAATTAGTTGTTTCCTATAAGTAATGTGCAGGTGGTGTAGCAGATATCAGTTTGGAATGAGAAACTAGAGAGCCAAGTTCAAGTTCCAGTAGAGTTTGTTACATTCAATTATGTGCAAAAACCCTCAGGAAAAATGTAGATTCATCTCTTCTCCTCCCAACTATGGATTAAATAATAAAGCAGGCTGGGTCCTATAGCTTTTTCAGGAAAAACTGAATTCAAACCAGCCTGGGAAGGCTCCAGCTCTGTCAGGCTATCTTGCCCAGGACACAACACTACTGGTATGGCTGCAGTGCATGTAGTGCTTAATGGGTTACAGGACTCATGATAAGGAAACATTTAACATTCATTGACTGTTAGTTAAAATTTTAAAAAAATCTTTCTCTCAAAATAGTTTTTCTGGAAAATAGGTTTGTTAAGCTCATATTCATTGATTGATTGATTTTATTTTTTACAGATTATCAACCCTTTACAGATCACTTAAAGCCAGAAAATATTTTTAGATTTTAAGAATTTTTTGGAGGTAACTGATACATTGATTGATTCATTCATTTTCTATGCCTTATCAACTCTTTGCGGGTCACTTAAAGCAACAAAATATTTTTAGATAGTAAGAATTTTTTTCTTTCTCGGAGATAATAGTTCAGTGATACAAAACTTACAAATTAACCCATAGCTGGAAGAAGGAGAAGTGGATTCATACCTTTCTCAAGGGTATCTGTATGTAAGTGAATATAATGAACCCAATAGGAATTGGAACTCAGCTCTCTGATTAACAATTCTGAGCCATTATCCATTATACCACTCACACATCCAAGCTTACAGCACTTTTTATTCACAAGTGGTCACCCATCTACTACTGACCAGGCTTGATGTTTCTTAACTTCAGTGATGGTGCAGGAACTGGTGTTTTAAACATAAGCCACTGTCATTGCTCTTTCCAGTATTGATAGATATGTACAGTAGTTTTCTCAGATCAATGATTAAAAATGAAGCGAATGATCCCTATGGGTCATGAAGAAAACATTATTTCATCAGATTGTATAGACTGGCACTCGAGAATCACAAAGAACTTTACAAAATAACAGAAACCACATGCCTTGAGGACTTTCAACAGCAGCAATGATTAAAATGGATAGCACAAGTAATCTGAAGAGAACAACATAATCAAGATGTTGACCTTCCACACTACATTGAACAAAAAGCTAAGAAGGAATAAAAAATAAATATTTAACATTTAGAGCTGGACACTTAGATTGACACTTTCATGTGGATGTCATGCATAGTATCCAACTCATTCAAAAATGTCTAAATGATTGATAGGGGGTTCCCTTCCTAACCCCAAGCTTAATTCTGAGGTGCATTGAAGCTTTACTCAATAATGTACAAAAGTCTTGGGCTATTTTTAATTTTTTTTAATTCACCCTAGCAAGGCAATAATGCCACTAAGATGCAAGGGGCTACTGGACTAAGAGAATGAGAAGACTTTAGAAGGAACTGAAAACCCATTTCTGAACAGGAAATAAAGTATAAATCTATTCCTGTTTAAAAGACTATAGAGGAGTATGAACTGGACAATAAGTAAACCTATTTACTCCTATTTTAAATTTTTAATAATTACCATCTGATAAGATTTTTTTTTACTGTGTCTACAGATTAAAATTTAGTAAGATTGAAATAATTTTCACACTTAATTACCATATTTTTTAGCAAGGCTTCTGAATAAGGAGAAAAGATGCAAAACAACACCCCAAAAATATCCATGCAAAATTCTTTGGTCATCTGACTTTGTCTGTTTTCTCTTCCACCACTAAAAGGCAAATATTTAGTCAAAACATGATCATTTTTATCCTACATATAGGGTAAATTCTGACATCGAAGTACTGCATTCTTTCATTACTTGAAATCATGGCAAAAATTTCCAAAGAAACCAGGATGAAGTCAATGAAAATAGCCAAGAATATAAACCATGGACAAATTCCTAAGGAATTAGGAATATCAAGAATTGTCATTTCAGAAATCCTCTCAAAGTCTCAAAGCACTGGAAATGTTTTGAATCACACAAACTATGGTCACTCTTGAAAGCTGCAGCATAGAACAATATGGAGACTGATCAGGACAACAAAATGCTCAGTGAAAGAAGACTGATAGTCAAGTGATGGATGAGTATGACTTGTTCAGTTTGGTGTCAGTAAATAGCACTAAGTGCATCCTTCAAGAACATGGACTGAAGAGAGTCATTTCAATGAAGAAACCAACTTTAAACAAAATGAATTTTAAGGCAACATTAAGTTTGTCAAAGTGGTAACAACTGTAGGATGCTGATGCTTGGATTAAGATCACATTCAGCAGGGAAAGGAAGATGGGGTGTGAATTTGTCAGAAAAACAACAGGAAAATAAAGTGACTCACATTACACAACAAAAACAGAGAAGTTTTGAAGTTAAGAGTCTGATGTTTCTGGGCTGCATAAAACTGGATGGTTCAAGAAAATTGGTTAAAATTGGTGATACTTTGAATAGTGCCAAATACATACTGTTACTAAAGGAAAATTTGATACCAGACTTAGATGAAGGCAAGATTTGTTAACATCATGGAGCTCCATGTCACAAATTGCATGCAACACAACAGAGACTGACTGATGAATGCTCACTTTATTGAAAGTTTGGCCAGATTAGGGCCCTGATTTAAATCATGGATCAAATGTTGAGAGAATTAATGAGTAGAAATTATCAAAAGAATCCATGTGAGCTTGTGTCATGGAAGCCCAAACACAGTGAATGATATCTAGTACCTGTGAAGATGGTGAAGTGTTTGTACGCATCCCACCCCATCACAGGCTCATTGAAGCAATTATTCAAGCTACCTGAAGCCGCATAAAATATAAACAATGTACATTTACTTCTTGAAATCAATATTATATAATAAATTTTCATTACAGATATTTTTTTCTTTTAAAACACAGCACCTGCCTTGGTTGATAGAAGGTAACTGAAATGTTTTGCATGGCCATCTTTGTGGTTTGTCCCTCATCTCCCATGCTCTTTCAGAACCCTTGCTAAAACAATGATAATTAGGTGTGAAAATGACTCCAATATGGCCAAAATTTCGTTTGTAGACAGCACAATAAAAAACTCCATCTATAAGATGGCAATTATTAGAAATTTACAAGTGTTTAAAATGGCCTAAGACTTTTAAATGGTACTGTATATGTGTGTTTCTAGAACAAAAGAAAGGAAAGGAAGATAGTGGAAGTGGTAACATCTTTGTGCATTTAACGTCTGCTTCAGTGAAATGGGTCCCACTCTACATGATTAATGAAAACTGCTGTCATAAAACCTGATTGAAGAATATTGAGGCATTTAAAACACTGCTTTTTCACTTTTGTTACCTATTTTATAGAAATGACCTGATGCAAAATGTTTAAAATGTTACATTAACATTAAAATGATCAATTTGAACATACAATACAAGGTCACTGTTGCATCAGACTCTAATGGGAAAAGAATAAAAATTACTGTGGAATTTTCTGCAGATTCCTGCTAGTTTAAATTATTTTTCTAATATTAAATAGAGAAACAAACTTTTAATTATCAATTGATTTGTTATGAATGTGTGCATAGTGTAGTGGTTAATGCCAAGGAAAGCAGGACAGGAGTGTTGAGAAAATTTCAGCTGATGCAGTTGCATTCACTTTTTCACAAATACCCTTTGAAAGGTATAAATCAATCTCTTCTCCATCCAACAAGGGTTTAATAGTAGGGCAGGCTGGACTCTCTTGCTTTGGCTGGCAACCAGAGAAGAACAACAGAATTCAAAACTTGTTGGGTATAATGTAATTGTTATGAAAATTAGAGCAGCAACACATAGCAGAGAGGCTATTGCTTTAATTGTCAACAAAGGGTGTCTACAGGGTTAAAACACTTGAATTCGACATTTGATTCAAATCAAAACAGCATTATAAAACTTTATCTCTTTTCTATAGAAAATATACATTCTGAAAAGAATTTAATCACTTTTATCTTTTTCTTTCAAATTTGATTTTACTTGAAAAAAAAAAAAAAAAAAAAAAAAAAGGAGGTGCAGGAGTGGGAGGATACTCACTGCAAAAGCCAACATGATAAACTGCGTTAAACTGCTTGGATCTTTGATAGCTTCACCTGACTGGATACTTTTGAACAGCTGGAGAAAAAAAGGAAAATAAAATTGTAACGTAATTGAATCAGATGATGATGGAATAACAGCACAAAATATAGAACTAGCAAGGAGAGTTCAAAGGCATGAATCCATATGTCCTTCTCTTTAGCATGGAGTAAAATAACAGAGTAATCTGGACTCTTAAGCCTTGGTTGGCAATCAAATAAGGAGAAGGACAACTCTGGATTCAAAACCATGGAAAAGGTAACAAGAAAAAACTCCATTGTCTTTGCTAACAAGAACAAATCATTGCAATGTAGTTTACAGATATTAAAAGAAAAGTAAGCTATAGAGAGCCATAATCATCTATGTACTAAAGGGCTCTGGTATCTAAAGTGAGAGAAAACTGTATTTGGACTTTAGTTGTAGCTGGCATATTCATCTATTCAATGAATTTCCAATTTATAATAGGTTGTTGATGTTTTGCCCTGAGAAACATGTTTGGTGTTTTTGCTACACTTAAACAAAAGGGAAAGTATTATATGGAGGATAGATCTACAGGAGCCAGGCTTCAAAATAAGAACATATCGAAAAGCATCCGGACATATTACCTGGAAAATTGGTTCACATAAACCAAGCTCCTATATGAGGCAGTATTATCTGGAAGAAAGGTCCACATGAGTCAGGGTTCAAAATGAGGTGGTATTATCTGGAAGATGGGTCCACATAAACCAGGTTTCTATATAAGGTAGAATTTTCTGGAAGATGGGGCCCCATGAGCCAGACTTCTATATAAGATGGTATCAGAAACTCTCAAGATTTTACCTGCAGTCATTGATACCCAGTTTACTCAGTCTACCTATAGACTTCACAACCTTAACTTCATGACATCTACTTGTATTTAATTATTATGTGAGGTTTTCTAATGTCTGTGTTGAAATGCTTTTACAATCTTTATGATGGTTGACAAATTCAAGCAATGTGTTTGTATCACATTTTGCATGAAGCTTGGTAAATCTGTTATTTAGGCCATTGAAGCACTTTGTCAGACTTTTGGTGGCACACAGATTTAGGAGTAGTCTGTGGGCGTTTCTAAGCTGGTCAAATGTCAGTTGAAGATGATGAGCATTTGAGAGTGACTAATCAGCAAAAGTCCAGGAAATATGAAAAAAAATCTGAACTCAACCATGCTAAGTGTGGCTAAACAGTTCATCTGTCTCTGACATGAGTTATGGAGTTTGCCAGAAAATCATCATCCAGGACATTTCCAATACCACCTCTGACTTATACAGCGTGCAGCAGAAATACCACCTACATATAACTCCTACATAATGGTAAAACATTAGTGGCAATGATGTCTTCATCTAGCTAATGTCTTACCATGTGAAAGGTATTTCTGCAGCACCCAGTACTTTAATTATACCAGACAATACTTTTAGAAAATTAATATTAACTCTTCACATTTTCTTAATATGAAAAGATTTTGTTTACTTTATACTTCTAAATATGTCTTTTCCGGTCCAAAGTAAAAGACAAAATAGAAAAGAGAAAAAGGAATGATTATCTTTACAGTATCTAATATGGATTTTTTATTAATCTGGCAGATCTTTTATTACTTTAAACGTTATTTTTAGTGGATTCTAAGATACAAGTATTCACTAAAAATAACATTTAAAGAGATGAAGAATTTTGTTAATCTGTCAGATTAACAAAAAAAATCCATTCTAAAATTCTCTTTGTTTACATTTTGATATGAAACTGTACAGATATGAAAAATTTCAAAAGAAATTTTGCTTAAAGGCACAAAATTTGACCTTGCCTGACCAATGGTTAGTTAGTTAGAGCATGCCAGGCTTAACAGTACCTTCCTCTGCCCTAGGTGATGCAGGTTCAAATACTACCACAGAATATAAGTTTTTCCTCAATAAGATTTATAGAATATTCAGGCCCATAGATGAAAATAAATAAATATACTGTTTAATAAATAAATGGAGCATTTACTCAAATACAAGTATCCACTAAGAATGTTTAAAGTGATAAAAATTATCTAATATGTAAAATGCAAAGTTTTCGTGTGTTTGCTGAAAAATGTTTATTGGAATGATTGGCAAAACATTTGCTAATTGATTCAAATTTCATAAAATGATAAATAATAAGGATTATATTTGGTTCACATATTTTAATAATTTAGTAAATGTTTATAAATTTATGAATAAAAAATTGTTTTCAAATTTACTTCTTTATAAATTGGTAAATGATAAATATTGCATTGCATTAGTTTTAAATTGTATTAATTTTTAGAATGTTGTAAATATAAATTTATTCTTGTAGATAAACAATCTAATAAAATAGTAATTAATGTTTGTTGTAAATTCACAAAAAAAATGTATAAATTCACTTTCAACATATGTTTAGGTTTTATTACAATTCCAGTGATTGTTTTTAAAAAAAAAATTGTTGAGGTGCAAAGGTAGTTAAAATAATATCAGTGTCAATGAAAAAAAAACCCAAAAAAACATCCTTTTGAGGGTAGAAAATTCCAAGTTTGCTCAATTTTTAATGGAATTTTAAAATTCCTATTTCTTTTAGAAAACCTATAATCTGATCAAGGGCAATATCTTTAAACATTTTTTTCATATTTGTGATATCATAGTATTTACTATGTTTAAGTTGTTAGTTTTTACATTCAATAAGAATGTGCTTAGATGTCAATCTATGGTTTTGCAATGAAAAGGAAAAAGGAATTTGTTTACCTTTTCAGCAACTTTTTTTAGGATTCCTTTCTGATCAAATTCTTTGAAGGCTTCAATAGTATTGGTGAGATATAATTCCCCTTGAGCTTTACAATGTCGGGGAGGTGCCTGAGCAACACTGTAATAAGAACAAACAAACAGTTATTTTTTTTTTTATTTTAAACCCGATTTCTTATTGTTAATCATTAAGAATGAGAATTAAGTTGATGCTAATGTTCACCACATAATGTTTTACAAATTTTAGAAATATCTGATGATTACTTAGCATTTTATTCATTGCATAATCAACTGCAGTATATTGTTTAGAAATTTCAAGGAAAATTTCAAATTAGTAGAATTAGTTGCACATCTATTTAAGAATATTGGTTAGCATTTAAACACTTGTCTTTTACTTCTTGTTAAAAAACACACACACAAAGTTATTTTTGGATAAGATAATAACTGATAATAAAAAAGCTCTATCATGAGTTCAAAATGAAGAAAAAAAGTGACTTAATCAGGACAACCTTCAACATTTCAACCTAAATTGGGTTTTAAAAAAATTGTTTATATAAAAACACACATCTCTAAGAAATTTTTTTTTACATTTCTACCAAAAATGCATTTTGGATCATGAATATAAAAATTATTTATAAAAATATTTTTTTTAATTTTTAAGAGGGGCAGGTTCAGTTTGCTATGTATTGTAAACTGAAACCAATAAAGTCCATGACAGTGATAAAGCATATCTTACAAAATTTCACAAAATTTAGAATTAAAATAAAAAAGTTAATCTTTATATTATTTAAAGTAGATTCTTCTATTTATTCTTCTATTATTTAAAGTAGATTCTTCTATTTTTCTAAAAATAATTTCACCCCAAGCAACAAGAAACACTAAGTGTTAGAGAATATGAGAAAAAAACATTATTAAGGAGAGAAGGACAATAAAAGAACAGGAATTAAGAAGACAGAAGACAACAATTGACATTGCATTTAAACTTTTGAAAATCAAAATTGACTGAAAAGAAGAAGCCAGAAGAAAGTTTTACAAATAAGTGTGAGAAAAGAAACTGTTAGTATAGAACTTATGGTTACATCTAGCGACTTCAACTATAAAAAGATGAGACATTGAAACTAATCTAGTATTACACTTAAATTAATAAAGTCTAGGTACCATAAAGGAAAGTTTGTCAGAACAATTACCATGAAAATATTTATAGAAAAGCCACAGGAAAACTGCATGATGGCAGTGGGAAAGTGACTGAAAACAAGATACCAAGTCAGGACCAATAACATTGCAGATTCTTCTTTGTATTTTATAAAGAAGCTCTAAATACATAAATTTACATTTGGAAAAAAAATTTCACAAATGGAAGAATCATATGCTTAGCTTGCATATATTGTAATGTGTAGATGCAAATTCCAGCAGAAACAAAAGATTATATACAGGTTTATATTCTAACCTGATGAATATCAGAATAAAATCTTCCATAAAGTGTTTTTTACAATGCAAAACACAATAAAATATCAAACATTTCAATATTTAAAATATTAGGTTGAGTCATTATGAGAACCAATTATAATGATGAATGCATCATCCTAATAAACCATTCCTAAAATATATCATAACAGGTGATGAAAAGTGGGTTACATATGACAATGTTCAATACAGTAGATTGACAAAGATAAATCTCCACAACTGGCATCAAAAGAAGTGCTTCATGGAAGAAAGTTAATGGTGTGTGCGCAATGGGATTGTCAGGGTATTATTCATTTTAAAACACTAAATGCACATTTATACATCCAACATGTCGATAAATGTTTGGTTGAAAAGCACCCTGAACTTTTGGAACTAGGTTGTCCTGTTTTACCCAATTCATTATATTCACCTGACCTTGCACCAATCAATTACAGGGGGTTGTTGACTTACAGCAGAGTTCTGTCCCTAGAATGTCGTAATGCTTTTTTCTGTGTAAGTCAGAATATATTCACAATTTTTCATGAATAAGCATTTACATCATTCCTCTAATGCAATATTAAAAGTAATAATCTAGGACATAACACATTTATGTGATATATTTTAACATAATAGGGACTAAAAACTCATGGGTGATGAGAATATAATCCATATAGTGAAAGGAAATGAAAATATATAATGGAATGAAATAGTTTTAAGCTGCTTGTATATTTATTGGCTCTTGGTAGATGGGATGATGAAGAGTAAGATCTTGTCTCTTTTACAGTACTTAGAAGCAGCAGCAAATCTGGGGAAGAAAGAAAAACAAACATGTTTGTTTTTCTTTTTATCAGGAATTCAACAAAGAAAAGTATATATTATCAAATAATTCCTAAATCAAGGGCTGTTCCTTTATCCTTATGAAATTTACACCTATTTTCAGAAAAAAGCCAAATTAAAAATAAAACATTGACATACATGTTAAATATATGAAACATTGACATACATTAAACAATATTAAATATCCTTAAATGAATGATAAATATGAAATCCAATTTTTTTTTAAAGATTCATTTAAAGTAACTTCCTTTGTTAGTATAGATGCATTTTTCAATGTTTAATGAAGAGACTATGAAAATGTGACCTGTACTAACATTTATCTTTCAAGGCTTTCTTCATTGATTTTTAGGTTTCTAACTTCCAGCAGTATTTTGATTAGGTTTAGTGAATTTAACATTTAAATCCATGCTCAGTCATTCAATATTGAATATCTTTTTATTTTATTTTCAAGCCAGAACAAAATATATCTTAATAGAATAGTTATAGTGCCAGCCTTTATATATTTCTGCATTAATTACCACCAAAAACATTCCCTATATGTGTGTGTGTGTATATATATATATATATATATATATATATATACACACACATACATACATAAACAGACAATCTAACTACCATACTAGAATACAAAACAATTTACATAAATCAGTCCAATTTAGGCTGTCCATCAACTCTAGTAATAACGATATTTTTGACAAGTATAAAAGCAGATATATAGAAGCCCTAGAACAAAGTAACTCTAAAATTAACCTAGAGTTCTTAGATATTAACAATAAACACCATAAATGCAACATCATATGGTTTGACCAATCCATTAGCAGCAACATTAAAACTAACATCAGAAGAACTTTCCTGAATTTAATACATAAGTATTTCATTTATTCCCCAACACTAAAAATGATTTCAATAAAAATGTTAAGGTTAGCTATAGTTGTGCTAAAAACATTGACCAATATATATCTCAGCACAATGATGTTATACTCAACAAGCATCTAACCAACCTCCAAAATAAGCACACCTCTACAATTAAAGAATGCAACTGCCAAAAAAACAAAATCTGCCTGCTAAATGGAAAATGCATATTTAAGGGATTAATTTATAGCACTAACATTAAATATGATGACAAGGGCAAGTTTTATTTAGGTTCAACTGAAAACCATTGGAAATCATGTTTTTACCATAAACCAAATGATATTAGGCAATATTAAATATAGTAACAGCACTGTCCTCTCTAATTTTTTTGGAAAATAAAAAACAGTAATAGAAACCCATCTATCACCTGGGATTACGTAACAAAAGCCAAACCCTTCAGCAGGAAAGGTGATAAATGTAGTTTATGTCTTTCTGAGAAGTTAATAATCCTAAAAAATATTGATAACCCTAATATGTTAAACAAAAGAAGTGAATAACCACATGTATACAGAAAAATAAATTCCTACTCAAGTACGTTGACCCAGATTAATATATTTTTCTCTCTTTCGGATGACAAAGATACTAGTTTAATGTTGCTATTATCACTATATTTTCTTTAATTTTTTTTTCTTAAATGTTATCATATTATTATTAATATTATTATAATGACCTACTATTATTATTTTCACTATTATTAACATTATTATGACCTATTATATTTTACTCTTATTATTTTACTACTGCATACCTATTTTTTGCTATTATAATTTTACCATTGACTAATATTTTTAAGCAAAAAAAAATAGTTATCCCCCTTGACTTTAAATGGCTATTTACCAACAGCATTTGTAGAAATCATTTTTAAGCTGAAATTAATTTTTCTAATTTTTAATTTTCAAGTGTAAGTTTGAACCTAATTTTAAATTCAAATTTAAATTATTTTTAAATATTTAACAACATTAATAACTTATTCAAATAACACAATGAAACTGTGAGACCCAAAAATATTAACAAGACTGTAAACAGTTCCCAGTACCTGAAGATTGCAAGGTGCATGAAACACTGTACAGTGTGTGTGTGTGTGTGTGTGTATGTATATATATATATATATATTAGTGAATATACATAAATCCAATGTCGATAGTATGACTCAGAGTTTCATACAGTTTTGCACTCTTCAAGTGCTGAGTATATTCTGTTATAGGGTTTGCATTCTCATGGTGCTGATTTAAAATTGTTTATTAAGACATTTTTATTTAACTATTGTTGCCTAAAATATTATAATTAATTATTTATAATTTATATCATTCAAATTCACAAGTTTGAAAGACAAAGAATTAAAAAAGAAATTATTTATGCAAATCTATAGACTAAGAAAAATAAGCTAGACCTTTGTGTATCCATGGCAGCACATGACTGTTACTATGGAGACTCAGATTTATCTCTGATATAAAAAACAATGGTATATACAGAGATGACAGGATAATTCTCTAAGCTGAGACCAAGACAAGCAGACTGGATGAGAAAGGACCTAACTAAATTCTTTAAGGACCATACACTAAAGATTTTCAACAAAAATAATATTATGGTAAGCTATAGCTGTACAAAAACAATTATATATCACAACATAACAATAATGTATTAAGCAAGCACATACCCAAAACACTAAATAAAATTTTCTACTAAAAGTCAATACAACTGCCATAAAAATATAACCTGCCCATTAAATGGCAAGCGCATGACTGAAAGCATAATCTACAAAGCTAGGATCAATTCAGACAATGATGTTAAATATTACTTTGGATCTACCGAGAACTTGCAGAAGCGCTACTCTGAAATATTTCATTATCATTTCCCCAACCTTACTAGGGAAATTGAAAAATTCAAGGTACATTTAAATTATCTCATGAGGAACTGATCCATACACATTAGCAAGATCAAGCCAAATTACCTGAACCTCAGTTTTATTTATTTTATTTTGATAGGATTGAGTTCCAAATCATGTGTGAATGCTCCAGACAGCCAGGAAAACCAGGTATCTTAGCCTTCTGGACAACTATTTATTGTTTATGTAATGGTTACCAAGCAGGAAGACTATCATATGACAAGCAGGGACCTCAAAAAAATAATTTCCCCTCTACATTCATGAGGGAAATGGGGCGGAAATTTGCAATGCCTTTTGTGTTCTTTTCCTTAGACATCCAAATACCATCTGCTAGGCATTATTCTTGAGGTAAAATACCTTATTTCTATGCCTGCTGGAGGAGGATGGTGAATTACTTGAGGATGTTTGGACAATTCTTATACAACTTGTAGGAGACTTCATTTATTCCAGGTGCACTACTAGTACTGAATTTGCAGACAAATTCCTAAATTCCCTCAGCTTTAGTCCACTATCATTAAACATGACCTCTGGATCTTGCGGCCTAGGAAGGTCATTCATAGAAGAGATTGGAACATCTTTCCAAACATCAGAACACATCATTCTCAGGTAGTTTTTGAGTTCCCCTTGTGGTACGTTGAGTGTGTCGCTCTTAGTCTTGGTGAACAGCTTTTTATCAAAAGCATAAAGATTATTGTAAAATGATCTCCAAGGCTGTCATTTTTTTTCTTCCAACGTTTTCTTTGGTTCTCAGCTCTAGAGATTACTAAGATTCTTTCTTTAATATCCTTAAACAGGTATTTAAGGACTGTCCACTCATTAATTGCTGCTTCTTTGAGTCAACACTTCACAGCTTTCTGTTCTGCTCTTAGTTTACCCTTCTGAATCTGTCATCTATTTGATCGCTTCTCTTCTTTCCTATCCCTTCTTTCAGTTGCCACACAAAACCACTCATATGCTGGTTAATGGGCCCTTTTAGATGGTCTAAGTATTAATGAGAGTTCCTGATTGATACTTCGACTATGTAGCTCTCTGATTGCCTTTGGGCCACTGGATTCTTGGCTAGCTCAGAATTACTCAAGGGTGCTGACACTCAGCAATGGGATCCTGAACACTGTGGATGTAATCCAGATTCATAATCCCATCATTTGATTTGCATTCTCCAATAGGCAAATTGCGTTGCCTGCACTAGCATGCCTTATGAATGTGTAAACCTTGCAGGCTGTTGAATTTCCTGCCGCAATCGCATGTAGCCAATTTTCAGTTCCATGTTATTAACAGTGAAATCATTCAGATCGGTGATGTATTCTCCCTCCCTGCTACAGACACCCAGAGGAAATTTTTTTTGTTTGTTGTAGAGGAACATTCATGGATAAATGAAGAAATAAATGATCTTCAACATGGCTCTACAAATTTAAATAATTTTTTATTATTGACTATTAATTTTCTTTCAAATTGAAAAAAATAAATTACCAAGATCCTTTGCAAAAAAAACTTCACACAAAACATTTTTGTTTATTTTCTTTACACTACAACTGAATCAATTGAGTTAATATGAATAAAAATAGAATATGTCTACATGTGAGAATGTGCAGGTCATGTTTTTATGCTGTTTTATGTATGTCTGTAATTTTCCAGTAGCAGCCTGCTAGAAGATAGCCATGATGACAGTCAAAGCCGTTTTGATACTACTACTGCTAAAAATTTGTGTTGGCAAATAACTTGGTTCGTATGTTTGTGTTACTTAACTCAATATCATTAAGCTGTTTTTGTAATATAGTATACTCAAATAAATATACAAAAAAGTGAGTAATTAATTAAGGTTTGAGAATTTCAGTTTGTATAACATGAACAACCAACCCTGCCGAAAGTTTCACAGAAAGACTGAAAAGACTAATTCTTTGTAAACTAATATGATTGCTTTTATAATCTAGAAAAGACTATAGTTAAATTTTATTAAACTCATGAGTTTATTGGTTAATAAATATTTTCCTAGCTTTTAAATATCTATTTTAAGGAGGGAAAATAGTGTTGATCATTTTCTGGAGTGATCCTTCGAATTTTCATAGCAGATGAGAAACATTGTTTGAATATTCAAAGAATACTGTGCACTTCATATGATGTCACTGATTGGTTAATATGTACAAATATAGAAATTCAAATCAGATCTGACAAAATGCACAAAAATAAGTTAATACTGAGTTTAAGTAATATAACTTAAATTTATTGCATATTTCTACAATTCTGTAACGGGGTTGAACATAGAGGATGCGATGGATAAATTATCGTCTAAATTACACAAAAATGAAAATAACACTTGTATCTCATTTACTCTTTTTCTTTTAACAAAAGTAAAACACTTTTTCATTCTTTTTAGTAATTATTAAATTTTTTAGTTGTGAGAATTTTATTTTAGACAATAAAATTTATTAGTGATTAAATTTTTTAAATACAAATAAAGACCTTTTATTATTTATTTATTAAGTTGCTGTGATAATTCATGTCTAAATCTTATTAAATGTCTGTAAGCTAATTTAAAATTTGAATTTATTTTTTTATTTACTGTCCTGCAGGATTAGGTACTCTTTGCATGAGTTAAACCACAATATATAGTATAATGCCTTTCTGCTTAGAGTATTATTGTTGTTATATATATATATATATATATATATATTAAAGTGTCCTATATTTTTTAAGTGCATGCTGAAATTGAATTGTCACCTGTAAATTTGTTCCATTCACTGAAAAATTCCACATATAAAATTAAGGTCACCTTTGCTTGCTAAAACTTAAAAAAGTGGACAAAAAAATAAAACCTTTTTTATTTAACAATTAATAACAAATCATTATTAATTGAATCTTTACAAGTTATACACATTAGAAAACTAGAAACATTTTTTCTCTAACAGTGAAAAATTTAAATTTTGACTGATGTTTATTATTTTCAGACCTTAATTACGGCAAGTGTATCCAATGCCAAGTAGAAAAGTGTAGTTTGGAAGTTTTTTTCAAATTTCTGATGATAACCAAAATAAAGTAATATATCAACTGTAGCTAGGTACTTAAATGATTTATGTAAAGAAATTGTTCTTTTTAGTATTTAAATTATTACCCAATTTTTTAAATTAAAAGGATATCTAACTTTATTTCATAAGCCTTTGAATTCATTTTTCTACTAAATGTTTTATTAATAAATGTACTTTGTTAATTAAGTTTCCCAAACACATACAATTTCTGTAACCACACCACCCTTTACATCTGGCCAGCATGTAACTCCACTGGTCGATCCTGATCAACGGTAACCAGTAATGTAGCTCTATACTCCATGGTCTTCAAATTCTGTTAGACCACCATGGTTGCCATCTAGCTGACTCTTCACTCGTTAACATGAGGCTCATTTGTTGTTGGTAATGTGATGTTGCACATAGTTCTATTTGACTTAGTTAGCTGGCATTTGTCTGTTCATAACCATTCACTCCTCTGCCATGTGTTTCTTGATCTCAGAGAGTGAGAAGATCACTGATAAAGCAAAGTTGGAGTGAAGATGGTTTGACAGCTGAGAATTACACAGCTATCCTTTGGAATAAAGAATTAACTCTAGTTAAAAACGTAACAATAATTTGTTGTATACATCAAGTTTAACCCTTCCTATTTGTTATAATCAAATGACACTGGGATCCCCATTGGGGTTTGCAGTTTGTTTTACTAGTAACTTAAATGTCTAAGTTCTGGTTTTCAGGGCCAGCACAAGGAGGTCTCAGTGAATGGTGTGGATTCCAGTAGAAGTAATGTAGGAGCTCTTCAAGTTGTCCAAACCTCCAGCTTATATGGAATCCTGCATCTGGCAGGTGTGGAGTTGACTAGGGTCTCTGTTTGATTGTTTTTCACCCTCAGCATCAACCATTTTATAAAATCCCATATTCTCATATTGTCCAGCCCCCTTTTGAGAGTGGTTAGAGGAACCAGGCCACCCCTTAACTCCACCTTCCTTCACGTCTCATCTCACACCATATAGGTGGTGCTAATTCTCTTCACTCTCCCACTTTCTCAGCATCTAATCTCAAACTCCTCCAAGGGCTGGTACACTGTCTTTGTGATGAATCCAACTTCCAGTTAGCATAGGCAAAAACAAAAGAGATTTTCAGTCATTAATTTTTCTTTATCAGTTTGTCCCATGCTGTGATTTCTTGATCGACCATACAACTCAAGAATTGTCATGGGTGGGAAAGAAAATTATTCTCAATCTCTTTAGTGATAAAAACAAAAGTTTATCTTTCCCCTGTCTATGCATTTTTAGAATCAAAAAGACCACACAGCCTTTTTTCCATGGCTACTCCAAAATAGTAATTAATTTTTGTTTATCACTTGTATCCAAAGGAATCTGAATTAATGTTTGGATATAAATTTTTTCTGGATGAATATCACAGAAATTATAATGAATGAATGCAAGAGGCTGAAAGATGAACTGAAGGCAAGGATTATGGCAGCATTCACCAACTAAAGCAAGGAAACTGTCCAGACAAGATGCAAGATATTCCAAAGTCATCTGGAGGCCATGGTTGAATCCAATGGTGATTTTATTGAATAAATTCACTCTTTACTATTTCAAAATATTTTTGTGTAATTTTGGTAAATATATCTATTAAAATGAGATGACAGTGTTATTTTCATTTTTGTGTAATTTAGATGACAATTTATCCATTGCACCCTATATTTTCAGTCTTGGGTTTTGTGAAGTTAACATACTTCTCCTACCTGAAAAACAAAATATTTTCTGTGTTACAGGCTTCCACAAACACAGAAAAGTATTTTCAGGTAATAGTCTAATGAAAATGCTTTGGTTTGTTTAAAAGAATAAAAATGAAAAGTCAGATTTTTTAAAATATTTGTTTACCTGCAAGAAGAAAAATAAAAATAAAATAAAAAATAAAAGTATCTTATTTACTTTACTTATCTGTAAGCCAAAACAGAAAATCTTATTTACTTACCTGTCAAAAGCTGTGTAATCTACACTTAACCTACAAGTTGGACTTGCTGAATACCCTAAATGATCAAAAATTGAGAAAGTTACTTAACATGACTAATAAACAAAAGAAATAATACATAGAAAAAAAAGTAAATTTTAAAGTGCTTATATTTATATTGGGTTGGAACAAAAGTTTGTAGCATTTCAGATACATCAGGTTTGAACATCTGATTTCATTTCATGTCACTTAGCTTTAGTGTGTATATATAGCAATGGTACCATCTTCATAAATGGCACATATTTTTTTTTTGCTGTTTTTTTTGCTATACATTCATTCCTTTCCAGAAATAAAACAGCATTTTCACATTTAAAATTCACATATGAATCATATATAAAGATGTGTAAAAATATATAGAAAATAGGAAAGAACTCGTTAGGTAAATAATCCAAAGTATTTTTGTTATTATTTTTAAAAATATACAATATATATATATATATATATATATATATATATATATATATATATATATATATACACACACACACACACACACACAAACATCAGTGGTGACTCTAGGTCATCAATGTTTGTCTTGCTCATTACAATCTTTAACAAAATATACTATTGGTATAACTTAGATGTTAAAATGATTCATTTATTCTAACTAAAATTATCTATCTCGAGTGTGTGTTTGCATATATGTCTATGTGTTAGTGTGTTTATGTATCTGTCTGTGAATTTTTAGTTTAATGATCAGTACTGCTGACTGATATCATATTTCCTCAACACTACTCCAGTCACACTCTTCATCCCAACCCTCCAATTGACGAGTTAAAGGTGCCACTTTCTTTGATTTTTGCCAATTTTAGGTCAGGCTAAATTTAATTTGCCATTTTTTAAAATGATACATTCCACTAAAAAACCTTATACTGTATGGAATAAATTATTTAAAATGAACATTTGAAAACAATAAGTTGAAATAAAAATGAGTTCTTTGAAAAACAGGGCATACAAGTCATTAGAGATTTTTAAAAGATTTATAAAATTAAAGCAAGAAATACATTACCTATTAAGTATATCTCCAGCTCAGATCCATGTAGCCCAACTAGCCACGTTAATTTTATTCTTTTTTTTTTCTTTCTTCTTTATTATGAACAATATCAACAAAATGTATTCTGGTCAATATTTTAAGACAGAATTAAAACAATTTTGGATCCAGCTGAAGTCAAGAATGAAAACGACGCACTACAAAAGATTTTTGTTGCTGTGAAATAGATATACTTGAATGTTGACTAACTCAAGCTAAGATCGACTACTGGAGTTACTATATATATAAGATATTGCACATTGAGTGCTGGTGTTAAAAAAAATAGTGCTCAATGTAATATAACAAAGCTATTAAGTATATATCTTAATAAATATACAAATATCCCTCCCCAGTAGCACGACTCAGTATTTCAGATACAACAAAATCTTCAGGTGCTGGGTGGAGACTGACCATTACATACATACATATATATATATATATATATATATATATATATATATATATATATATATATATTACATTGAAAATAGATGGGATTTTTATTTTCTATTTAAAATAAATGGGATTAATATTTTATTTTCTATTTCAATAAACAAGGATTAATGCTATTTATTAAAAAAATATATTAAAATAGAGCTAAAAAAAAAGAAAATAGAAAGAATTTTTTATTTAAAGTTAGGATTATGATTTTATATCAAACATAAAGGGGGATTAATATTTTTTTAATAAAATTTTTATATAAAAATAAATGACCCTAGAAACCATAAAAAAAATGTATATGCTCAATTTAAGATAAGTGAACAGAAGAAAATAGAAGAAATAATAAAAAATAAAAAAAAGGGGAAAGGTTATAATTTACAGTAAAAATTAATCTGGATCAATGTATTTCAACAGATATCTATTTTTATGCTAACATGTGACCATCAATTCATTTCTCTTGTTTAATAATCTAGGGTTATTTAAGTGTTTTAAGATAACTAATTTTTCTACAAGGCACAAATTACATCTATTGCCTTTCCCATTGTAAGGTGATAATTCAATGTGTCTTTATATATGATATATATGTGAATTTTAAATGTTTTTACATCAAAAGTGAAACTGCAGTTTTATTTCTGGGAAGGAATAAACACTACTATACAAACAGCAAAAAATAAAAAAAAAGTATCTGCCATTTATGGAGATGGTGACATAGCTGAAAGTACTGTTTGTAAGTGGCTTGCTAGATCCAATTGTAGAAATGTTGATCTGGAAGCTCATGAACATTCTGGCAGGCCTGCAGTCAATGAGGAACAAATTGAAATTCTGATTTTAAAAAATTCAGGTCACATGTCATGGGACATTACATAGATGATCCACATATTTCATAGTAATAGTATAATGGTAATTGTAATGTTAGCTGTCTTCCCTATAAGGATACATTTAGCATTCATTGACTAAGAAAATAGTACTACCTTGGTTGAAATTTATAAAATCTTTCTATTAAAACCATTTTTCAGGAAAATAGTTATTTTTCAAGTCCAGTAACTGTTATCACTCTTTTCAGTATTACTGGGGGTTTCCTACCGAACATTTTATTTGAAAGTGTGGAATATCAATATCTTGATTATGTTATTTTTTCTTTGAGTTACATATGTTATCCATTTTAGTTGTTGCTGCTGTTAAGTAGTCCTCAAGTGATGTGGTTTCTGTTATTTGGCACAGTTCTTTCTTTGTGATTCTGTAGCACCAGTCTAAAATGTTCAAAGGAGGATGATCTTTGCCAAGACCCTTAGGTTTCACTTACTCACTCAAAGCCATTTTTAACCATTGATGTTAGAAGGTGGTTGTGTAAAAGTGAGTTTAGATATTTCTGAACAGGTTTGGCACCATGAATGGTATCCATATGAAAGTCTTCATCTAATGAGTCTATTCAAAAACATGACTTGAGTTTTCAGGTTGATGTTTCAGTTTTGTAGCAATTTGCACAGTTGGGCAAAACTACCTCTACCATTAGCAGCAGAACAGTTTGGCATGTTCAGATACGGACCTCTCTGCAATTTGTGTAGATCCAAGTTTCTCACAAATGTCTCTTGTTAATCAAAGCAACAAGAAAACCAGCAGTCAGTAGTGGGCAATTGGCAAGACTCAGTGTCTTGTGAAGTCAGTCCCATAGGTATTTTGGTCCTAAAGTTGCTGTGCTGTGGTTTCTGAGGCAGTGTTATTTTGTTACCTCCCATCTCTCTCCCTTCTCTGATTATTAACCCTGTACTTCTTGGGAAAGCAATCAGTTAGGTGTTTCCCACCCCCCAACCTAAACACACCCTTTCCACATTATACAACAATAATATAATCAAATTTCAAGGCAGAAGGTGGTTTCAAAACAGAAAGGAGTGATATTGAGACTACTAGAGCCACCTGTTGGTTGAATAAGTTAAATATTTGCCAGGGGTCAGAATTTGAGCCTAGATAAAAGCCCATATTTTAAAAGCAGACAAGCCTTTTCCCAATTGAAGGTCTAGATACAATATTCCTACTATCACTTACAGTTATTACTTACCATTATAGTAAAATCCAAAAATTGGTTTTGCTGATTCATCCAAACCATAGGCATTAAGTTTGTTGTCCGAGAGTTTGTACCAAAAACTAGCATCTAATGAACTGCTGAATGGAACAAACATCAATTTCTTGGATTCTTCTGCCATTCTTGCTGCTATTGTTGTGTATTTGGAGGTATCTCAATCTGCTAGCAGAGAAAAAGAAAAAGGAAAGGAAAAAATAAGCAATTCGTAAAATGAAAATTTCAGAAAGATTTATTTTGGGGGAAAGATGAATGACAAAGGTGAAAAGTTTCCATGCGATGCATTTTGTCCTTTAAGATTTTATCGGACTAAGTTTATGTTTATGCTGATATGACTACACATGCACACAAATGAGACACACTTTAATTTAAAGGTGACTTTTTTTTTTGTATGCGTTTTGGGTATACAATCTAGCTGATTTCATATAGATTCTTTTTCTTTTTGTTTCCATCACTTTTATGAAATATCCCCATTGTGATAATAGAATATCTGCCAAGAATGGTGAAACCTTGTAAGAACTTGTATGCAAATTTACTATGGATGATCTAGCGATTAAAGCACTTTCTATTTTTTTTTTGTCTTAGTGAATTTTCTCTTTTAATTAGGGCAGCATTCATACAAGACATAGACATCTTCGTTTTCTCCCCAGGAAGGAAGTTCTCATATTTATATAGTACATAAAAATCATTATTAATTCTTAACTCATATTTATTTTCAGTCTTAACTTTTTAGTGGATTTTTATAAAAGTGTATTTGGGTATTGAAAAAGTTTTTATCAAAGTGCTCATTCAATACAAGGGGATGCTGAAAAGTTCCTAGAAAATATTTTGAAGTTAAAAACCTGACCAAATTACCAAAACCTTAGATTTCCCAAAACCTGACCAAATTACCAAGATTAGATTTTTTTCTTGCAATAAGATAAAAAACAAATAAGAAACATTTATCAACCTAACATGTTCCACCTTTATTAAAGCTTCAGAGAATGGTATTTTTATTTTTGTGTTGTTTGATTTTTATTAGTTAATCAGGTTTCATGTACATATTGCTTCTTAAACAAACATTAGTATGATTTATGATGTTCCGAAGACCCCCAACTCTGCATAATCTACCTTTACAAGAATCAAGTCAGGCCTAAAATGGAGTACTGTTGACATATTTGAGCAGGAACTGCCCAGTCCTCACTCTCTAGTCTTGATAGAGTCCAAAAGCGTTTCCGAGTCCTTGTGGGTGACAAATTATTTTCCACCCACCAACCTCTCTCTCACAGCTTGATCACTACCTAGATGAAGTGCTCGGATGAACTACATTTTTTGGTTTTGCCAGTTCTAACCTTCACAACTTGGAGATCCCACATTAAACCGGCCTTGTGCTACATGATGCCCTCATTTGACTAAACACTGTCCCATTGGTGCGAAGTAAGTTCCACTCAAACAGTATCTCCCCACGAACCATTGTTCTGTGGAACCAACTCCCAAGATGATGTTTCCCCCAATCACTACAATCTTAACCTGTTCAAATCTAGGTTAACTTTCTCTCCTATCCACATAAACTGCCTCTTAATGTAGCTCTCTACTTTGAGTGGTCTCTGAGCCTTGTACAGGATGAACCTTACTGGAGAGAAAAAAAAAAGAAAAAAAGGGAAGCTCTCTTTGTGTTGTGTTTTTTTTTTTTCATCTTTTCTGTTGGATACACCTTTCTTTTTTCAAAAAGTATTTTTTGCCTTATTCAAAATTTGTGTTAGCTTTTCAAAGTTTATTTTCATTTTTCGAAGACTGTTTTGAAATCTCTTAAAATCGTGTATATTTCTTGGTATATTATCCTGCTTTACTTTTTAAATAAGATGCACAAAAAGAAACTTTTGTGCAAGCCTGTCTTGTAAAATATTGTATTTGTTTTAAGGATTTGCAATAAATGCTTGTTCTTTTAAATTTCACAGAGTAGTTGAGAGTTATGTTTGCTTGTGCTTTTTTTAACATTTGTGAAAAGAGAACAAGAATTCTTTCTTTCAGTCCTTTGCAGGAAAAATAAATTCTTGTATTTCAGTTGCTTTTGTTTAGCAACTTTTTAGCTTTATGTGTTCAGATATATTGTAAATTTATGGTATGTAAAATAAAATTTAAAAAAAAAAAGTCATTTTTGTTTTTAAAGATTTATGTTCCTCATAAAAAACTAAAATATTATTTTTCATCTAAGTTTTTTTTTTTTAAATGAACCTACAAATATAAGACTTACTCCCAAATAATAATCAGCTGAATTTTTCTTATACAATAGATTATCTAATTAAAAAAAAAAAAAGAGACAAAAAATAATTGTCACCAGGAAAAGAATCATTATTAAAAACAATTTAATGAAAAATATCTTTCTTAGAAGATCAAATAAATAAATTAAAATACTTTAAAATAAATAAATAAAATAATATTTTCTGGATAATTGAGTTTTTATTAATACAGTAAAAACCGACATAATAAAAAAGGACAAGAGGAAACTATAACTAAGGTAGTTGGCAATATAAAAAGAAAAACAAAAATACTATAAAATGTACCAACCAGTCATCACTTGTTTAGTGGACCTACCTATGTAGTCAGTTTCACACTGACACTTAAATTGATACATTTAATGCAATCATTATCTTAATTCCCATTCTTTTATTGTTCTCTCTCCTTAATGTTTTTTTTTCATATTCTCTAACTCAGTAACTGCTTGCGTCTTAATGGCTTTATTACCTTACTTGGTTGATTGATTGATTGATTTTGTTTGATATTATATCATCCTCTATAGGTTAATTAATGCCAAAATCTAAATATTTTGTACATAATTTTATACTTTCAACTACAGATATTTTGTACATAATTTTATATTTTCAGAGTAAAGGTATATTTTATGGATATACAATTTGTAGATCATAAAATGTATTGTTGGTAATTTTATTATAAAAATGTATTTTCATATTTCATAGTATTGCATTTGTTACATTCTTCCTAAAACCAGATCTTCCAATTCATGCTACATTAATTTCCACTACTGACCAGTGGATGTGAACTCTCTGAAAAACGAAAACTGACCTAAAATTCCATCAACTGTGCAAGGCTCCACACATCTTATGTTCTTACTCACATACTCAAGAAAAAAAGCAATACAGAATTTCCACCCAATAGCACCCACTCCCGCCTAAAGAAACAAAATAAAAACTATAACCGATCTGAGCCTAAGAAAGGGCATAAAAGTCCATCAAAGGGACATTTTCAGCAGTTGGACAATCTTAGCCCAGTTTCACAGACTTCATTGGAAAGTGACCTCCCATCTCGAAGAGACAGCTCACCAAAAGCCTTCCCCCAATGAGCCACAAACTCATCCTCCTTCTCCTTCCATACACCTCATCAGGTGCTCTTTACAAGTCCATTTATCTCCTTTTTCAATGAGACATCTACACAGATTTATCGTTTGTTGTATTTAACATTAATACAATTGTTTATTACTTTAAACTTTCATTGTTTCTTCTTTGTTCTGCTACCATACATTTATCATAACACATTGTTATTTTGCTATAAAAAATGTATTGTTCATCATTTTATTATAAAAATATACTGTTGATTTGCCCACAGCTGGAACCCTAACAGCTCCTACCACCCCAGATTAGAGTGGACCTGGAAACAACAGCAATTAAGTGGTTCCACCTTGCTTGGGGTGAAATGATTAAAAAAAAAAAAAAAAAATACAGAACTTGTTCAAAAGATAGGCCATCTCTATGAATTGATTTTAGTATTGGTCGAGAAGAGAACATGATGGATGAATTGGCAAAAAAATAACATTGTCCGACACAGAAATTTGTTTAGAAAATTTCTCACCAACCTCAACCTTTTCAATTTAAGATATACAGGACATTTCTTTTTTTTTAGGACCACTCAACTTCTAGAGAAGAGAATTTCCCAAAATATAACAGTGTGCACAGGCAGCTCAACATGGTGTAATGGTTAGCAAGGTTATCTTACCAGATCAGTTACTATTGAGTAGTGAGTTCAATCCCCACTAGGTGGGCTGTACTTTCACCCTTGTGCCACATCTAAGCTTACTTAGCAAATTAATATATCAGTATGTATTAGAAAAGGTTAGCTTGAAAATTTCTATAAGTATTCTGTTACATCTGGTCAGTAATCTCAGAACATCATATTAAAAATTTGGAATGTGCAATGATCCTTCCATGAGGACATGTTCTGAGATCACATTCCAATTACACCAGTCAAGATTTTTTTTTACCCAAATGTTGTTGGGCAATGGGCACATGTTTCTAGGCTATTTTTTCACACTGAATCTAAAAATCAAGTCCATTCCCCCCCCCATCACATCACGTCTTCTCAGTACAGATAATTTGTTTTTCTTAAAATAGATGAAAATACCCATTTAACAATGACATGCCAGAGCCAAGTAGAACCAACCTTAAGCATTTTCACGTTAGAATAACTTATCATAAAAGAATAAGTAACCCTAATAACTTAAAGAATGCATTTTCAGTTCAGAAAAGTTTTCAGAAAAATCTCATAAAATTAAGGCAAACATGTCTCATCAATTTTTGAATCAAAACAGACAAAGAAGATACAAAGGAATGAAAAAAAAAATTATTTTTATCCATCAAAAGGTATAAATCTTCTCTTCTTGGAAACTCTGCAGTGCTTTTGAAAAGGTTGATCTTTTGATGCTCCAGCAGAAATCAGCATCCCACCTGCCATTGTATCTTTCTTCATTTACCTTGAGATCCTGATGAAACCTCCCTCCTTGTTCATCACTATAATCACCAAGATTATTAGGAAACTGATTGAGGTGACTAAACAGAAAGTGAATCTTGATACTCATGTTGCACCAGAGTAGTGTAAATCCTTCTATAAAATATTATGATGGTTTCAGACTTAAAGTGAAAACTACTAATAAAAACTAAAATCACTGTTCTTGAATGACTTCCAAAGAGCTTCTATGAAAAATAAAGAAACACAAATCAAAGTTTTAACAAGCTAAAAAGAAGATTTTCCAGGGAGATATCTCTCATAAAATCAAGCATTTTCAGGTCAGCTTATTTGAACTGAAATAGCTTAGAATTCATTTTGAAAGTTATTTGGATACTTTTTCTTCAACGATAAAATCATTTTAACATGAAACAAAATGTTTCAACTATGTTACTCACATATTTAAGCCATGGCATATCCCTGTGAATTAGGCATTTTGGCCTATTTTAAGCAAAAGAGAAATTATCTGTACTGAGAAAAAATAATGTGATGAGACAAAATGGATTTGATTTTCAGATTCAGCATGAAAAAATAGTCCAGAAACACGTACCTATTGCCCAACAACATTTGGGTCAAAAGAAAAAAAAAAAGAAAATGTCAACCAGTGTTATAAACTGAACGTCCCCAAGACAATTTATACTAAATCAAGACAACCATACTTATGCAAACAAAAGGATTGGCTATTAGGACTTAAGTATATCTATAGACAGATTACACTGTGTTAATATATTATTCATACACATGTATTTTCTTTCAGGTTTCCCTCTTTTTACTGTCTGCAAAATATCTGTTGCGTTCCACTGCTACTGCATAGATGTATCAACAAAAGACTTTCTTGTTTTATTAGAGGAGAGAGACAGATGTGGTAGCTTGGATTCTAAGAGGCAGTACTTCAAGGGAATGCATGCTGCTCATTGACTTCCTCCACATATGGTCTTAGCCTGTTTCTCGAACTTGGGCATAGGAAAGGTATCGACGCTTCAAAATTCCTGTGTCCCTCTGTTGATTTCATGCCATTTTAGACTTATATCCAAAACTTAGACAAAATTGATCCATCACTGTCAGAATACCATGGCCACAAGGTATTCTGACCAATTGCTAACCATCCTGACCCAGTCTCTGTAACATTTTAATTTTCTCAATTGTGTTCTAACAAGCGAGGATCGATAACCAGTTAGCTCATTTCATTGTATTTTTTCTTCTTTTTTTTTTTTACCAACTACTGCAGTTGTAACTTCCTTTTTATTATGTTTGGTTTTATTCCAATAAGTAAATTTTGTACTTTAAATAAATAATTGAGTTTTTTTTAATCATATATTTAACTTCAGTACCAGCTAAAGTGATTTTTTTCACGAGAGAATAGTATATGGTTACTAATACTATTCATTTATACGAGCTTGTTTCTAGTGTTGACAGCTCAAACATAAGTTTCAGTCATTCTGGTCATCCATACTTTACCTGTCAACAGACTTGCATATATTTAAGCGGGCATTTTGACTTTTGAACTCAAATGAGTACAGACATCTATTGTAAACAAATGTTATTTTCAATATATTTTCTAGAAGAGTGTTGTCAAATCCAGGTAAAAGAATTATTATATGAACTAATTTTCGTTGGACCTTTACCATGGACGACTACTTTATTTTTGATAGGTTTACTTTTTAAGTGAAAAAAACTTAACTTGTGAAATGTGTAAAACAAGTCCGCAATATGACGTAATAAGGGGGTAAAATTGGTATCTTTAAATATTTTGAATTTAAAACAGTCTCTAAAAAGATATTTTGTGCACGCAAAATTTTTACAATTAAAAACTTCAAAACCAGAAAGAAATCTCTGTACTGTCGGTATGACAGATTGTTTCTTGTTTTTTTTTTTATAGCTGAACTTTAATGGGCAAAATATTTTTAATTTTTTCTAGATAAGTGAATTAATTTTTTCTGTGACTGAATTAAGTAAGTTTTATTCCAACTTGCAGGGAAACGTGAATATTTATATAAATTATATTGTAAAAATTAATAAAGCAAAATCATTTTCTCCGGAAAGAAATTCACGCATTTTTAAACTTTAAGATAATTTCCTTGTTCGTAAAAATTTATAAATTATGCTACAGTACACTTACAGACAGACGGATTTAAAATTTGCAAGGTAAGTAAAACGCACTCTTTCTTCTAAAATGAAATTTATTTCTTACTGGATTTTTTTATTTTTTTTTTTATTTAATGAAGTAACCGAGTAGGAAAATAAACGAAAGTACATTTCCCCCCACCCCCTTTTTTTTTAGTTTCAGGGGTGTCCTTTAAGTTTAAATCTTTTGGAATTTTCCCCAGTCGATGACGTTGCAAAATAAAATAAAATTAGGTAGGAGTTTCTTTGTTAGAGTTTGTGTTTTATCGGTTAACTTAAATAACACACCTCCTAAACATTGTCATTATTTTTTCTTAACTCTGAAGATGTCGAGCATATCTTTTTAAAAAAATGACTATTTAATTTTTTTTTAATATTTAAAACATTATTAACCCCACAACGAAATTTTTACTCAAAAGCTTTTTTGATCCAATTTTCAGTTTCACCCTTAAAATTTAAGTATTTCCGATTTTTTTTCACAATGAATCACAAACTCGTGTTTCTTATATAACAAACAGAAAACTAACAATTTGTAGCAATTGTCTTCTTTAAATAAAATAAAACAAATTTAATAAGAAAAAGATATTTCTTTTTTATAACACACAAAAAAACTGAGAACTCAAAAAAAAATGCTTTGGATAACATAAGTATTGTTGCTATTATTATTACACTGCGACAAAGTCGATGCGAAACATTATTTTCATTCATTGGCAAAAAAGACATGTAAGAAGAAAAAAGGAAACGTCTACAAATAAATAAAATATAATTCTGATGAAAATATCAACAGATTACCCGTTGTCCGCAGATAAGCTTTCAATAACGTTGACTTGGGTTTGAAGAACGTTTGATCTATAGATTAATAATAGCACTTCGACAGAAGAGAATATTGACAAAGAGAAATAATTCCAACAGTTTTTTTCCTTTTAGGAGAATAACGTCAACATTTAACTTCGAAGAATATAAACATTACACACTTACTTCCCTTGAATTCGACCGGTGCACTATGACAAAATGTCGTTATTTGTAAAAGTGTCCATGTAAGAGAGAGCCAACTTTCGTAATAGTTCAGGTTAGTAGAGACCGCAAAAGATACTATGATGAGAAAATGCTCCAAACTATGAAGAAATTGACTTGGTCAGGTGGAAAAGAAAGCGGTATACTTACATAGGTTTGTAGAAATGTTTATTAACAAAAAAATTTTATTGTCTTTTTAAGTTTTTTTTTGTTCCTTCTCTGGTTGACCCTTACTGCTGATTAAGCATTTCCAGCAAAACTATCACATGGCCCCCACTGTCCTGAAAAATGAGTACTTTGATGAAGATGAAATAAGTGACAATATTTTTCAGGATATACTAGATTTCTCCATTAAACGGGAGAAGCATTTTGCTACCCTAACTGAGTTCATATCTAAGACTGCCTCTTTTCTGGCAAAGTTGGAAAGCCTCATGGCAAAGACTCTATTTTCCAGATTCCCCAGAGAAATTAAGGGTGAGATAATTCAGCTTTCTGGTAAGAGAATTACCCACTTGTCTACTACCTTGTGGGATGCTAGGGAGGCTGTTAAGCTCTTCCTTATCAAGGGGAGCTATTCCTTTGACACTACCTTTAATGTTGAATGAGTTATACGTAGTCTAGGCCCTGATCTAGTGCTACCTGCAAGGATTTTTCCTTCTGCATGCATTTTGAAAGTTCCGCTAACCTGCCCACTGTTTTATGTGTATGGTTTGGTAGGAATGGTAAGAGGATCTATGCCAATTGTTTATTAGACACTGATAGTGGGTGGGCCTGTCTATTAAGGTATTAAAGCCTCTTGTCAGTTTAGAGTTTGTTGGGCTTGATTGCGAATTCATTTTGTCTACACTGCTTGGAGACTGTGACAAACATTTCAAAGAGATAATCCTGGAAACAGATGTCTGGTTTAAGCGTCCTCTTTCACATCCAGCATTGATGGATGGGACATAGATTTGTAGGTACGTATTAAAAAACTGGACTCTGTTGGATGAATTCAAGTGCATCAAGTGCCCCCTTGCTGACAGGTTTGACAGAGGCATTCCATTCTAATTAAGGGAATAATGGGACTTGATTTAATTCAGCACTTGGGACCCCTTTAACTGGGGCCTTGTCTGTAAGGGTGGGCATTTTTGGCTCCAATTGAGTTCCATTTGAAAAAGTGGGTCAATTTCTCTCACCTGAGCACTCAGGATAAGGACCATGAGTACCTTGCATTTAATTCCATGCTGGAATCCACAGCCCTGGTTATACCTTCACACACAAGTTTGTGCTGGAGTCTGGGAGCACATATGAGGATCCTCTAAATGACTTTTTCCCAGTCAGTGATGTACAAAGGGGGCTGGAGAAAATGCTCACTGTAGAGTCGCTAGGGATAAGAAAACAAAACTTGTTCAACTATGACAAACAGAGTGCTGCCAACGATCCAACTCCTTTAAAGATAATAAGTACTATGTGCAACTACCTTGGGATTCTGTGGCTTTACATGTGTTAGACCATGTGGCATGGAGACTGGAATGTGATTGACTTTATCTGGACTATTTGGAGGTGTTCCGTCAGCAGGAACACAACTGAATAATAGGAGATTTTCATTCCTTCTCAGCAGTTTAAGGAGTATATTTGAATTCCACACAAACATGTACTGAAGTCAGATCCAGCCTCCAACGCTAAAATTCAACCAGTATTTAATTGCAGCTTCAAGACTAGTGACTCTACTTTCCTTAACAAGGTTGTTTACCAGGGAGTTAACCTTACAAGCGATCTGTTAATTTTACTGCTCTCCTTTTGAGCAAATGACCATGTCTTGTTGACAGGTATCAGGAGGGCCTTCCTAATGACCTGTCTGGAACTGGAAGTGGGCAAGAACATATTCTTCTTTTTTCTGAAGGAGAGAGGTCACCTGCATTGTTTCAGGTACACCACCATAATTTTTGGCTTCATCTCTTGTCCCTTCATATCAAATTGTATTCTCCATTACCATACAGCTCAACTACCAACATCTTTACACTTAATTACCTTCTTTATCAACAGCAACTACATATGAACAACTTTTGTCACCTTCACACAACTAAGTATATATTCTGAATTTTGATCAATACACGTTTTTGAAATCTTAATCTTTGTTTGTTCCTTTCTTTTGCAATCAAATACTCATTATAACATATTAATGATGTGTTTAGAGAATTAAAAAAATGTTGTTCAGTGCCAATGGTCAGTGCTGAAATGTGCATGAGTTTTTTGTGTAAAGGAAAAAAATAAGTTATAGCAGTAAAGATTTGTAGTGATGAATATATAAAAATAAATAATTACAGGAAGATCAAAATTTCATTATCTCTCAAAATAGATGGATAATAAAAATCGCCTAGCAAAGCCATAATTTGACCAACCAATCAGAAAGCTTTCACAAACAGGATATAAGGCCATGGGACAATGAGAAGCAGAGCACACTTTTTGAAGTAAATCTATTGATGTGTATATAACCAGAAGGAAAATCAACCAAAACTAAAATCAATAAATAAGTTTTGTCCTTTATTTGATGCTGCAGTCATCATTACATACCCACAGATGAAATACAACATTTGCGCAAGTAGCTGGGAACTTTAAGATGATTAAACCATCCTTGCTACATTGAAAACAACATACCTTCCTTCACTGCATTGTCAAGTGGCAGCTACTACATTTGAATACATACATACACACACACACACACACACACACACACACACACATATATATATATATATATTTCCTTTTCCTTATATATTTACTTTCTCCCAAATTCTTACTCTCTCTATCTCTATCTCTTGAACTCTTGAAAAAGTCAACTTTCTTGGTATCCTTTTGTATTATTCCAAAAATAAAGATTTATTATGCATTTATCAACATTATTTCTCTGAATTTTTTATTATCACACAAGGCCAATATACACACAGATCATACTGATATATAGTGGGAAGAGACATTGTTGTAAAATAAGTAACTTTTAGTGACTAGCTACTTCAATAATTAAATATGTAAGGTTTCTTACAGAACATTGTATAGTACATAAAATAATGGTGGTGAAAAAGTATATGCACAAAATAAGAGACCAACTAATTTGCAATACAAGATAACATTTATTAGAAAAATTAACAAAAGGGAAGTTTAAAACAGGAGTTTTTTTTTGTTAGATGTAAATTGTATACACAACAAAATGTTCATGAATATGTGGGAACTTTGTTGTGTTTTATGGGAGTAGCATTCACAGCCCTTTTAGCTTCAGCATGGAAAGTTCATGGCACCAGTTTGAAAGAGGGAAAATCCAGAAGAGAGATAGTTACTTTAGGGTTCATGTGTTTTTTATATTCGAGAGCTGCTGCTATTATGTTTAAGGTCACCACAAACTCATCGATAACAGATAACCATCCTAACCTACCATAGATTCATAAGGGAAGCTAATAAGTAGAGAAAGAAAGAATATATATATATATATATACACACACACACACAAGGGTGATTGAAAAGTAACTCCCTATTTTGTGTATAAGTGGCCAGCCAGAAGTTCTAATTTAACACCCTGTGACTTTTTTCTTTGGTCTTAGTTAAAGGAGTAAGTCTACTATACCAAACCAAGACTTTGGAAGAACTTGAAGGGTGAATACAAGAAGTTACGTCTTCCATACCACAAGAGTTCTTAGTGAAACCAGTTGACGCGATCCCTGGGCGGCTCAAGAAGCTGATAGCGAAATCTGGAGCCCCTATCGAATTTTAAATAAAACTGCATACAAAATACTTTCCTCTTATATCCATTTCTTGTTAATAAATTGTAAGTATTTTAAAATGGGGAGTTACTTTTCAATCGCCCTTTATGTGTGTGTGTGTGTGTGGAGAGGAAGGGAAGAAGAATGATAGGAATTGCTAAAGCATACAGATAAGAACATTCAGACAATAATTTATGACTTTGTTGTCAGCCCAGACAGATATGAAAGAAAGATGTTAATTTTCTAAGATAAACCAATCAATACCTTTAAGAGAGAGCCTGAAAAGTTTAAGATTCGTGTTTATTGTAAGAAATCATTCTCTTTTTCTGCAGGACATCACCAAGGAAGGGTGCCAGAGAATGAAACCAGACAGACAAAGCATGTAACCAAACCCCAAGAAAAGTCAAGGAACACACACTTAAAAAGACAGTTTTTGAGTACATGTGCATTAATTATAAGTGTACGGATAATAATAAATAATTTTATTCTAAACCATCTTCATGTGAATATGTTGTTATTTCATGCAAAATAAATAAATAATTTAAAAAAGCCAAAGATTCAAAATATATTAAGGTGTTTAGAAAGTAATTTAAATCCAGATAGCAATAGGTTCAAGCGACTTGTATAAAATAAACTTTCTGCCATATCATGTTGAAGCATTCTTTCGATAAACAAAGTTAAGCAACACTGATCCTGGTCAGTACTTAGATGAGTGATCATTTAGGAATACCAGGTGCTGTAAGCTTGGATGTGATGTGCTAGTGGTATAATGGATAATGGCTGGAATGAAAAATCAGCTGAGTTTGAATTCCAGTCAAGTTTGTTATGTGTGGAAAATGAAATAAAATCACTAAATAAAATAATAATGCAAATAGTGTAAATAATAATGAATAATAAAAAAAGAAAAAGAAGTACATTTTACTATGATGCTAAGATTAAAGGATCCAGAAATATGATTACCCCACTTGTTTTCAAAAAAACAATGGTGAAATAAACTTGTCTCTAGATTATTGTGTAAGATAATGTTCCAGTTTGATAGACTGCAAGTTGTAGGGTAATTTGTATGAGTTTGGAAAAATTCAGTTCAATATAATATTGTTTGTATTCAAAATAAAGTAGTCCACCACTAGCAGTGGTTTACCTACTTCACGTCACTGGCGAGTATTGTATTTTGTTGATGTTATAACGATTACCATTTCATTTCCAACCTCCATTTTGGTTATTCCTCATTCAATAACCCTTTCTAGGTTACAACAATAAGCAATATAAGTCACGTGATAGGCTCCAGAAAATATTTTAAAATCTTGACGCGAATGTACCTTTGATCAGGTCAAATTAAGGTCAGACGTGCAGACATATTTGACAACATGCCATGTGATATTTTTGAACCAATCAAATTACGTTAGTTGTCTAATTTTATTTGGAGTCTATGTTTTGTTTAATTTTTGAAGTTTTGGGAACACTGGAGGATCTGGATCCTATAGTACCTTCTTACTTCTTTAAATAATGACCTGCATTCATACTTATTGTTATTGCAATATTTTCTTAAAGTTGAATGCAAAAGGGGAATTTCTGCTGGTCTTAAAACTTACAAGAAAATCATTCAATCATTAATTTAAGAATTATGATTCATCAGAAAATTCAAATAGCAAAACCATGAAATTTTTACAGATACTGATAGTTATTGTAATTAACTTAAGCATAACTAATTCCCACTTGGTCAAAAACAAGGCCAAATGACAGAGAACAAGGAGTAGGAAGATTGTGTGATATCTATTAGTAAATTGAGTAAATTATATCTACCTGAATAACCAAAAGCTGAGTATCTTGTTCAGCCCATCTGTCTAGAGAAAGGGTCACCAAAATTTTTTTAACAGAGGGCCAGATAACAGAGAATGGCAAGCACAGACTGGATAACCATTTTGTTCAATACACTGAATGCAAAAAAAATAAAGACAACAAACATACTTATTTACTAAAAAGTTATCTGAGAAGGTGACAATATCAATAAAATAGTTATATCACAACAAATGCGCACATATCCAAATCTCACAAACTAAGCAGCACAAAAGGTTAGTGAGATTTTTGAAACTGGTGTTTACCTTATGAGATATAATTAATATTTGTTTTGGTATTGTTGCATCCAGCCAAAAGAAATGCTTTCTAATGTTCATCAGTCAACCTCATTACATGCTTTAGATTTTGTAAGTTCAGGCAAAATATGACATCATTTTCTGAAGTCAATCCTTTTTATATACGGCACTCTTCAAGCCAGTTTCAACATAGCAATGCAAGTTAAAACCTGACTGCTGCAGCAGTCTCGTAATTGCTTTTCTTAGAAACTTCATTGCAGGTACTTACACAAAAGTGCTCAGATATCAAAAGTTGCCGAATTTTTTATTTCACTGATTTTCCTAAAACTTATATTACTGTCAGATCCCAAAATCAGACTGGCCAAATTTTGGCATTTTACTAACATTTATTTTAATTTTTTCTGCATAGTAAGTTTAACTGCAATCTATTGATAATTCCATATAAATAATTATGTTTTAGCTCATCTGTGGCACAGTGAAGTGATGGGCAAAATGAAACGGTGTCAGGGGCTGGATTCAGCCTACAGGCTGTAGTTTGATAACCCCTGGTCTAAAGGAAAGGCCCAGGAAGAGAAACTCTCTTCCACATGTCCAACCACAAGCCAACAGACTTATCACAGTTGAACTTGCCCATTACTCTCTGATTTCTGCCAACTTCGTCTGATCAACATAAGAACTGAAAGGTGAAAGTACCAGGTAAAAAAATTCCACGTAGAACCGGATTCGCCTTTATACTTGTAAATGAAATGGCGGATTATTCATTTCCATTTTGAAACATGACAATAGAATGAGAAACTAAATCACTGTTCATAATGAAATGACCTGCAGGTCTCATCTTGATCGACATCAGTCGCAAATTAAATAATCATTTGGTGCTTTATGGTTGTAAAGTGAACAACAAAATAAAATTAAGTGATATTTCTTCTTTATTTTTCCTTTCTTGCGTTTTTTTTTTCATTCTTTTTCTCCAAAAGTTAAAAAAAAACAAAAAACCTCAACCGGAAGAAAATTCAAGGGAGACAATCTCAAGTGTTTGAGAATAACTTCCCTTTGAAATATGGCGTCAGTTTACTAACTGTGATTGTCGTGGAATTTCAGTAAAGGTAATTAGTTTAAATTAATTTTTTCATTTAATTTGGAAAGCTGTTTCTAAACAAAATAAGAATCAGTTAACACTGGTAGATTTTCTTAAACGATGCTAAAAGTCGATTTCATTGTTTTTGTAACCATTAATTCAAGGGCATAAAATAACTAATGACGAAATTTGTGTGTACAAAGAATTGAAAAAGTTAAAAAAAAAAATCTATTGGACACTAGTTCAAAATAATTTAATTTTTAATGTATCATTTGAAAATTAATATCTTCTTTAAAACATATCACATTGGAATGCTAAGCAAAAAAAAAGAAGTTATGTCCTTACCAACGTTTTGACATTTATTTATCCATACCTTTTTTCTTTTCTTTTTTTTTGCAATCAGTTCATAAGAACATGAGCATATTACAATTATTAATGAAGAAAAAAATAAAGGATATTAGAAACAAATACTTTGTAAGGTTTATATTTACTTGCGGTAAAATGTTTGACATAGAAGAAAATTGTATTAATTAAATAATTTGCTGCGTGTTTACCTAGAATTTCCCTTCATAAAAGCAATAATAAAAATATGCCTCCTATACCATTGCTTATTCTGAAAAAATTTTATCTCCCCCCCCCACCAATTTATTCAAGGCATGAGGAGAGTATATACTTATGTCAACGTGTCTCTCTTCTTTTCTCTTGTCTTGTTTATTAACATGAAAAACGAGAATTTTTTTTTTTTTTTTTTTGCCCAATGGAATCGTGTCAACAGAAGTGCTTTAGGATGCAAGTTAGGTGAAGATTTTCATTAGCAGTTCGGAATATGAAAATTTTTAATTTAAATCTACATTGAGTACATTATTGAATCTAGTACAAACTAGGTCTATGTCTAAAAATTACATTTTTCAGTATTGTAAAACTGGACATATGTCTACTCACTACTGTACACATTATTGAATCTAGTGCAAACCGGATCTGTGTTTACATCTTTCAGTACTGTTATTGGATCTATGTTGTTGCGGAAACGAAGAATTTGGAAGGCAAAATTTGCCGCTGTTGTTTCTGCTGAAGAGGTTAATTTCTTCTTCGCCTCAGCAGCAAATGTAAATTCGGGGAAAAAAGGAATGTCGTATTTTGAGTAAAAACTAAGTGTACAAAACCAGCATGCTACTCATTGCTGTTGTAAAAGGCGACAGAGTGGGAAAGGAAGAAAGAAAGAGAAATAATGTTGGTCATTGCTGTCGGCTGATGTTTGAAGACGGCCGCGGTGAAAGGATGAAAGTTGAAAAGTATTTCGTTCAATCTGCCTGCGTGTCAACATCTCAGCCGTATCTCTCTCCCTGTCTGTAACCTCTGCGGCGTTGAATCAAAGAATTTATGTCCGTCATATCAGCTCCAAATCACAGTCTGTGTCTTAGTGGGAGTTATTTCTACAGGTCAATATATAAAATTTAATTTTATCATTTAATACCGAAAACATGCATCAAGCCATGATGCGCAGAGACGCGTTTTCGCATTCTGCCTTGGGTCGTTGAGCAGTCAACATCTGGTTTAATGTAAGAAAAAACATGACAATGTCCACCTACATTATTGAATCCAGTGCAACCAGGATCTATATCTACAGTCTTGTCACCCCGCTACCAAAAAGTAATCTTGCAGTGAAGTCATGTTGCAAATCCTCCATGCTCTTGCCAGAATGCACACGATCATGTGTCTATACACTTGCAAGCAGTCTCTCTTCCAAACTATAGGAGCTTGTGTCAGCCATCTGAAATAGAAAATTATAGGTAGAGGTAACAAAACTTTCGGGCCATACTGTACATTATCAAATGTAGTGCAAACCAGGCCTATGTCTACATTTTACAGTCTATTGTAAACTGAACCTACGTCTACATTATTGCATCTAGTGTAAACTAGGTTTATGTTTCCATTTTCTGTTTACTGTAACCTGGACATGCATCTATGTTTTTACACTACTTTATCATCTTTGGAATTGTCTACTTGTTTTTAAGTCTAGTGCAAAACTAATTTTACTTTTCTGATGATTCATTAAACTTTGTTTTACAAGACTTATCTTTGAAATCAAATAACCCAGTAAAGTTTGAAATGTCGTTAAACCATTAAATGTCGTTTTTAATTCCCCTTGAATTAGTCTTGAACAGTGGGACAACAACCTGACCCCTTAAAAATTCACTTGCTATTAAAACTGCCACATCATCACTTGGTGAGGTTTTTGCCCTTTGATTCACAAGAGAATAAACAAATCATAAGATAAATTCAATATATTTTGGGAGAATATAGATTTAATATATCTATTTGTGTATTAATAACTTGTGTTTTTTCTTTGTTTGGTCAGGATGGATGAGAACGCATCAAATGAAGCAGTTTTAAGACGACTTCACTTGAACAGTGACAGTTCTGACACTACCCCTGATGATGACAATACCAGTTCTCTTTCTGTGACTTGTGATTCTGGAAGCAGTTCTATTCCACTAAATGGCTGCAACACTGGAATATCTAACAACAGCACAATGGAATGTGAAGGCCCTGGTTTACCTTACTCTTCACCTTCTTCTTTACCCCTGCTGACAGAAAAAAAGCCTAAGGATGAAATGGTCAGAGAAATGCTTGAAAGACTTTCACAGTCTTCTGCTCACTTCAAGCATCAGCAAAGAAACGAGCCTGATCTTATGCCTGAAGAGAAATTCGAGATTGCTCGTTCGGTCTTTGAGAAAAGCCCAGCTTTATTTTTGTCACGGTTCAAGAAGCATCTTACATGTGATGACGTTGCTTGCTTTGAGGAGTATATTGGTGACTATGAAATTGACTTTCATCTAAAGGAGATCCTTCGAATAAACAGTTTGTCATACAAGCGTAACAAAGTGAAAAATCGCCGCTACAAAGCACTCCTGCAGATGATGTCCATTGGTGATGAATATTTCACAGAGGAAGCAATGAAGGCTCGTGATCCCCTTCTTTATGAAGAGATGATTGGACAATACCTCACCAAGGAAGAGAGGTGCTTGAAAGCAGAAGATGCAGTGCCGAAGGACGAATTTGTACTTTCAAACTTTTTAATGAAGCATATTGAACAAATTCAAGAGAACAATCTCTATTACAACCTCAAGGATAAAGCGGTAACTCTAAAATACTATTTCAGTTTCAAATAAACAGAGAAATATGGCAAAATTTAACACCCATATCTAAAAAATACAGCCTGTCAAAAGGACTTTTTTTTTTTTTCTTGAAACAGCTATGTATACTCCCTCAGCAACTTTTATTGTTTCAAAAAGTTATTTTTAGGATATTAATAAGGCCCCCAAACATATGAAATTAGATTTATGCATTTTATTTTTTACCTAAAAAAAAAGGTTACTTAGTGTGAAAGAATACGAAAAAAGAGAAACCTTACTAAGGAGTGAGAACAATAGAAGAGTAATCAAGAAGATAGTATATAGTGATTGATATTGCATTTAAATTTTTGAAGATCAAAGTTGGCTGAAAAGCATGGAGCTGGAAGAGAATTCCACAAGTGAGAAGTGTGAGAAAAGAAACTGTTAGCAAAGAACTTACAGTTACATTTAGCCAATTCAACTGTGAATTGATTAGACCTTGCTGCCAATCTAGTACTGCGCTTAAATTCATAAAGTCTAAGTACCATAGAGGATAGTTCATCAGAACAATTACCATGAAAGTATTTATAGAAAATGCCCAGGGAAGCTACATTATGGCAGTGGGAAAGTGGCTGAAACTGAGATGTCAGGTTGGGACTAACAATATTGCTGATTCTTCTTTGGATTTTATCGAGAGTCTCTAAATATATAACAGGAGCACTGGACCACACGTGGCAGCAGTATTCAAAGAAAGGATGAATGGTAGACTTATAAATATGTAAAATAAATTGAGTGCTTTTATTCCTTACTAAATGTACTAACATGATGTGGTTGATGTGGCCATGAGTAGTGTGCAGACATACCTGTTGAAGCTAGTTACATCCAGGTTTTCTCCATTAGCAGCAGAACAGCTTGGCATGTCCAGATACAAGCCTCTCTGCAACCTGTCAAGGTAGGGGTTTTAGTCAACTGTTTCATGTACATCAATAGAAGCAACAGGAAAACCAGTACTTGGCAAGATTTGCTTTGTCATCATCAGAGAATCAGTATTTTGTGAAGAGGTTCCCTTGGTGTATACTGTGGTTTCTGATGCTATGGCTGCACTAGTCATTACATGGTTTTATTTTGTCTCTTTTCCTTCTCTGTTTGTCACCTTCCCCAAATTCTTAGGAGAAGAATTGGTTAAGTGTTTCTCCCCAACTTCAATACATCCAACAACAAACTACCTCCATAAATTAAAATAACTTTTTAAAACAATAAAAATTATCAAGGAAGTATACAGTAATAGCCATTTCATGAAAAAAAAATGTCTTTTGACACAATTTTCTGGGGGAGTGAGTTTGTTAAACTTTGCCAAAATACTTTTATAAAATTCATATAATTATTTACATTCAGGCTAATGTCCTCATCTTTGCTCTTGTTATTACAATGTTTTGACCATTGTGTCCTCCAGCCATCATCAGGTGCTGATCATGTTTTGGGGTATCTCATTTTGTTCTTCCTTAGTATTGCTCAGTTATTGCTCACTCTGTTTCCAGAGGCTAAGTCTGCACTGCTTGACACAGTGATTGAACTCAATAATTGAGCAGGGCTAATATAGAACAAGACGTGATATCCTTAAACATGGGAAACAGGACAAGAATAATTGTGGTGAATGTGTCAGTACAGTAGCAGGCGGGCATGTTTGTCAAAGCTAGTCACATCCAGGTTTTCCTTTCTAGCAGCAGAACAGCTTGGCATTTCCAGATACGGGACTCTCTGTAACTTGTCCAGATACAGATCTTTGTCAACTATCTTGTATCAGTAAAAACAACAGGGAGGAAACCAGTAGTTGGTGAGACTCACTTTGCTACTGTCAGAAAATCAGTGTCTTGTGAAGACAAGGAGAACAATCTGCCCTCGTAAATTACATGAAGGTTTCAGTTTGAAATTCCTTCCAAATTAAATGGATTGACTAGCACCTAATAAAGGCCAGAAGACACAATGGCCAAAACATTGCAATAGTAACTGCAAAGGTGAGGACATTAGTCCGAGTGTAAACAATCAACTCCTTGTCCTATAAATTCATATGCTGTTTATTGTAAATTATAAGGTAGGATGATAACTTGTTAGAAAATATCAAAGAGCAAGCAAATATCCTGGCATTAAAAAAGGAGTTAAATTCATTTTGTGATATTCTATGAATATCAGTGTCCCATAATAGTTGTGACATTTTGTGTAGGAAAAGTGTATGCAAATATGGCAACTATTTTTGGGACAGAAGTTGTAATTCTATGAAACATAAGAATTACTACCTTTGTCCCATGATAGTTGTTACATTTGCACATGTATTTCATACACAAAATATAACTATTCTGGGACAGAAGTAGTAACAAATATGAAAATATACAAAATTTGCTTTCAATAATTGCAATTTCAGATTTATCAATTATAATCTGAATGAAATATTGATGTGCTTTTTGTTTACTTTTAATGCCAGATTTTGATTTGAATAACGAATATAAAGAACGGAAATTATATAAAATGTTGCGACTATGAATATATGAAGCAGTTTTTAATTTGTTGATTAACCTGGTGCTAAAATTTGCATGCATTATGTTCTACCTCATCTTTAACCCGCACTTTCTATTTACACTCTTTTCTCCTTAACTCTGTGTTGTAGAGTAGTTTTACAGTGGAGGCTTGTATTTCACTAAGTCAGTCCTAAAAAGGTTCGATGTAAAAAACGTTAGGAACTTGATATAATAGTTAATGACGCAGCAATCTAGTTGGGGTGGCTGATACTTCTAGTATCCGACTAACGGTCGTCCGACATCAACTGACTGACCAACTCACTCAGCTACTACTACTACTACTACTTATTATAGGTGGGAGAGTCTATTAACTATAGAATAGGTGTGTTCCAGTATAACACTCTGTTAGCTTTATTGGGTAATACGGACCTTACAGATCATCCAGCTTTCATTTCCTTCCTCAATTGGGGCCAGTGTCTAATGATTGATATTCCTTGAAAAATTTCTCTCTATTTTTTTTTAAAAGTGGTGGTTTGTTTATAACACCTATCCAGTGTAAAATTGATCTCTGACTTATTGCAGACCTATCTAGACTGTGTGGGGAAAATAGACATTTTTTTTTTAATTTTCTTTTTCACAAAATGATTTTTTAATTAAAGAACGAACGGATATACTGTATTTAGCTGCTTAAGACACTCCAATGCAATAGACGTCCCCACCCAGATTTTGGAAAGAAGAAATCAGAAAAAAAAGTTTTTTTCTTTGTGCTTCATAACCATCCTCACTATTTCCAATTTTACCCACTGAATAGCATATTTCATCACAAGATCCTAACTAATCATGACAAATTCATCACAGACTTAGAAGTAGTACCAAATTTATAGTAATTATTTAGAATGTAATAATTAGAAGAGAAGTTAACTCCTGTCACCAACCTTCAATTTATAGGACACAGGATGGGTTTTGGAGATATTTTATAGGGATAAAAATGCGTCTTATAAAAATACAGTATACATTTTTATTTAAAGAACAAAAATTCACATAAATTACTAAAATTATAGATTCATTTATTCTTCATTTAAGATGATTCATTATTATCCCTTAGTGTTTGTGCATGTGTTCCCTAGCCCCAATACTCTTGCCTAAAGTTTATAAAAACGTTTGAAAAATTTCGAAAATTAAAAAAGAAAATGCAGATATCAATGACCAAAGCATAATTTCAAAATTGACATTTGTAAAACACAGCTAGGTTCAATAAATGGTTGAAACCGGGTCTCATACAATCACCAAAATTAAGCAACGTTGATCCTGGTCAGTACCTAGATGAGTGACCACTTGGGAATACCAGTTTCGATGTGCAGGTGGAATAATGGATAACAGCTCAGAATTGGTAATCAGAGAGCCGAGTTCCAATTCCAGTTGGGTTTGTTATATTCACTTATGAATAAATACCCTGTATGAATGCATGAATCCTCCTCTTCTCTCTCCAGTTATGAGTTAATTAGCAGAATTTGTATCAGTAAATCATTATTATCCCCCCCTCTCCCCACAAAAAAACTCTTACAATCTAAAATGTTTTCTGGCTTTAAACTACTTGTGAATGTTTGATAAGCCATAGAAAACAATCAATGCACATCTCTCTTAATCTGGAGAGGTTGGAAGCCTTTCCACTAATCTGATGTTCTTTGGAACTTATTTTGGCAAGGTGGGCAATAGTCAGCTTTGCAGAATGTGAAGGAGCATTATCTTGCATGAATAGACTCTTTAGCAAAATCAATAGTTGAAAGACTGGTGAAGGTTATAGAATGTCAAGGAAGTAATATAAATATGTAAATAATTTATTCAGCTGTATGGGATAGTGTGTTAAGCTAATATATATTTCTGTGGCCACTATCTTTTGCATACCTTTAGAGATAGAAAGTTATGTTGCACTTGGTATGATAAAACCTGACATTCCCCACTCACCCACTCTGAACAAGTTATCAGAATTTTAATAAGGACAGACATTTATAAGCTGAAACACCCAATATAGAGAGAGCTTATATAAATATATATGAGGCACGGTGGAGTAATGGATTTCATATCAGATTGGAGAACTGAGTTTGAATTTTAGTCCAGTTTATTACATTCACTTATGTGCTAATCTCCCCAGCTATGGTTAAATAGCAGGGCAGATTGGGTTCTCTAGCCTTGGGTGCAACCAATCTAGGAGAAAGAAAACTCTGAATTCAAAACTGTAACCTTGGCGAAGTATATACTATGCAGCTAAGTAAGGTATCATTCGCATTGATTCAATGATCCCAACTTCAGTCGACTCCTTTTATAAATATATATATTCTGAAAATTTTACCAACTTTAGTTGGTTAATTACAGTTTTCTGATGAAATATTTACTTGAGTAATAAAATCTGACATTTTGATTGAAAATTCAGATTTTTTTAAGCTCAGTATTAACAGAAAAAAAATAATTTGACATTTAAATTTTAAGTGCAGGAAGATGGCAGCAATTATTAAACCAAAGGGTTTTCCCTTCCCTTTGGTTTAATAATTGCTGCAATGTTCCTGCACTTAGAATTTAAATGTCATATATATATATATATATATATATATATATATATATAAAAGTGAACATTGAAGTCAACACTCAGAGGCAACAGGCTGTTTCATGCAGGACGCAATTGTCAGGCTGCCTGATTGCGTCTAGCATGAAACAGCCTGTCACCTCTGTGTGTTGACTTCAACGTTTACTTTTATATTTACATACCCTCTATTTCTAATATTGAGCACTTTATCCCATAAATATAGCACACTTTAATACTATATTTCTGCATATATATATATATATATAAAGTGTGCATATATATATATATATATATATATATATAGAGAGAGAGAGAGTTAATTAAAAAACAGAAAACCTTAAGGTTGTCTGTTTTTTTTAATTAAATTAATATTTGCTCTGGTTTGACATTGAACTCTCTGAATTACATCCTCCTTGGGATTATCCATACGGATTACCAAACATTTCATTACCTAACTCAATAGTTATATATATATATATATATATATATATATATAAAACTACATAGAAAAAAAAATTGTCCAGTTAAGAGCACAGGGGTCCCTCAGGGTTCTATTCATGCTCCTATGGTGTTTCCTATCTTCATCAACAATCTTCCTGATGTCATCAGTTCCCAGCTGGGCATTTATGCTGATGACGTAACTATCTACACTTGTCTTATTAAGTCTGACAAAGTAAAACTGGCAGCTGCTCTTGAAAATAACCTCCAGTCAGTTGTTAACTGGGGCAAGGAACAGCTTGTAAATTTGAATGCCTCCAAATCAAAACTGCTATACTTTAATCACCCTAGATAACCTTTTTCTCCTTCCATCAGCATGGCTAATGCTAACCTCAGAGAGCAACTCATTATGCCTTCTTGATCTTACATTTTACACTTACATGAAGTCAAGTGATTATATTGAATTAACTCCTAGGTCTGCTGCTAGTCAGTTCATTAAGTTAAGCAACATTGAGCATGGTAACTATGTAGATGGGTGACCACTTGGGAATACCAGGTTCTGTAAGCTTGGATGTACAGGTGTTGTAATAAATAATGGTTCAGAATTGTTAATCAGAGAGCTGAGTTTCAATTTCAGTTGGGTTTTTTGTATTCACTTACATGCAAATACCCTTAAGAAAGATATGAATCCACCTCTTTCTACCAGCTATGGATTAATTAGTAAGACTTGTATCACTAAATCATTATCCCTCCCCCAATTTTTACAATCTAAAAATATTTTATGGCCTTAAATAACCTGCAAAGTGTTAAGCTGTAGAACAGAAATCAATCAATCAAAAAAAAAGTTGGTTCAATGTGTCATGCTTTTTTCATCAGAATCCATCTTGCACTTTTCTGAATCTAACATTCATCTGTGCATTGAATATTGTTGCCATATCAGGTCAAGTGCTCTGGCTGTATATCTTGAGTTTCTTGACAAAATCCAAAGAAGGTTCTATAATATTATCAGTCCTAACCTGGCACCTCAACTTCCATCATTTTCACACAGCTCTCCTCCTTGGTACATTGGCTGCATAAATTTAAAGTGTTCTACTAGATTGGCAACCAGTTCTCATTGTTTTACTGTTGAAATAGCTAGATGTAAACCGTAAGTTCTATTCTAATAGTTTCTTTTCTCACCTGTGGACCTCACTTTTCCATTTTCTTGCTTCCCAACCACCTACAATCTTCAAAAATTTAAATTCAACATCAATTGCCATCTGAAATCTGTTCTCTTATTTTTCTGGCTCCTTAATAAATTCTTTTTCATTTCCAGTAACTTCTTGCATCTTAGTGGTATTATTGCCTTGCTTGGGGTGAAATGATTAAAAAAAAAAAAAACAGGAATCAGTGGAGAAAATTTGAATTATTCACATTTATGTACTGACTTGACAGGGGAAGTAACTCATTAACACTTTTGAATTTTCTGCTTAACTTAGAATTTAGATTGCCTCCCTTGGAGTTTTTTATTATTATTATTTTGGACTTGGCGAAAGTAATTTTTTTTTATTTTATTTTATTTTATTTTTTTTTGTTTCACCCCCAAGCAAAGCGTCAATGTTACTAGACCGCAGGGGATTACAGGATTTTAGAGTAAGTGGCCATGGCTAAATGTAAGTAGTAGAACTGCACAACAAACAGAATTCACAAAGTTTACAATGACAAAAAAAGAAAAGGACAGGGCAAAGATAATATAAAGCAAGCAAACAATATATGCAGGGCAAATTAACAGTAATATGGTAAAGCAACAATAATATGTTGAAAATTTTTCCAAACTAAAAATTAGTGTTGATGCACAAGAGCAAATTCAAATAAACAAACATAGCATTATGACTTCAAGACAAGACAGACTGGGACTTAGTCAGATGAGACTGAGAAGTGGCATATGTTATCAAGTAGGAAGGAATCCCAGCATGCATTTGTGTTGTGGGAATGGGAAATTGTTTTGCAGTCATTCTACTATAGGATTGCAACCAACAGGGAGAGAAAGAGAATAAGAAGACAGTAGAGAGGATTGAGGAAAAACAAAAAAAAATGAACAGGGTTCAAGAAGATAGTAACTGATAGTGATTTTAAGGTTGTAGTTATCAGGGAAGCAAGAAATCAGAAAGGAGTTTCACTGTTAGAGTAGAAGAAAATTATTTCTTTAATCTTCATTTTGTTATACCTAATGTTTAAAAGGCAGTCAGAAAAACAAAAAAATTCTTAAATTTGCAATGAAGTTAATTTGCAGTTGCTTTTCATTCAACAATGTAAAAAACAAAAACTCTGTCATTGTTGATTTGATTTGAATGTTTTTGTATTACTATTAGGAAGAATGCTATGAAGAAATGGATTCTGATACAGAAGAGGAAATTGGTAAGTTTTTGTTTTTAAATTTTTATAATGACTTTTATAAGCAAGTTACTACTCAAAGTTTTGTAATTCTCTAAGAACTATGGATGGAATTAATGAACAAAGAATTTCTCATATAAATTTGGGTCTTTAATTGGAATATACATCAATAATTAACGCCTGAACTCTGTATTAGAAAAATAAAAACTTTATTTTATGATTTATTACTTTGGCATTTCTTCATTGATAAAATATCTGTAGATATGCATTTAGTGTGTCTTTTAAGACAAGCATTATCAACTAGTATCAGCACAATTAAAATACATATTTGATTAAAACTTTTGTGCTTTATATGTAAAATCCTTATGACTTGCTGACATCTTTAAATGGTGTCAGCAATGCTCAAATTGTGCTTTTGATATTGAGTGTGTCCCTTTGAAAGTGGTTCTTAACATGTGGATACATAAGGCAAATTTTGGGGATTACAAGATGAAAAAAAAATGAATTCTGAAGTAAAATAACAAGAAACATTTTGAACATCACAGATGCAAAACATTTCCAAAATTCAACAAAAAAAAGAAGCCTTTGAAAATTGAAGTTTTTTCTTTTGAAATTATATTACTTTTTTGCAAGGAATTTTCATCCCCATTTCATAGAAAAATAAAATTCAGAAATCAGCTGATGTTTGATATCTGGATCACACTCAAAATGAAAATGCTATGCATTCCAAAGTTGAGAAAAAGAAACAGCGGTCAGTGCATTAGTTTTATTAGTAAAAATATTTATTAAAACTTTTTTATTTTGACAATTGATAAAATTTTTGGTATTTCTACTTTTCAATATCAGTCAGTTTTGATTTTTTTTTAATTTAATTTTTTTAGCCTTATGATCAAGGTGTGTGAAAAAGTTTTTTTTAAATCTCAAAAGGGTGCAGGAAAGATTTTAAAGTTTCAATGGCATAGAAAAGATTTTGAAATCAGAAGAGATGGAGGTTCCAGTAAGGAAAGGAAAAAAAGATGACTGTCGACTTCAGAAAATATGAGAAAAACCCGCTCGACCATGGAAAAAGGGTGAAAAAATGTTAAGAAGAGATTTTTATTTATGAAGTTATTATTGTCACATCCAAATAAGAATTTGAAAAAAAATGCACAATGAGTCTTTGTTAGTCAGCAAATCATCTCCTTCAGTCACTTTCTCAAGGTTAATAAATTGAATGGTTCTGATCTCATGGTTAGTTATTGAAGACAACTAAAAGGCTTACAGCCATGTCACATTGAAACACTGGTTCTTGTATGACAACTGAAAGTAAGCAATGTCAAGCCTGGTTAGTATCTAGATGGGTGACCGAATACTAGGTGCTGTAAACTTGGATGTGTGGGTGCTATATCATGTTGAAACAACACAGGTTTTCATACAATCACTGAAGTTAAGCAACATTGAGCATGGTCAATACCTAGATGGGTGACCACTTGGGTATAACAGGTGCTGTAAGCTTGGATGTGCAGGTGTTGTAATAAATCATGGCTTGGAATTGGAGAGCCAAGTTTTAATTCCACTCATATTCACTTATACACAAATACCCTTGGGAAAGGTAGGAATCTTCTCTCTCCAACTATGGGTTAATTAGTAGAACTTGTATCAGTAAAAATCATTATTATCTCCAAAACATTCTCACAATCTAAAAATATTTTATGATAAGCCATAAAAACAAATCAAGACAATTTAACATAAAATCACTTGACGAGATGCCCAAGAATAGTGAACTTGCATACAGGCATAACATGTTGAAACAGGTTCTTGTACACTCATCAAAGTTAAGCAATGTCAAGCCTGGTCAGTACCTAGATGGGTAACTGCTTAGGAATAACAGGTACTGTAAGCTTGGATGTGTGGATGGTCTAATGGATAATGTCTTGGAATTGGAAATCAGAGAGCCAAGTTCTAATTACCAGTCAGGTTCAGGTTTCTCAAAAAATAAATACAATTAATCATAAAGAGTGAAAATTCTTTTTTTGTTTTGTATTTGTAGAGTCAGATGATGATAATTCAAATATCACAAAAGCCGAGAAGAAACATTTCCAAGTGGAGTTCCTGCAAATTATGCAAGAGAGATTCCTCGATGGAAAAGACACTGATTACGACTACAGGTACGTCTAACATTTGTCAATACATTGTGATTATCATGTCTTTTTATGGGAAAAGTAAAAATCTATGGTTCCCCACCCACCAAGCTATGGGTAAAATAGCAGGACAGACTGGGCTCTATATCCTTGGTTGGCAACTAGTCTAGAAGAAGGAAAACTTTGAATTCAAACCAGCCTGGAGAGAGTTGGTCTCCATCAGGCTGTTGCTATAGCTGCAGTACATGTGCTCTTATGACTCTAATGGGTTATAGGACTTGTGATCCTATGATACAGTTTATGTAAAAATCATCATCATTGATTAATATAGGCTCTTTGTGGAGCTTGCCCTGTTGGCAAGGCTTAAAATATGCCAATTGTATCCTCTGCCTTATTAAGCCTACTATAAACCAGACATATATCTACCTTTTTAACTCGAGTATAACCTGAACCAATGTCTGTCTATTTATTGTGATTTCTATCCTAAAAAGACTTGTACTCAACATTAAATGGCCCAGCATGTGTTGATATGTCTATAAATTCTAATTTGAGAATAGCCTTTGTCATTGCATGAATTATTTGGACAACTGAACCCATTTTTTATGATATTTATATTTTTCCAAAAACATTTCAGCCAATCCATTTTCCAACCTTCTTCAGATGTATATTCAGTATGAAAGGCATCATCTGTAATTTTGAAAAATAGTAATATCTGGAATTTTGATTAGATAAAGCTTTGTTAAGCATTATTCATTTTTTACTAAGATTTCTTTCATTTTCATTTTAGTTACTTTTCATTGTCAGTAAACAGTGCAGATTAAAAATAAAGAATAAACTCTTAGTGTGACAGACTTACATCTCTTTTACTTCAAAAATACCTTTTTATCTACCACTTCAGTGAAAAGAGCAACTCAATTGACAAAAGTTAAAATCTAACCATTTGCAGCCTATATTTTCCCCCAATTATTTGGTGTCATGTTATTGTTTTTACATATATTCTGTATTAAACGAATATTTTATTAGATGAAACATTATCAACCATTATTACTATTAATCTAAAATTAATAATGGTTAACAATTCAGGATAATATCACTTTTATAAATAGAGAAGTTCTACTAAAATGCAAATCCATTGAAAGTAAATATGGCAGAAAGATATCTCACTGAAATTATTATTTTTGTTTTTCAGTTCTATAGACAACAACGATAATTATGATGATCTTGATGAGGAAGGCAAAGATGAAGAAGAAAAATATTTTGATGACGAAGAACCTGAGTTCATCTATGATGCACATGTCACTTAACATTTAAACATTCAACCAGAACTGGATTGTTGCTTTTCTGCAATACTTCACATGTAAACTCTACCCATTTCTGAATTTTAATCCTAAATTGCTGCAGAAGACTTTCACAAGTCAGTCATCTGGTTCTCCCACTTTGATTCCAACTTGACAATGATTATCTTGAAGAGATGTTAATGTTGATTTCAAGCCATTGGAAAATTCATTAGAGCAATGAGCTGTAACATATTTTACGATTTAATTCATATGAGAAATTGTTCATGTCTGCATCCTGTTCTCCCAGAGAAGGTACAGCACACACATGTCTATACTGTAGGATCTTACCATCTGCAAAATCAACCAATCAGCAAAAGCCTTCGTTTTCAAACCTTTTATTAAACTAAAACTAATGTGTAAACTGTATTTCGCTGGAGTAAAATATAAACAAAACAGCATAGACATCCCCTTTCCCCATTAATACTCACTGTTCCATTTTGGGTATTGTGGGCACAAATGGATTATAGATAGAAACCTATTATCCTTTCAGGACCTATTATTTTTATATTTATAGTCAATATTAGTTTGTTTTTTTAGAAACCTATAATCGATACTGAACCTTTTCCTTTTTAATATATTCAATATTGGATTTTTTTAATTAATTATAATTAATACTGAACTTTTGTTAAATATGATTAATTTTGTTTTATAGTCAATATTGGATTTTTTTAGAAATCTTTATTTAATACTAGACTTTTTTCTTTCTTTAAATATAATCATTATTGGATTTTTTTTTTGTAAACCTATAATCAATATTAGGTTTTATGGTGGGCATTAATAGGTTAATAAAAAAAGTAAATTAATTACCAAAATATTTTTGCTTCCTTCATTTCATTTATACTGTTGGTTTGGTAAATTAAATATATTTCTGGATGAGGAGGACTTTCATCCCCTTTGTTATCAAGTGGGCTTAAGGTATAAAATCTTTGGACATACTTAGATATCTGGTTTGCTGTTCTCTGAAGATTGCACCATCTGCAGAGACTTTGTCTATAAACAGAGAATGCAGTACTATTGTTAAGTGGCTAAGTTGAATTGTTTATATAACAAAATCATTTTAGTTCCATTTTACTGTATATAGATTTGATTTTTCAAATTTTCTAAATATCAAGAAGCATTCTACAAATTTACAATTTGATACGTTAAAAGTTTTCAAAAGTTGGGATACCCAAGTGATTATGATTGAATTTTAAATCTGTTTTGTTTCTTTTTTCCACTGTTAGCAAATTGCTAATTTTATGTATATTTGCTAGATTTTTTTGAAGTTGCAAGAAATAAATATTAATGAAAATGCATTTTAATAAGAAAGAAAAAAAAAATTTTTCTATTGTTCTATTTCCATGTTTTGCAATAAGTTCATTTTTTTTCCTTGTAAACATTTTCCACTTTTATTAAAATTCATTTTGACATCTGCTTTTTTTATGATCTTGAAAGGATAAATTTGGAGACAGAAAAATGTGAGTGAATCTTTAATATGATACATTGTAAATCTTTTTTTTTCTTTTTTTTCATGAAACAAATTTTTTTTTCTATAGAATTTGGCATCAGGAATTTCATTCTTTCCATGAAAGAGCAGAGTTCAAGAATAATAATTGTAAAAATGCATTTAAAGATTTACATTTAAACAACTTTGTAAAGATAAAATAAATGTTAAACTGAAGATGCAATTCTTTTAATGCCTTGTGAAAATTCTAAGTTTTAATTTTTTTTTTTTTTTTTTTACAAGATGGTGATGTTATCAAATGCTTAATTCATTGTCAGAGGTCATGAAGTGGATATCACAAAATTAAGGGCTTCTGAAGACTAGAAACAGTCATGGATTTGGCTTGTGGGTACAGGGAAAAAGTCTTGCAAAAAAAAAAAAAGTAATTTTGAAAAGGAGTGATACAGAAATCTAAAGGTGCATAGGGATAGCAAAAATGCCTCCCAGAAACCAAGCAAAGTATTAAGACAGAGGAAAATGCCCTTAGAAATAATAAAAAAAGAGTACTGAACTGCTATATATCTAATTTTCTATATAGCAGTGAATGGTGAATATTTCACAGATAACCACATTCTGGCACTGTCAAAGGTGTGACCTAAATATTTGGTGAATTTGAAAAATTAAGGAACTTACCCTAATGCCTAGTTTCACCTGTCACCTTCAAACTTGTACTCTTATGAGTCATTAAGGTTGACTGCTCACAAAAGGTTAAGGCCAAAGTTCACACTACATTCAAATTCCTTAGCTTTTGTATAGTATCAAAGAGAAACACAGACATAACAAAGACATGTCATTATAATCATAATTCATCATTGTCATATCACCTATCTTTTCTACTGACTTTCTCCACACTACTTAATCCAGGGACTGAACTCATGACTAGCTGGTAACTCAATCTACTTAACTCTGTTATCTACTAGGTCGTGTACCCCACAAGACAATTCCATAATGGAAACTTGCAGCCTTAACTCTTGAGTATTCAACACTCAAACCTGCCCTGTAAATATTAGCTCTCAAAGTCTTATTATTTGCATGACTTTGTGTGTTTTTTGCATTGATGTTGTCATATATAGTTAAACACTAGTAGTAGAGCCCGGCGTTGCCCAGGGATGTAACAGTAAGAGATAGATCAAGTATCGACCATCATAAAGACTGAAAAATAAAATTGACAAAGATTATTGTTTAAGGTTGACGGACAGACATGTCTTAATTAGTTTTTTTGTTTTTTTACCAATTGGTCAAACATTGTTTTCAATCGTTATGAGTCTACTGATTGAATAGAATTTTATTAAAAACAATTGTCTTGTAAATTGAATTTGTAAAGCATTCTGAATGTAAAAATAAAGAAAAAAGTGTGCAAGACAATAAGAAACACTACCTGCCAAAAAAAAAGTGAAGTTTTGTTGAAATCGGTTGAAAAATGTAGGAAATATGATCCCATATGTAAACGAACATACACACACAAAAAAAAACAACCTGGGTTTTATAATAAGTATAACCCGATATGAGTTGCCCCTCTTTCATTCTCGCGATAGCGATGTCTCTTAATCGTGTTTTCAAATTGATTTTGTGCAAAAATAATTGTGTTTTTCCAATTTTTGACGCTGTCAGAACCGCTGCAAGGTAATTTTACATAGTCCTGTGAAGTTTTGTTGAAATCGGTTGAAAAATGTAGGAAATCCGATCCAATATATAAACGTACAGACACACACACACACAACCTGGGTTTTATAATAAGTATGATGATACATTGCAGTGAAACATTTTCAAAAAAGAAATCAAATATTAAACATTATTAGTATAGAATGTTGTGGAAAGAACAAGATTGTTGTGTTACTGTATAAAAATAGCTTTTTCAACATAAAATCAAAATAACTATTGAAACAAAAAAATATATATGTACAGTAAATGTCAAAATGTTCCTTTACTTTCCGACATGAATATTAATTAGTAATTTCTTTATAGATAAAAATATTTTGATGGCTAATTTTTGTTGCCTAGCATTCAGAAGAATTTCCTCTACTCAGGCAATTTGTTAAAATCGAAAAACATTCAAACTGATCCCTGACTTTTTGACATAGATATAGTTTTCTTTACTTTTTGAAAGACCAGTCTATTTCAGTATTGCTGTTTTAAAATGAAATGTATTATTACTATGTAATGCGTGTGTATACATATAATGTTCATTTCATTTCCAGTAGACATAAATGTTGCAAGATTGAAATAAACTTGTAAACATTTGTTGAAATTCTTTTCATCTACTTCTTTTCTTTGAAAATATATCTGTATAGGGCTCTAAGTGAAATTTTTTCTTTGAAAGTCCCCATGATCGCCTGTAAAAAAAAAAGTAACATTTCTTATTCTTAATTTAAAAAACAATTTTTTTTTTAAGATGAAGGCAAAAATTGCTGTGGACATGGTTTATTTTTTTAAGGGCACTGCGGCATTAAATATAGGCATTGCAGCATTTTGCTGTGGTGCTGCAGTCTAAGCTAATGCCTGGACTACGGTAGGCCTACACGTATTGCTCAGAAGCTATATGAAAAAATCAGTTTTTTTGGCAAAACCTTCAGGGGTTGCACAATACATGAAATAGGCTTATACAATAGTATATATGGTAGATATTGAACCAAATGGTTTAATCCATTTTTATTAGCAGGTTTGAGAAATCTCCTGCTGCCTGTTTAATCTACTGAGTTGCAAGAAGGGAATAGTTAACTAGAACACAAGATTCAAATCACAACTAAGGCAGTTGGTATCCATTAGAACATATTCCCCCTTGTCTGAAAATCTATAAGCATGAATAAAATACAGTCACAGATTTTAGTGTTCAACAATAAACTTTTCTGACAAAAATTTCTAGCAGCCTGTCAGAATTTCTTTCTCTCTTTGTCAGAACTTCAGCAACATCTGTCTATATTTCTGACATGCAGTATTGTAACTATTTACACTGTTTGAACCGTTGTGCTCATCTACATCATCATATTCACAACATTTCAGCCATTGTATACTCCAGCCTTCTTCATGTGATATATGTTGGAATTTTGAACTGTTCCCATATTGTATTCATGTCTATGCCTGGCTGTCTTAGGAGAGTTTTGTGGCATAGCATATGTGCTGATTCCTTAAGTTTTTGTATTTTCCAGTGATTGATGTTCTGTGTCTATTATTTCAACCTTATCCCACAGAGGGTGGTGATCTCCCTTTTCCCTTTATATATGGTCAGCTTCACCTGATTATTCTATTTCCTCTCCTGTTACGGCTTTATGGTGTTCCTGCAGTTTTATCGTAAGTGGACCGCCTGCATCTCCTTTATACTTCTTGCCATAGCTGCATGGCGTGGTGTACACACGGTCCTTAATCACGTTCTCCTCTCTGGAAAGTCTTACCTAGAGGAGGTGTCTGCGAAGTGTTGAACCACTTTTGAAGGTCAGAATGTATATCACCTGTGTTTTATCTTGAATCATTCGTCGCCAACTGTCAT